TCTGTGTCCTACATTTGCATCGAATCCAGAATCCGTGGTGGCGTCCGGCAATCCAACACCAAAATAGTCCACTTCCTCGTCCAGCACCACTGCGGTGTAGTCCTCGCTGTCAGCGCCCAGTGCATCATCATGAACACTTACTTCCTGTTCCGCGGCCGGATCAGTCGCGACTTCCACCTCTTCCACTTCTTCGTCGTCGTAGGCGACCGTTTCATTGCCGAATTCGTCAGACGTAGTGTCTTTTAATTTGGGAGCATCGGTACGTGCACCAGAATGGATAGCGAGCTGCGTCTGGACTTCCGCTGGAAGATTCTGCACATCCACTTGATATCGGGTAGCAGTCTGTGGGCGGAGCAGATCATAACATTGAAATACAGCAATGTCCTCATGCGTAGCATTATGGATCTCCAGGTCGAATCCGTTTGTCAAATGATAGCGCCGATTTCTGATCAGTTTTATAGTGTCATAAAAAAGATATGTTGCAGCGTTATCCGATATATTTCCAGAATATCGAACCCACACCATTTTCGTTTTCCTGTGCGTTACCGTGTTATAGTTATCGCATCCTAGTACAAGCTGTTGACCACCATCAACTCTAATCTTTCGAACGTCGCTCATATGTTCATTGCCGGCGGGATTATCGGCTCCATTCCTAGAAACAGGAAGGCAGGAACAGAGGTTGGAAACGGAAAAAAGTAGGAAGACGTACGGCAGACAGTGTTTAGATAATAAAAACGCGACAGATTTTGCCATTTTATATGTGGCGCTGCAGAAAATCGCTTAGCGAAAGGTCAACAAGAAAATCAAAGCAAGGATACGATTCACCGATTTGGACACAACGGTATTAACTGTTTACTAACAATCTGGCTAAATAGGACAAAAAAACAAGCAAACAAAAACAGGATAATAGCAGGAAGGAGAAAGTCGGCGACTCAGTTGCTTAAATTCACGTCGTCAGCTCCTCTTATGTACTCTGAAGCGTATCATTTTAGTTGAAAAGTTTGCAGCGTATAATCGCGCGATTGTTGGTCATGTGTCAGGGATTGCTGTTTTTGAAACAGAAATTCCAGAGTGAGATCATGCCGTACATATGTACCGTATTCATAGTAGTCGTAGAGAGTGATAGTTTTTGTGTTACCGGTATTACATCATTTACATACGATGCCGGGTAGCTGTTCACTGTGGAACAAAGACGCATCGCCAGTGCCGGTCTTCTTCCTGCAGATGATCACATACGAGTACAGTACCATGCGTAAGCCCGCAAAAATGCAGCGGCGATACTACCAGCGACGTTAATAATCGGACAATCGACAATAATCAGGGCAGGATGCTTTTCGATAATATCCTTATGTCGGCCCTTAAATTGTTGATAATACGGATAGCACTTTGCCTGCTTCGAATTTCTGCTTCAATCTGCTGATCAGTTGAAGAATTTGCATCGAGGTAAATTAATTTGCAAATGATCAGTTATTCTGCCCTTGTTCAGTCACACTTGCAGCCTTGGACATACTTCAATAAAAATAATACGCAATAATGAAATGCCCGTTAAAAGTGCGAATTCGTGCGCGGTAAAAAAAAGGTTTTTATTGGGTTGCGGCTAAGCAGGTGCATTAATGTGGCTGAAGCCCGACAGATAAAGTAACTGAAAAGATTCTTAAAAAAAATTGCATGTTTGATACGACCAAATTATTTTTATAATTTCTATTGGTATTGAGTGCATTACTTAATTTCCCAAAATCAACAAGCTATAATTTGTAATAATTGTATAATTATACCGGGATATCATACTACTGCCATATCGAACCAATACTTGAATATTTTCCGCGCGTATGGTTTTTAAATGATTATTTCTTCAGTTGGTCACGAATCATAAGAAAGCTGATTGCTTTCTTCATATAAAAACCGCTTCCGGTTAATTTTCCATCCCAAAAGTGTGGCAGTCGCCGCCACATTTCCACCACCCAGCGCCATCACACAACGCGACAGCCTCTCGTCCCGCGAATGCGTTCCCGTACGTGGTATAATTACGGAAACATCCAATACGGGAACAACGCTTCTCGATCCAGTTCTTGCTGTCGAAGTTAAACAATTCTTGATGATGCGGATAGCGTTATGATCGTCGTCGAATTTCTGTTTAAATTTATAGATCGATTGATAAATTATAATATTCGAAGTACCAAAGGCCACAGCATTATTCATCTTCGTTTTATTACAGTACACGTATCTCTTCCAAGCACGACAACATGCTGGTGAAACAAGAAATATTGTAGTACGATGGTTTTATTTCATTAAACACAGTAACATCACAGTGTGACAAACGGTTAATCATAATAACAAATTTCGATTGACTAGCGTGGAAATTCTGCATTAGCGTTAGAGCGTAAACGTGGTGGCACCACTTTATGATTTTTGCAAAACGCAATACTTCCTGGAATTTTCTTACGGCCATAACTCCCGAACCGAATATTCCAGCCATATTCGCCTACGGGACATTTCGCCTACGGGACATTTCGCCTATAAATTCGATTCGAATCGTTAATTAACGCTTATACCAAAAGCGTTTTCTTATGGTTTCTTGTTTTTTTCTTATGTTTCCATGTTTTCTTAGGTTTTCTTAGGTTTTCTTAGGTTTCTTAACTTTTCTTAGGTTTCATAGATTGGTTTCTGAGGTGTTATTCATGATTCGAATCAAACGGTTAGGCGAAATGGGTGGTAGCCTTTGTAGGCTGCTCGTATACAGATCCGTTGACTACAGAATACCATGGATCAAGGCAGAAAAGTATTTAGAAGAGCGCAGAAGTTGTCGTGCATGTGTAATTGTATATGAATTTGGTACCGTCTACCGGGTCACCTCCCTTAAAACTGAGTACGTGAGCCATCCTGAGTTAAAAACAGAACCTCGTACGTGCATATATCAGCGTTTTGCAATAATACTCGTATGTACGAGTAGTACGTAATCTGTAAATGACCTCTTCAACCATAACGATGGCAGCTTGGGAGTGTTGTGATCAAATGGGCCCTGACCTGATCGTTCTGCGGACGTGTCATAGAGAGCGATGCTCTCGTTATCAGCTCTACTTTATAAAAAAGTTGCCATGTTTTCCGCTAACATCATAATTATATTGATTACAATAAACACAGAACTGTTAAACGATCATTAATGCAACTGGGCAGGCATATCACTGTTCTGGGATCCTAATCCCATTTGTCACATAATCAGAAATGAGCAAATCGCCAATGTTAGCACATTCGTCACCGTTAAAGCACCCTTCCGGTGTCACAAGCGCACATCATGTTTTCGGTGAAGCGGTGCCCCGTGTCGTCCGCACTCTGACCACCAAAATCCTTCTCGACAGCTGGTGTAGTCTTCGCTGGCAGCACTCTATTCGTCATCGTAGTCACTTCCTTCCGGGTGCGCGCCCGCATAGGTCGCGAATTCCGCCTCTTCAGCTTCTTCGTCGTCGTATGTAACCGTATCATTATCGTTTATACCAGATTCGTCAGGCATCGTGCCTGTTAATTTGGGAGCAGCGGTACGTACTCCAGAATGGATAACTGGCTGCGTGTGGACTTCCGGTGGAAGATGCACATCCACTTTATATTGGGTGGCGTTTTCTGGGTGGAGTAGATCATAACATTTAAACACAGCAACGTCTTCATAGGTCGTATTATGGATCTCCAAGTCAAACCCATTTGTCAGGCGATAGCGTCGATCTCTGATCATTTTCATGGTGTCGCAGTAAATATATGTTGCAGTGTCATCCGATGCATTACGAGAATATCGAGTCCACACCATTAAGCTATAGGTTTCCCTCTTACACTGTGATAGCCATCGCATGCTAGTACGAGCTGCTGGCCACCATCCACGCTAACCTTTCGAACGGCACCCCTATGTTCATGGCCGGCGGGATCATCTGTTCCTTTCTTGGAAACAGGAAGGCAGGAGCACAGACCGGAAACGAACACAATCAGGAAGAAGTATGGCAGAGATTGTTTAGACAGTAAAGACGCGACAGATTTTGCCATTTTATGTTATGGCGCTACAAAACATCGCTATGATAAGCGAAAGGTCAATATAAAAAATTAGTACAAGGATTCATTTCACTGATTAAGACACACCCGGAACTGCTTTACTAACAATCTGGCCTTAATACTAAACTAAACTAAACACAACTAATGGTAAACAGGACAATTACAAACAGGAGAAACTCAGCGACTGAATTGCTTAAATTCTCGATGGTCGTCAGTCCCTCTTATAACATATAACAACAGAGAAGCCTATCGTTATATCAACTACTGATATAATCGTATAATCGCGTACGACCATGTGTCAGGTTTTTTAAATATTGCTAGAAATTCCAGAATGAAATCAGTAGAAAGCGATAGTTTTTATATCATTTAAATACGACGCCGGATACAGTAGCCGTTCAATGTGCAGCAAAGACGCATTGCCAATGTCGGTCTTCTGCCTGGAGATGATCAGTTTGATCATCGTCGGCAAAAAAATGAATGAATCGTGGTAATCGGACATCGACAAAAATCAGGGTACGATGTTTTCGATAAAATCCTTTAAAGCATTTGCCTGCTTCGAATTTCTGCTTAAATACTGTAGTTGGGCTGCTTATCAATCGACTGATATTGATTCAGTGCAAACTACGTTAACTCATGGCTCTGTTGGCTCTTGTACGCATAAATACAAATTAATAATAACAGCAATAATAATGGACAACGTATAAACACAATAATTATTGAATTTGAAAGAAGGCTACGTACGGAAACAAGATTATTTTTTGCCGTTACCAAAAGTTTATGTAGTTGTGCTGTACATCACTACGGTTAAGCCAATTAGACGAAGTAATGGAAAAAATTAAAAACAAAATGTAAAGTTCAATACGAGTAACTATTTTTCGAATTTCGAATGCTTTCGTGCATTATTTTTCCGCAAACTCAGTAAACTATGTGTGACACGCATAACTGGTACTTCTATAAATACTACCACAATCCCACCAAGTCTCAGATACTTTGTCACCATGTTTGTAATGATTATTTAATTTTAAATCCGTTGGTCACGCATTATAAAAAAGCCGGTTAATTTCTACACATATAAAAAGCCGAATCCGGTTACTCCTCCATCCAAAAAAAAACACAACAGTCGCCGCCCATTTCAACCAACCAGCGCAACCACACAAGGCAACAGAGCCCTCCATCCATCGGGCCAACCAACAACCATCCCACGCAACCAACAACACAACAACCAACAGAATAAATCTCCACCACCGCGTCCACACCAACCAAAACCGCACCGATCATTTTCTCAACGCAATATCCGTTTTCCTCTACAATCGTCGCTTGGCCAGCACCGGATTGGCCGGCCGCGGCCCGCCCACCGTCCCGGGGACCAGCAGCGCCCCGGCCGCCGTTCCCTCGGGGGCCCCCAGCCCCCCGGTGTCCAGCAGGCTGACCACGTCCAGCCCCGTCTGGGAGTGGAGTACTTTCGCGGCGTTCAACCAGCACTGGTAGGCCTCCTTCACCGCCGCGTTACTCTCCAGGTGCTGCTGCGCGAAGGCGCGGTACTTCCGCAGCGACACCAGACACCAGCTGGCCTCTTCGTTCAGGTACGTCAGGAGTTTGTTGGCGTTGAACATCTGGTAGCAGATGCGGAAGTTGGTCGTCAGCAGTTCCAGCGCTTTGTTCTCAATGGCGAACATCTACAGCCGCAACGCCGAATTACTGTATTGATTTATCCTCATATCCACTTCAAATCCTAAATTTATTGTACTATTATTAATGTATTTTATTTCAGTTATGTAATGTATTACACTTTGGCATTCTCATGAATCACTTCAAAAATTATACACCATCTGCTGCAGATCCAGTTCAAACACTACGCAATACAACTCGTGTACGAAGTACGTGTTAATGAAAAATAATGTCTTATCAGGAGTACGTGTTATTTGGTAAAAGTCAATGAACAATGCAAGCGAAAAAAAAATCATGAAAGTAGTTACAGTTATTCGCTTATCGCTAACAGTTAAGAAATTTGTGTTCGCTGTGCAATTACTTTCGCCTACGCTGGCTGATGCCGCTACACTACGCTTAGCACGCTTCTCCACATTAGTCATACATGATGCAGCAGAAAAACAATTTAATTACAGAAATCTTCAAATTTAATCATAATTTAATCAAAATTTACAACTACCAATAAATAATAGTAATAAAATGATATTTTTCCTGTTTTTCCCAGCATGAAATTATTTATTAATAGACAGAAATCAAAACAAACGGATTTGTATTACCGTAAATAACAATCAATTTTCGAACCAAAAAATTTCACAGCAAAACGGGGAATTCAAACCTGAAACTCCTCATCGGCTCCCTCCATGACCCTCTTAGAAATGGGGCTAATAAACAGATCCGTTCCGGGCGTGCCCCAGTGGTTCTTCACATCCCAGATGGTGGTGAAGATGCTCTTGCGGAAATGCTCACCGGACCGTTTCCCGGTGGGATAGCGGGCCTGGTTAATCAGCGTGTCGATCAGCTGCGTCAGCGGCCGACGACAGCTATCGTGGACTTTGAAGATCAACGCCGTCTGCAGTTTGGCGATCAGCAGGGGATCCTCCGCCAGCCGCGAGGCGAAATCCCCGTCGTGCAGCGCCAGGACGTTCAGCAGGTAGAGGACGGCGCTCAGGTAGCGGCCTTCGTTCTCGTAGAACACCACGTCGTCGCTGCCGCGGGTCTTCGTCTCCGAAAGGAAACGGGTGATCAGGTCGTCGTCCTGGACGATCTGCCGGACGAGGGGCGGGGTCCCGTGGGCGGCGGCCGCTAACAACTGGATAATCGCCTGAAAAACATCACAGAAATTGGTGGCTGCCACTAGGTTGCTCGACAAGAAGGATGCTAAAGTAATTATCTGAGTTACTGATATATTGATTATCTCTAGATTATTAATCAGAAATTTATAAGCTGTTCTGAAAACACCGTTACTGCAACTTATGGTTGCAATGGCTACTTCGACCACTTTTTAGTGGAATTGTGATAACATATATATCGTAGTACAATGCCACACGTGTCACTCAGGAAGAGGCTTTGCACGGCAAAATGAGCGTATTATGTATTTCTCAAGATAGCAAAGGTTTATAAAATTTCTTTCTTCTTTTTAATCTGCCCTGCGACAACATACCAATGGCGAAAAAATTGTCTAAATATTTTTTCATTATAAATAAACGAAACACAAATGAATTTAACAGAAATAAGATAACAGATAAAAAAAACGATCAATTTCTTCACCGCCACGCATCAGATTCAAAAAAACGAAACCGACGCCCATTTACCTGTCGATTGCCGCCCATCTTCACCTCGGGTACCAACTGTCCAATCAACATGGTCCGCAGCAGTGGATACCGCGCGGCCACCTCTTTCTTCTCCGCTTCATCCATCAACAGAAACTGCACGGCAAACAACACCCACTGGTACGATTCACTGGCCATCGCCTCGAACACTTGTGGTTGTTGGTCCAGCAGTTTTTGGAAGTAGTCCAGCACCCGCTCGATGATCTGCCGCAGCCACTCGTGCTGCTCGGCGTCCAGGCGCAGGTCGATCTTATCGGCTGCCGTCAGGATGTTGGCGTACTTATCCTTCCCGGCCTGGAAGATCAGGCCCTGCTGGTACGGACAGAAGATCTCGCGCAGCTTCTGCTCGCCACTCAGACTGACAATCAGCCGCGCCACTTCGATCTGCAGGTCGTCACGGTACGGAGTCTGCTGTAAAAATGACAAAACTTCATACCAAAGCTATACAATTATTAAATGAAATTAAGTAAAAATATTAAAGACATAGCTGTTCCTATAAAACAATTTAATTCCCAAATATTATGCTCATTCGGACTCAATTAATTATTCAGTCAAAAACAATTACTGCAGTTTGCAGCTCTGAATTTGGCATTCGCCAGTACAAATACCGATACGTCTGCGCAGATTTACACTAATTAAAATGATTGAACATTTTGAAAAAAATTAGTTTAGAATTAATTACCAAGTATCGATCAGACTGTTCACAGGTACACCGGTTTATATAGACACGCACAATAGATGAGACCTGGATTTCGAGCCAGTACACTACGTTATCGCTACAGTGTGCAGACAAGCCACTCCAGTTCTCGTAAATGCTTCGCCTCTTTGATGCGTGTGCATACCTGTTTGCCCACCGGGACACCGTGCCATTCCAGCACACATCCCAACTTCTCAAGCACCCAACGGCGCAGTGCCGACATGCGCATATTCTCCCCCAGCCACTGGTAGGTCAACAGCGGACAGACCAGGATCACCTCCAGCAGCTTCTCCAACAAATAGTCCATATACTGCGGCACCATGGGGTGCTGCTCGACACCGGCGCCCGTCAGGAGAGTGGTCGTCAACTGAACGCCATGCCGGATCATCTCCATGACGGCGTTCAGGTACGTTCGGATCTGCAGCTCCCGATCACGCTCCTGTAACATTTCTTGCCGATCTTACGCCAGTAGAAGACAGAATTTAGATCACCATCGGACAAAGCCACAATACTACAATTTATCCTCCCTACTAGTAAGTGCAGGACTCTGCAATCTGCATTTTGTGGATGAATGTATAACGTATGGCCGCTTCATGCGCTAGTAAGTTTAGAACGAATACCATTATACCATCATCCATATTTACCCCGACAATAGTACATCAGCACAAGATACTCACTTTTTTGGTCAGTGCCGGCTCGGTGGCCACGGACAGATCGTGCACCTTGCCGAGGAAGTGGTGCATGGCGCGGCGCGCCTTCTCCGGTTTATCCAGGTAGAGGAAGGCCGCCAGCCGCGGCGCATTGACCGGATCGATCCCGTCGCGGATCAGATTGGCCAGGAAGTCCAACTGCTCGGCGTCCGTCAGGTGGCCCATGTACTGCTCGATGTCGCTGTGGATGTTGCTCAGCGCCAACTCCAAGGGCCCGTGCATGGCCGGCTCTTTCTGCTGCAGCTTACACTGGAACACACTTTTCTGCAAAGCAATCATTTCATTACGCTCCATAACTACCGGGAATTTCGGTAGAATCCCTGCCACACTCAAGCATCATTATAAAAAAGCCAACTGTCGTCGGCTTTCAAATCTCAAAACCCAAACCGAAACAACATAAAAAATTTAATTTTCTGACATAATCATTTTACTGCAGTAGCATACAGTACAACGTTTGAGCCGGCGTTAACACACCCTGCCAGTGAATTACGATTTCAACTGATCATACGTAAACACGTACGTATCAGGGTGTACCGTTTCACAATTTTCCACCAACTACATCTGCATTAGCGCGACCTAAGCAGACTCCCAGCTGAATATGCCGTGTACATACCTGGAATACTTCAATGCAATGGCGCAACAGCAGTGTCATGAGGGATAGCGTATTGGGCTTGTCCTTCTCCAGATCCGGTGAGAAGCGGTCCGAGGTATCGCCTTCATCCGTGGCCAGCATGGCCATCTCCAGAATATTCCCGGGGATGGGGAACAACGGCAGCGGTCCGATCAGCGGCGTGCGGACGTCCTTCAGCTGGCGCAGATACGTGTAGAACTGGTAGCAGTGGCAGAACAGATCGTTCGTCACCAGGAACCACGCTTCCAGCTCTCCCAGCTTGGCAAAATCCACCAGCATGTGCATCATATCGTTCAGGTTCCGCCAGTGCAGTCTGCAATGAGAATTCCATAAATAACATCAATAAAAAGAAAAGTATACAACAGTACAACTAACAATCAAATAAAGAAAAAAGTACGTAATTATTCGTAAATTCAAAATACGACACGAACCAAGAAAAAATTTAAATTAAAAAAATACCAAAAGTTAAGTGGCTCATAAAAACAATGACGCACAAAGTGTTGGAAAAGAGTAATTATCTAAAGAAAATAAAGTAATTACCTAAAAAAACTAAAAAATTTGTAACGGAGCCCAAGGCAATTTCGCTAATCCTATGTTTTATACCAGTTATTTCTTCAAGCCATCTGACCTTCTCCCCGTTCTCTTTCGTTGCTTATAATATTTTTCCAGTAATCAGGTCAATCCATTAATTTTTGCATAGTAAAATTTTGTTATATGATTTAATCCCATTTATTTTATCATTTGCAGTGGTTGTTTCGCATTCATTAGTACAGAGACTTCGATTTAGCGCAATGCACCGCACACAGAAATGAAAGGTAATCAGATAATGCAAAAAGTCCACAATAATTATGCTCACCGGACTTCGGCTTCGTCGAGATACCCGATACACTTCCGGCAGAACCGTCCCACCAACGACTGCCACGCGAATCCCGGCACTTCGTGGGCGTAGAACTCAATCAGATTGATTTGAGGCTGCGGGCGGAGTTTTTGGAATAAGTTGGTGATAAAGCGCTGGAAGGTCGAGCGGAGACTGCTGATGGGACACTGCACCAGGATCCCGAACAGCCACCGATGATCGTCCACCATCTGCCGCATGAACCACTCCACCACGCTCGGCTGCGTCAGCGCCAGCCGCACCGATAAATCAAAGAAATTGGTGAACTGGCTGCGGTCGCGAGCGCGGATCAGCGTCTCCCAGAGAAAACTATCAAGCAAAATTTTCTTACAATCAGTGAACTGTACTCGTAAGATCACCAAATACGTGGCTATTCTCAAATTAAATAAGCACTGAAATAAAATAAGACCAGTGAAAATTACTGATCAAGAATCGAAAAGAAATGAAAAAATATTTAATTATTCAGGAAATATGGCCAAATACTATTGTCGCACAAAGTGGTGAATAAATCTGATTCAACTGAAAACCGTAAAAAATCTGATTACTATATTATTATATTAAGGATTTATTGCCACATAGATATCCCATTGAAAATTATAACCCCGCCTCCCAAATTATGAAACAATAATTTCGAAAAAGGAAGAAAACTTTGTGATTACTAGAAAAATATGAAAATATGTGGTCTCTTCTCTTGAACTCGTTATTTACGATACGCACTCTGATCCATAATAGTATTTTACAAGGAAAACAGAAAAAATTTGCTGGTAACTGTTAACTGCGCTAGCGCTTCCAGTTGATGCAGGATTTACTAACTCAAACACCGTTCTCGGAAGCATGGATATTCTGCCGCCGCACTACGACACCACTTTCCAGCATAAACAGCAGCTAATGGTAATTAACGTCTAGGACGTTAACATATTATTAACCCATTTTGCTTCGCTCACGAAGTCCGGCTTTAAAATTCTAACCAGTAAATTTTAATTTTCAAAAAAATGCACGAAAACACTGAACCACGTCTGCAACGACCGAAAACCTAGTCAATTTAATAACGAAAAAACGGTGTATGGAAAAACTGAATCTGAAGTGCAAAATTCAAACAATAAGTCATAAAACACAGGCTCACACGCTGTGAATTTTATTAAAACCTGTAACAGTAACTTACCTGATGGCTAACTGTCCCGTCAGCAACACGGGATCGGAATGCGGGTCTTTCAGCGTGAACGTGCTGGGTGTCGCGGCATAGCAGAGTTTCCACAGAAAATCAAAGTAATACCGGTCGTAAATGTTGATATCCTGCACGAATTCCGTGGTATCCTTCCACACCCACTGCTGGATTTCCTTGGGAACACAGGGAGACGCCACTCGGACATTTAACTGCTCCCGAACCTACCGAAATGTGCAACTGCATTTTCCGTTCTGAATTCTCGAACGCAAAGTCAACTTCTTACCCGGTCAACTTTCTGGTAAAACAGCATGTAAGCACTGTTTGTTTTCTCCAATCCAAAATCCAAATACCGATCACCATTATTATCGAACTGCTTGGTCTCACCGCCGAAACACTCCGGGCCCAGCTGCTCCGAATCAAACATCCGTACCTAAATAATTTCACAAAGCCATGAAACAAAAATCAATAAAATCCGTAAATAAACTTCTATTTCCAATGAATTGAATAAAGCAATTAAATTCAGGAATAATAAACCTTTAACTAATTAAATTTATTTCAAAATAAAATTTTAACTTAGAAAAATAAGTTCAGGATCTGTACATTTAACATGTACGAACTTAAATGCAAAACTTGCGCGGATAAATTAGTAATTTAAGAATTAAATCTCCTGAGGCCTATAAATTCATAATCACAATAAAGTAATTTATACAATTAAATTCGCGTAAAAAGGTAAACGTAAATTAAATAAATCCACCGCAATAAAAATGAAATGAAATAAACAACGACTAAATTCACGTATACGAAATGGATTATAATTTAAATACGATGTGATAAATTTCAGGAAAAGACCTGGCAAAATCGTTAACTAAACAAAATCAAAACCCAACGCACCTCGGCGTCATTGAAGAGCAGCCAGTGGTCGGCCTCGCCGCACTCCAGATCGCGGATGAAGCTGTAGTAATGGCCGCCCTCGGCCGTTCCCGTGTGCACCGTCACCCCGATGAGCTCGTACTTGTACTGCTCGGGATGACTGCCCATCCCGTCGGCGCCCTTGAAGAGATTTTCCTCCATGTACTGCGCCATGTCCAGCACGATGGGGAAGGTGAAGTGCGTGTTGACTTTCTCGCGCTGCATGGTCACCATGTTGAAGGTGTAGCGTAGCGTGTTCAGCACCAGGATCTCCGGGAGATTGCGGAAGCAGGCCTGCTTTTCGGCGCGGACTTCGCGATTGCACTGGCCGCATTTGTACATGTTGTTGCCTTCCAGGACGTCCTTGACGCAGACGTCGTTCAGTGATTCGTACAGATTTCGCATATTATTCACCTAAAATACCAAAAATATTTTCATTTGCACAGGAAATTAAAACTTTAAAACTGATTTATGCCACTGGGGTGGAATCACTAAAATAATCTACAAAAGGGGCAAGTACATTAATGTTTCTAATTTATATTTTAATTTATATATTTATATTTTGATTAATACGAGTCGCCACTGGCTACTTATGTACTGATCATCTGACAGCTGTCACAGTGCATCCATCATGGCGATGCGACAAAACAACCATTTTCAACCAAATAAAAAATTTGAAAACTGGAAAAATATTTCGCTTTTTTAAATAAAATATTTTTCATAGAAATATTCGCAAGAAAAACGGAGTATTCGCTGTTAAAAACGCGTGTTTCGAGGCTGTTGCATAAATTATCACAAGAGATGGTACCTTACCAGATTCTGCACCGTTGTTTAGCTGCGCTGCATGCTATCATGCAGTACGACAGTGGATCCGTACTAATTTATACGCGGTTTAATTTATCCGGTTTTGTGGACCCGGTTACTAATCCTAACCCCCAACTAACAGTAACACAAATATTGGAGAAAGGTAAAATACAAAAACTGCAACGCGGTCCTAATCGGACCATTATGAAAAAAAGAGAGGGGAAAGTGCTGGGAAGATCTGATTAGAGAATGCAGTCGTTATGAAAAAAAGAAAGGGGAAAGTGCTGGGAAGATCTGACTAGAGAATGCAATAAGTAATAAACTAGTAATATCATTATAATTTTGAATTAATTTTACAGCAGCAAAAATATAAGCACTTAATTAAATCCACTAGTGATAAAACTGTTACAACTGACAAAACGAATGCAGTCTGCGTCAATCTCACTACATTTTTGTTGTTTTTTAACTGTATTTTCGCGTACTATTACGATTACACGAATGTCCTAGTTGCCGTAAAGTATGGAAATTTTCCTTTAGAATAAAATTAGCAATTAAAAGAATTATGTTGCAACCAAAAACGATCCTTCAAAGGCACGAATTAATAGAAAGATCACGACCATTACCTGGCATCGCACGGTGGTGAATTCTTCCGTCGTCTGCGAGACATGTCCGCAATCCAGCGAAATGACCGTATTACAGTTCGTGCCTGTGAAGAGCTTCTTGACCATGCACTTCAGCGCTGGCGACATCTCCTCCATCTTGGCCACCAGATCGGAGAAGAACTCCATCATATCCTTCTGTTCGGTGGGATTCAACAGCTGGTTGTTCATGTCGTAACTGCGACAGAATCCCTCCGGGGAATAGGCCTTCCGTTCGCTCTCCAGGAGAAACGCGAACATCTTCTGCATCTCACATAGCGCCGCCCAGTTCTTGGGATCGGCCGGGGTGGCTTCGATTATGGCTTTGCGGGCTTCCGGGATCATGTACAGGTGCTGCATGGTGGTCGCCATATAACAGGTTGCACCTAAGAAAATAAATAAATAAAAAATTACATTACTGAAAAATAAAAAAAAACAATTTAATAACTAAACGATTTCATAAACGTTATACAGCATTTTCCGATCACAAGGTGGCCATAGCAGAAAGTGCAGTCTTTCCTATATCCCATGAAAAAGTATACGAATAAATGCCTTGATACAAAGAAGGCAAAATAACCAAACCAATAAAAATACTAGCCAACACAAAATGCACAACGATAAAGCAAAAATACGTAGGGCAAAATAACCAACTGGACTGAAACAGATTTAGCGGTACACTTAAGTCTTAAACCATAAATATCATCATTATTACGTTCACAATCTTATCTCAAAATTAACTCATTCGTGCGAAACTGCAAATAAAAAAACGGTAAATCGAAATTTCGAAATATTTATTTATTACTGATTCTCTTTAAATTTTAGAATGGATAACATACAAACACAAGAACATTCAAGCCGTTGGACTACACTTTCTACGCACAACATCTACCACACATCAAAATACGTACGTATACGCAACACTTTATTCAATAATACCCACCTAAATTGGTAATGCCGACATATCCACAATCCGCTCGCATGTCATCCCGTGGCCAATAATCCCAGTGTTGAATGGGCCGCGCACTGCAATGTTGTTTTAATAACTGCCGGGCTAATGTGATGAAATTCTCCGGGGCATTGCGAGTGATCTCAAACAGGCAGTTATAGGCGGCATTACGCGCCGCCACAGACTTGCATTTCGGCAGATCCCGCTTCTTCTCACACGGCTGTTCGAACAGGCAGCTGAAAATCGTCAGCAACATCTTCAGTCCAGATGGACGGAACTTGAACTGCGGACCATGGGACAGCACCTGAAAATACCGGTACATCATTTAGCAATTTGATTAAAAAATTCAAGTATTTTGAAAAACTTAAATAGAATTTTTGCAACCAAAAAATAATAATTTTCAAATCACAATGAATACATTTGCATAAGCGTTCACACAGCGCAAAAGTTGATACTTAAAAAATTTTTCCGGTAAATACTTCCAAAACTTGTTATGGCGAAATGACAAATGCAGAAACAATTTTCACTACGACAATCAACCTGAGTGGCCACTCGCAGCAGCCCAATCAGTCCGTCATCCTCCAAATTTCCCAGTCGTGGCTCAAAACATGGTCGACTTTCCAGCGAATTTGCTAACTGCTCACACAGCGCATCCAAATCGATTTTCTCCACGACAATCGGATTGGGAATGATCTCCAATAACTTTGAAATTGCTTCGTAGAAGTATCTAAAATGATGCACGATTGATACCTTTCATACCAGAAAAACACAAGAAAATGGAGAAAATATACAAAAAGATATTTCATAAATCGAAAATTAAATTTACCATAACAGCTATCTTAACGTCACAATATTCAAGTAACTAGGAAGCTTGGAACTCAAAGAAGGTCATTTACAAGCCGCTACACTACGATACATTACGACATTAGGCGACCGACCCTTCACAGAATTACTGTACGTTAAAAATGTAACCCAATCATTAATGAGTTAAACCAGGACAAATTAAAAAAAGAAACAAAAAATATTTCTTACCTCGGCGACGGTTTCATCGGCGGCTTATCCTCCCTGCCAGCGGTCCGCACACACTTGATCCCATCCGCCAAACTCATCATCCCCACCAACGGCACCAGCAGCGCACAGCTCAACTGGTACTCCGGCTCATGTCGGCACATTTTGTCAATAAACACGGCCGTCTCCACGGTCACCGCCGAATCCGCCGCTTCCAGCGCCAACCGGCGTAACCAATCCGTTAGAAACGGTCGACGTCCCAGCGCCCCAAAGACATCCGGATTACCGGACGCCCAGCCGGTGAGGAAGTCGAACGCCAGCCGCACAACCGTCTGCCGGGCGTGGCGGGCCGCCCGCACCGGCCGCGGTTCCGTCTGCTCTTTCGGGAAGGACGGTGTTGTATTGGATGCGTAGAGGGCGTCCAGGACTTTGTCCGTGTCCAGAATTTCCAGGATGCTGTGTTTGAATCGCGGTCCCTCGCGTACCACTTCCTGCCGAGAGCGTTTGGCGGCGCCAAGGAAAACTACAACATAACCATCACGATTATCGGCTAAGAATCTGAAAATTTCAACTGGAATTGTCAATTACGGAACCGGGAACTTGTGGCCGAATTTCTTGTCTCCCCAACTTCCAAGTAGAATTAATCAGATTATACAGGACTGAATTTCTATGGTTTACTTCGTCAGACTGTATCCGGCAAAATAAAACAAAAGCAAAAATTCAACAGAACCAGAAGTTGCGCAAAAATTTAATGTAAACGTCCTTAATGGCACGTCAGGTCAACACTCAAAAATCACATTCTAAATCCTTTTAACAGGAATTTATATTACCGTCACATACGTCACTACACTACGATATCTGACACGTTTACTAGAAGCGGTTGCATTTCTGCAGTAGAAGTAGGTGTTCACAATCGTGGCCGCTGTGAACGCAGACTGCAGAGTAAAGCAGTTATTATTCAACTTACAGTACGCGTTTTAAATATGGCTTACATTTGACACTCTTTTCCGTCGCCTTGCGCTTCTTCTGCACCTCATCCTTCACTGCGGCATTCTCTCCCTCCTCCTCTTCACTCTCGCCACTGCTCTCCTCTTCCTCTTCCCGCTTGACCCGTTCCGCTTCCACCGAGAACATAAACACCACCCGGATGAGATTACTCAGGCACTCGCGGTGCTGATCCACATTATCACTGCTCCCCGCTCTCCTGCACTTCCGGCGACAACAACAACTCATACAGCCGCGCGAACCCGCCCAACCGGATGAACTTATCCGCCCACACCTGCGTAATATCCGCCCGCACCACCGGCGAGCGGTGCGCGTTGGGATCGCGGTAAAAATTATCCAGCGCCTGCAGCGAATACAGCAAGCGATGCGCATCATCACTGGGCAAGATCCTCCGTCCAACTCTCCGGGGTGGGTTGGTGATGCGGCGGTTCCATGCTGATCTGATCGGACACGGCCAACGAGGTGGGGATCAGCATGAGGAAATCCCAGAGATTCTTGGCCACTTGTTTCCGGAGGGTCTCACGTTCCTGATCGCCCTGGGTGGCGTGGGCCAGCAGATTCAGCATGTCCTGCAGTTGGAAGAAGATCTCGAAGTTGGCGGGCGAGGAGACCAGCAGCATGGGAACGGTGTCGCGGCAGGGCGCCGGTGGGTAGCCGTTGGGGTGTTTGTCCTTGAATTTCGGCACTTTCCGCTGGTTGGGACCGATCTCCACGCGGATGGCGTTCTCCTGCCGGAAACTGAGATCGTATAGGGTCTGGTCGTCCTTTTCCGGAAGCAATTCTTCGTTTCGGAAATAAATGCTAAAGGGTCCTATAAAAAGAATAGAAAGCCTTTGTGCAAAGGATCCAGTCCCCAGTTAAAAAATTGTTCACCCTCTACAAAGGTTTACTAATAATACCACTCAGTTGGCTTCAAAAGCTTTGTAAACTACGGCGACGAGAGATATCGTGGGTACACACTAAGAGCCACAGCACTACGTTACACGCGCTTACAAATTATAACACATATACGAGTATTACAGTTATCAATATCTCAGTATTTGCAATACTGCAAAGCAGTTTCAGCCCAAATTACGGTACCCAGCCATCTAACATGAATTTTGTATACAGTAATTCTATCCGATTGCTTACCTTTTGTTCGTAGGAAGGTATAAATATCAGTCAGGAAAACCTCGATATCCCTCTCCACCGGTGGATTCTTGTCATAATGCCGCCACACATAGTACACCAGCTCCGCTCGCAACTCTCCAAGATAGTACCCAGAATACATGGTCAACGTGGTTTCGTGCGGACGCTCATCGGGCAGATGGATCGTGGCGTGGAAGAAAAAGTACGGACGATTCGGTGGACCATTCATCGGCAGCGACTGTGCATTGTGACTGGAAAAAAACGTTTCATTAGAAACATAACCTCATAAATTACAGTTTAATAAAAATAACCCGCATCTGGTTCAACTAATAACTTTAGGTCAAAATGTGTGATAGAAACGTGAACATGCAAAAATTCTATCGCTCTCTCAGACTAAATTTAGCAAATTTCTGACAAGAGTAAAACTGTTACAGCGCTGGAGAGGTTCTGCAGCTGCCATCGCGCCATCGCACTACAGCATCGTACACAAGACTTACCTTAGCACTGTGTTGCCCACGCAATTCCACAACTTCAAATGAAATCCATAGCGCTGTCGGTAGCTTTCGATCTGTTTGCGCATCAGCGTTATACAGCGAATGATTGTCGTGTAGGCCGCCACATCGGTTTCCAGTTTATCCATGGCGCCCCGAATATACTCCATGCTGCGCCGAAACAACTCTTCTTCCTTGTAATGTATTACCGATTCCCCCATCGGCGCACAGCAGACCTCCCGGCGATCTGCCAACCAAATTTATTTGCTCACAAGTTTGGGAAATAAAAATTTTAAAACAAGTCCAGTACAGCACCATGTTTGTTGTACAGAAAACTAAAAATTATCAGAATTGTATTATTGTGAAATGCCAGTAGAAATAAACTATTACCATTTTGAAACTAAAATATTACTATACTAAAACAAGAATATCGTTATTTTATTGCGACATGGAACGGCCACGAATAAAAATTCGTGGGATAAAAACCCAGATAAAAATAAAATAATTCCATTATCGTTAAACATCTGCGAAAAATACAGTCATGCACCTGACAATGTGTCAGTAGACGTTACCTTTATGTCCATTAACGATCGTCTGCAGATAGTACAAATTGAGATGTTTGATGGCCAGATCGCTGACTTCGTTCTCCCCGAACATGGCGTGTCCCCACAGTTTCGCGGCGAATTCACCGCGCAGATCGGTCAGTTTATCAATGTGGATGGTGTTGAGCTGGACGAGGCACTGATTGTACAATCGCATAGCATTCACCGTCATCTGGCCCGGCTCCAGTTTACCCAGATGGACATAAAACAGCTGCTGATAGCTGGTCCCGGTCAGGGCGTGAAATTCTTGCCCGCTCACCTGAATAATTGCAAAAAAATACAGACCTCGCAATAAAAATATTCCAATTCGTCCTGTTCATTAGGCAAAGTCAAGAATTAATTTTTTTATCATGAAAATTTTATTTACTACATGCACGTAACAAATTCGATTTGCTGCAGTTCGTCAGCCATAAAACAACAGTTTTATTCTTTATTTACTTTAATTTCGTTGACTAAACGTCTGTAATTAATCTGGCTTTGTAAGTAATAAGATACAAATTTAGTTTTCATTCAGTTTTAATAATTACCTATTTCATTAGTCAGATGCTTAACGGTTACAGAAACTCTTCAATTAATCACAAATATTACTGTACCAGTCCCAGCCACTGCGACAATTCATCAATTAACTTCAGTTTCACGGCCAAACATTCCCACAGTTTATCCAGTTGGTCCTTATCCAGGCGGAACCGGCGATCGGTGATGGGATTGGAATACACCGTCTGCAGGAAATTTAAACGGATGCGGATTTCCGCGGAGCGTTCCTGCTCGCACGGCGGCGGTTTATCAGCGAAGACCTGCAGATCACTGAAGAAATGCGCCATCAGACCCTTGACGTTGCCGGCATCGAAGGGCCGGCCCGAGTTCGGTGCCTGGATGAGGCGTGTCAGCAGGCGCAGTGAGACGCAGACGGTCAGGTGCACGCTCAAGTTGGTCACACAGGCTTCACAAAATTTCGTAATTAAAAATTGCGAACCTGCAAAAAATAAGAACAGAAAATTAAATAATTACAAATCAATAAGATCCAGTAAATACGTGTACTATAAATAAAAAAAGCAAAAAAACATTATGAATAAATAATACATTACTACAAATACAAACAACGTAAAGTAACATAATAAATAATGCATCAAATAACCCTTTTGAGATTCATCAAAAACTTATTCCATTTCAATAAAAACAAATAAACGACTTTCGTTATAAATAATTTTCTGGCGTATTGATCTTCTCGCATGCAGACAATTTTAAAAATCGAAGAAAAAATTACGATACAAGCTTAAATATCCAAAAACGCACCGGAACTGATGATAATTTGCCCGAGCTCCTTTTCGGCCAGACTGAGCACCGTCGGACTGACTCCCGCACAGCTCTGCTCCTGAAGCAGATCCCATAGCAGGGTCTTCCCCGGCTTGGCGGCTTCGTCAATGTTGTAGGCGATTTCCCGGGCACGCGGTGTATAAGTAATCTGGCGGTTATTGGCCAGATGAAACGTCTTAATGCTCCGTAAATCCTCACTAAAAACAGTTCTAAAACATACAAAAAAACCGGTTTGTGCTCCCATCACCCGCAACATTCAATGCAAACACACCCGACACGCGCGAAACAATTAAACATATTTAAAAACATAATAAATAAGAATAAAGAAATCTGAATACGTCCAACGCAGCCAACAGTCTATGTGTACGTGAAAATGTGCCAATAGGTTCAAAGCAAAACCAAAAAAAATTTCAAAATGCAATATTTACTATGGAGCTGCTCAACATAACAATACACCAACAACGCACAAGACTCAGTGAACAATACAAAACAGTAGGAAGCTTTATTTATTTAGGAAGAACATTTATTAATGCTTTTTTTTCGTTTCTAATAAACATTTGTCCGTACTAAAAACAAACGCTAATTCACAAGGAGATACTTAAGCAACAAATAAACGAACAACGTAGCAGAAATCTGACGAAACTCACTTGATAAGGGAGGCAATATGCGGCGACTGCATATCCAGATCCATATCAAAATCATCATCCTCATCGTCGCCCAGCTCACTCTCGGGCATGGCCTCCATGAGATCGGCTTCGAGATCCTGCACCTTCTCCGACATATCGCTCGTGGAGGAATTGCACTCGGCATCCGCGCCGTCACTGCCCTGCGTCATCACGTCGTCGTCCGTTGTGCCCGTCTTAAAGCTCATATCTTCAAAAAACACAGTGTAAATCAAATAATTATTCCCGGCAACATAGTATACTGTTAATTTGGACCTACCGTTCATGCTATCCGCAATAAACGTATTGCCTTTGATCACCACTTTCTCCTTGATATGCGGCTGGATCTTGACACCCGGTGCCGCGCGCAGCTGCTCCATAATGGCCGAATTGGCCACACTGGCCGCTACGGCCACACTGGATCCCGACCAGGAGACTGGGCCCACTATTTTCCCTACACCCAGCAGTTACAATTTAATTGACAATTTATTACGATTTACAACCGAATTTTTCAAAGTGAACGCTGAAACACTGATATGTGGCTAATGTTTCACAAAATCTGAAAGGAGGCAAAAATTACAAATGAAAATTCGAAAAATCTGAAAGGAACGCCAATTTCCGATTTTTTTTCCATGGATTCGCGAAAATGACCACAGCCGTTAAAGGAAAAAAAATTCCATACTTGCTGCTTCGAAAATGTCGAAATGAGAATGCTTTGTTTACGTGAAATTAGTGAAAACTCGCATCGAACCCCTGCTTACTGCCAATATACTACAACATACCCCGCAAACCACACAAACGTAAAATAGAGAGAGAAGTCCATTTAAAGTACGGAGAAAAGCCATTAACTTCACTCTCCAAATATCTGTCAGATGTTCTCGATGATATCTTAGAAACCGAGCTATTTTTTATATTTGATGAATCTCTAGCTGTCAGTTGATAACAGAATCTGGCTGCGTTAATTTCAGAGCATTAGTTAAATTCACTAATTTCGTTTAATTTCGTCTGGGCCTTATTAGAATATTCCCCAATTCGACTCCTTACTCTTTTGGTTAACGGGCGAATCTCCCGACGGACACGGCGAGCGCTTCCGCCGGATCTCTCCACCTCGTCCTCCTCGCCATCCTCCTCCGATCCACTGGATCCCTCCTCCTCACTGGGCCCGGCCGGGCGGATGGGCACGGACACCGCCTTGCCCACCGCCTCGCACGCCTGTTTCAGCTGCTTGCTGTTGATCTGTTTAGCCTGCAGCTGTAGTTGCGCCAGCACAGGCGGCTGTTTCCCAGGACACAGCGCGGTGATCGGCGGAATGCGGGTGGGTGGGTGCTCATCCACGTCGCCGTCCGATTCCAGTCCGTCCGAGTCGGAGGCCTCCTCCGAACCAGATCCCGACGTGTCGGAACTGCCGCCCTCCGAGCTGGACCCGGTATCGCGGTGGTACAACTTATGCAGCACCTGCAAGTAAAACTCTTTTAACACGGTTCCCGGAAGCGCTTTTTTTACTTAACGCGTTGCTTTTGTTTTCCTTAAATCATTCCCTATGAAGCGTTCTATTTACACCCACCCAATACCACGTTTTATTGACATGTATCGCGTCTTAGAATTACATTACAAATAAATCAGCAATACAAATAAATAATAATAATAATAAATAAGCAACTAATTAACTTAAACAATATTCAAATTCAGCGCGATTCTAAGACCCGCGTTCTATGTACACCATGCTTTATTTTATTTGCTTTCTTTTATGCACACCTCCTATGTCCTTACTCCTGTTACAAATTCCAAAAGGTACCCACCGTCCGCTTCAAACAATTTACTTTTGCCCGGCAAGTTTATATTTTACTTACACCTAAACTAAACTACATTATAAATAAATAATTATCCAATAAATACTCATAAATACAATAATAAACCCCTGCAATATTTTGGTTCACAAAAATCCACCAATGTACTGTACTTTCACTACCGTAGACTTACCGCAGCCTCGCGGACGGTTCGTGCCTGCATTACGGGGCCCACTTGGGAGGTGGATTGACGCGGAGCATGGTCCACATTTTCTACAAATTTGCAGAAACAGTTTTCATTTAATACATAAATCAGCCATTAAGATAAAGTAAAATAGAACAAAATTAACCCAATCGTCCTACGAGCATATTACTGTAGCGCAAAAACCGCTCTTACGTCGCGCGGCATAGGCCGTTTTCTGTTGAATTGCATAGTTCCAGATCGTCCGAATGACCATGGATATGACGTTGATGGATTGCTCACTGTGGCTGGCCGCGTCCATTTCGCAGAGTTTTTATACAGGTGCATCAACAGCGTCGGTTCCAACGGACGGACAATGTTCGGCAGCATTTCCATCACGTGGCGGCTAATGTAGTTCAGCTACAGAGAAAAATATGCACTTATGCAGAGTTCATTATCAGAACTGCAAAAAGGTCATAAACGAGCAAACAAAAATTATGACTAAATCACAATTTGTGCTGTAATGACTATGAAAACTGTGAGGTGACAACTCATTTTCAGCACGAACACTCTGAGGAAGTCGTCGTCCAATAATGCCAATACACTACGATAAATAATACATACCACTTCACGCTTGAAACGGATAAATTCCCAAGAAAAATTACCATTTCACCCCCGCAAATTTATTAAATATTCTGGTTGTAGACTCACATTTTAACTGTATAAACCAACCTATTTGCGGTAAGAATATTTAGCTGCCAGTTGGCACCTTCTAAAATTGCGGAAATATCAACTCCCATTATTTTATGAATTTACGAATCGTAAATCGAATTTTTTCGAACTGCGAATTTTATTTTAACTAATTAATTTTCGTTTGCCCTTATTCGTCACTCTGTAGAGGTACCTGCGCCGCATTCCAAATACAATCCAACTGCTCCACCGATAAACAGGCGTGCTGCGAGAGAAAGTTGATAATCTGCACCGACCGCGAGATGAGCTCCACGTGCGCATTCTGCCCGAAGATCTCCTCCACGATGCGCCGCTCCAGAATCCACGTGGCAATGTGGCTGCCCAACTGAATAATGATGCGCGGATCCAGATCGGATACCAGCTCATTGAAGTTAAGAATATATGTGTTAATTTCCTGAATGCCGATCAGACGCAGCGCCAGATGGGAACTGCAGCTGAAGAATTTATGCGCCAAATTTAATCCGTCCAGATCGAAGGTGCCCAGCGGCCATGACGTGTCCTTGCGGAGATTCCACATGATTTCGGCAATATGCCGGCATTGCTGCTTACGAAAATCTTCCAACGGAAGAGTGAGCAAATAGCTGTAAAAATCCAGATAATAATTTAGTTCTGTTAGCAGAAATACAAATAACGTTTTAAATCATCACATATGGAAAGCAAATATTAGTACACTGATGAAAATAAAACTACTCAATTTATTCACCAATTAAATTTTATTATACAGTAATAAAATATAATGACCCAAGGGAACAGCTAGCATCACTTTTGCACGCACACCATCTTACTCGATTAAGTAACAGCAATGCGGACTGTACGGTGTACACAGGAAACGGGAAGCATTTCACAAAATCCAAATCATAAAAATCGGCATAAAATCCAAATGAAACTATCACGCCAAATTGCCAGTTCACCATTAAAAATTACTAATTTTACAAAGATATCGAAATTTTATTTCGGCTGCAGGAATTATAAGCGTATTGTATAAATATATTCGTTGTTCTAGTTACAGTAAACAGCACCTCTGCACACCTGAACACTTCCACTGCACTACCCAATTTCCATTTTCCAGTAAACATCAACATTAGAAATTCTCCAAGAAAGCCGGCACTTACTTGATCACACTTATCCGAAACGTGGCAATTTGACTGAGGAACACCTCAAAATACACGAAGTTTCTCACCTGTAAACAAACATCCATATGAGCATCGAACTAGGTCAATCACAGTGCACCAACAACAATAACAAAACCCACACACACACACGCGCTGTATGCATACGCACATGAAACGCCGATGACACCAGCATCATCGCTTCGGTTAGCGAGGAATTTTCCGAATTGGCCTGATTGAAATAACTGGTTAAATATGAAAGCCCTCCTTGTGTCACCCAGTACGTGAAAGTATCCAGAAAGTACGGCGGACAATTGCCGGCTTCCGACGTTTTCCGCTGCATCTGTGCAAAGTAAGGCCTCGTCAACTTTTACCGCGAAACATTCTTTGCTTTAATGTGTTTTTTTTTCATACAAATTTTGCAGCATAACTCTATCCCTGCAGTTATTTTCTAAGTCCACAAATTGAAAATAATCCTGACAATATTTCTTTAATCCGTGACGCATAACTACCATAAAAGATAACTTTACACAGTAGACCTGCTTTTCATCTAAAAGCACCTAACATGAAAACCGAAAATTTAAACGCTTCGAGGAATACCACTATCACCATACCACTATCACAAGCAAAATTCCTTTAAATGCGACAACAATCAAATAGAACTATAGTTCGCCATTATGGACTATCTCTATGATTAAATCTCAAATTTTGTCGATCGATTTAAAATCGAAACCAAAAACAGAAGCGCAAATATTTCTCTCCATTCCAAAGCTAAAACAAATCACATCAAGTAATATACCAGATAAATTAGAGCAATGAATCAGAAGTAATTTTACAAACAAATTAAATCAAAAACAAAATGAAAACACTTGTGTCAGTTTTCTCGTTTTTTTCGGTAACTTTATTTCACAATTCTGATGGTTCCAACCAGACACACTACTGCCTGAGAATAAAATTAAGAAGACAATTCATGTTAAACAGTAAAAATAACAAATACGGTTATCAAGCCACAAAATCACGATGTGAGCTTACCTCATCGCGTAACTCCCTTTGCATGATATACTTCCCCGCCACGTACAGCGCGTAGGTGGGCAGGAATACCCGATGGTACGTACAGATAAACTCCTCCAACTCCTTGGGCGTCCACACGGCAAACATCTCCAACCCATCCTGCGTCCGTCCCCATCCCCTTCCGTCTCTGTCGGCGTCACGGAGACCCGGGCCGGTGTCTCGTCCGGCTCTTCCTTGGAGGTGGACGGCACCGGCTCCACGGGGGATTCACGTAATACACCCACTTCCGGGGTGGACGGCAGCGGTGACACCGAGGTGAGGACGGTGTTGTCGGGCTCGGATGACGGCGTGGGATTGTCGGGCAGGGTGTCGGCGGAGGATCCCGTGGACGACTGCCGTGAGGATGATTCGGCCTTGCTGCGGCGCTCGATACCAGCCTGGCAGCTGGCGGCGTAGTGGATGCCCAGCAGGATGAAGGCCAGGGTGATGGCGTGCAGGGCTTCGATGTCTTCATGGGATTTGAAGAGGCAGGCAATGTGGCTGTGTGCAAAGTTCTGATTAGCTGGCCTGGAAGGAAGAAAAATTAGTCGTCAGTTAGTTAGCTGCTTGTACAATAACAGCGCTTAATTAATGCAGTAAAAATTCCTGTTAACAAGTTTACACTCAAATTTAAAATCAAATATGATGTTTTTCTTTAAAAAAAATAAAAGTACCTGCGAGATACCACTGTTGTCTCGCAGTATTTATTACCTACGATACGCACTACGATACAAGATATTATTTTTATAGAAAGATAATAAAAACTATATTTGGCAGTTGGCGCTTCTAATTTATCTGCTTGTATACTATAATGCGTATATTTTCAACATAACCACCATCCATAGCATTGATATGCCGCCACTGCACTACGACATCACTTCCTTAAATTAAGATTTAAAAAAGGCTAAACAGGGCAAACCGGCAAACACAAGCTACACATCTCACTTTGCTGCACTCTCTGACAGCGGCTGTAAAATTCGTCAGTTTTAATTCTTACAAAATTCAAGAAAACGTTAATCAACGTCTGCAACGACCGAACAATATCCAATCCACCAACAAAAAGTGCACAGTGCACACGCAGTCTCGTTACTCAATATTTTAACTGAAAAACTATTTCAAAAAAATGTAACACTTTCCCGAAACTATGTGAAGGCGACAACAGCTCTACACGATTAAGCCATTGCGATATCGGTGTGCGGGAAAAACCTTACCAGTGCTTGATGAAGCGCATCAGAACGAAGGCCTCCTCTTTGGATAAGGGCCGCACCGTCAGCCAGGGCTGATCCAAATGATCCGGATGTTTGGCATGCTGCTCCTCACGGATGGTCCGAACTGCAGAAAAATCGTTTGCTGATTTTTATATACAAACAAAACCTTCCGACATCACAATTCAGAAACGTTATCAAATTTAATTTTCCTAAAATGTTACGCACAATGAGCATTAAGCACCCATGCTTACAACATTTCCACTTCGCAGTTCAAAACTGGTTGATTCAAAAATAACAATTAAAACATCTAAAATACTACGCTGAGTACGCTCAATAATTGACAATCGCGTGCTAAACACTGAAGGATTTCAGTTAAATCTTTCGATATAATAAAACATTTATTAAGTTGATCATTAATGTAACAAACAATTTCCAATTACAGTCAACACCCATATTGTTTAATGATAAATGATAAATCGGTGATTTAACAATATGGTTGCTAATTGTGTGCTAACTGAATCGAGTCTTCAACGCTCCTTTCACCAGCAGCGTTCGAAACTTTTATTAATACTGAATGTCAAAATTAAAATATTGCGTAAAGATAAAAAACACTATACAGTAACAGTATAATATAACAGTAAACGTTAAATCGCAAATTGCATTTTTAATTTTTCACTGGATTTTTGCATTTTTGCAAAGCGCTGGTTAGCTGACTTCACTTAAATGATCTAATTTATAAATTAAAAAATTCTCCTAACACACACAACAAAAACCAAGTATAAATCAAGAATTACGACTTGAAATAAATCTGGAGACCTCAAGTGCTGACAAACCAAAACAAACACGCACATTTGCTCAACAAAGGCCTGAGTTCCTCGCAGCCAGGACAGAGTTCTTTGCCAGGTGGCATCGTTCACATCCAATCAGATGACGGATAAATGATCAATCCCGTGTTCCCCATCGGCAGCACACAACAAAGATATCCCGTCTGAGCAATCGAAAGAAAAGCTAATAGTCTGCAAACTATAAAAACCACAACCAAAACAAACCGCAGAGAGATCACAGCATCACAGAGAATCAATCAAATGCAGCAGCGTGTCAATCGTAGCGCGCACATTGAACGGTGCGATGAAAGATCTGTTTCGCAGAATCACAACAAATACTACAAATTTTCCACTCGCAGGTCTCCTACTGGAATATAAACGTGATCAAAGAAACGATTTCTCACACCAACCGACCTGACCAAATGGACAGCTGAACTCAAATATTTCCCAGTCTGTGTGCTGTGCGAGAGACTGGTTGGAGAGACCTGTCATTTATTATGAAAAGTCGGTTCAGATCGGTTCGGTTCAGGTGCTGCGCTGGAGAGATGAGCGCCGTATCTAACGTGTTACAACACGACTGGAGAGCTGATTCAACTGCTCAGAAAGCAGGTGTTTTCCGTTCAGCGTACAGCGAACGTGTTAAATCGAGCGATTTTATGGCGGTAACATTCGTTTGCCCCATTCAACGGCGGGCTGACGTCATTTCCACCAGACTTCCACCCGGTGGAGCATCCAACTGCGGACGGGAAACAAGTCGGTAAGCTTCGATAGGCAATAAAAATGGTACGCAACGCAAGTGAGTCTTCCGCTTCCCCTTTTACGTTGCCTGTCTGTTTTGTAATTATTTGACAATTTGATTTTGCTGCTAATTATTAGTAAATATGAAATAAAAATCTGCTATGAAAATTAATAACTAATAATAAATTGTATGTAGTTTACACTTTACATAGTATTGAATATCAGACAGCAAAAGCCCCTGGTGGCCATCTTCGGCACACCATGCCACTCCGAAAAGTTTTCGTCAATTTTTGTCTTTTGACGAATTTCTGCCTTTTGGCTTTGGGTTTTGCGCTTCGCAATTGCAGATTTGCTTTGGCCATTTGAGATGAACTAAAGCCTAAAGTTACTAAATAAACTTTAAAGTCTTTCATTCCAAAATCAGAAGCGAGTGTCTCGCGGCAGCGCGAGAGGGTCTCTTTTTTGTCAGTAACCGAGAGATCTGTTGGCTTGTGAAAATGTCGTACATGCTTCCCCATCTCCATAACGGTTGGCAAGTGGATCAAGCCATTTTATCCGAAGAGGATCGTGTTATCGTCATTCGTTTCGGGCATGATTGGGATCCCACGTGCATGAAGATGGACGAGGTAATGACAGTTTTTTTACCATCATTCCCCTAAGCTTGACGCATACGCGAACTGCGCACGCGACATTGTTGAGTACGAACACACTCGAAATATTGACGGAAGCTCAGAGTCCCAGAATTTGCTGTTTATCTCGTTTCAACATTTCCCACCTCACAGATTATTCACTTTACATATGAATAAAATTCTAGCGGCAAATTGTTAATTAAAAAATTAAAACCGTGATGGTATTACCATGTCAGATCGACAGTTTTATCGAAAGCCATTTGCTTCGCAGACCGCAGTGCAAGAATTATGTTCGAGAAATCGTTTTTAAGTTAACGCAGTACACTAAATAAATATTACGCACATGTGGACTGTACGGTGCGCGCAGCAGAATTTTGATTTAACAAAATGAATTTTGCAGACGTTATTTGGTATAGCGGAGAAAGTGAAAACTTCTGCACCATCTACCTAGTGGACGTGACGGAAGTGCCGGATTTCAATAAAATGTACGAATTATACGATCCGTGTACGGTGATGTTCTTCTTCCGCAACAAGCACATCATGATCGATCTGGGCACGGGCAACAACAACAAGATCAACTGGGCGCTGGAGGACAAACAGGAGATGGTGGATATCATTGAGACGGTGTACCGGGGGGCGCGGAAGGGACGGGGTTTGGTGATTTCGCCCAAAGATTACTCCACGAAATACCGCTACTGATCTCGCTGTTTGGATCCCACAATCTCCTCTTTAATTGCTTTGTCCACTCTTATGTTGCATTTGATCTTTTCGTATTCAATCGTGCATCTGGTGCATTGATATCGATCGCGTCGTGTTGGTTTGTGGGTTGACGGATAATTTTAACGTTGGAAGGATTTTCTTACACAGTCTTGGAGATATTTTTTTCAGTTTTTTTAGCAGTACAGTTTATCCAGCCAGTTGTATTTTTTGTGAATTTTGTCCAGATGATATTTGTTCTGATGTATTATAAAATTGTGGCGAAAATGACGGCAAGATTTCGTCTCCAAATACTGCGACTGAATTTGTGTTAATAGCAGAGAAAATCAACGGAAAATGTGTTAACAAAAAATGAATATTCTGTGAAAAGGTGAACCGGGACTCCGGGAGTAAATGCATGTATTTGTTATTTTCCGCACAAGTTGGTGAATGTTGCCGCTGATTTTTCTATCCAGTTTTGACTGGTTGACAGCTTTGCAAATTGAAGAAAATATAAATATTCACACTACAGTACTGATGTTTTTGCATTGTTTGTGCTAGTCGCTAATAAATTTGAAAATATTTCTTATAATTATTTGCTTTAGTTTTTAATTGTCTTTATCACGTGGTTAAATTAAGTTTTGATAATTCTCTTGTTTTGTCAATGGTAACAGCGGTATTAATTTAGCGTTACATCAGAGTTTCCAACAGGTTGGGTCGAGAATTCTCGGACAGTTATTCTAAAGTCCAAAGGAAATTCCAGTGAACTTGAATCGAAAATATTTTCCTGATAGAGTATCCGATAAATCTTAAATTCAACGCGTGAACCATGTGCATCCATTCATCCATCCAACCGTCAACGGACTAGCCCGCGTGAATGTATGTTTCGTAATATTTGTCGTTTCCGGTGTACGACTAGCGGAATGGCCGAGACCTTTGTAACGGTCTGTCTGGATATTTAAAGCGCGTTTTCATTCATGCCTACTTCGTATGTCGCCATTTAGTTGTCTTTTGCGTCTTGAAAATTTTTACTTGTTGCGAATTTTATTTTTTTGCATTTTGATAGTTGTTTAATTTATAATCATGGCCGGAATTTATACCGTGTTAATGGTGGGAGTTTTGGCAGTTGTGCCGGTGTTGTACGGGCAAAATCAGAATCTGACCGCTTCCGGTCTGAATAATTCTACCGTTGTCCTGCCGGCACCCTTTATTCACGGAGCAGGGTACGTGACATGTCTATCGAGAAAAAGATTACTGTTCTAAAAATATTTTTGATTTTTACACCATTTCTAACTGTTTCCGCTACCTACGAAATTCTTGACTGAACTTGTTCTGTCCGGAACATCATCAATTTGCCATTGCACTACAAATCCATTTCTACATACAGTAACTCAATAAGGCTTTATATGGTTACGTCCAGTAACTTTTAATATCGACCTACCATATGCATACAGTAATACAGATATGACAACATGTTTTGATTATGATTGCTTTATATTTATTTACATTGCACAGTGCGCAAACAAAATCCCGAAAAATTATCAATCATTATTTTATAATTTATCAATTTTAAATTTATCAATTTTAAAATTATCAACCATTATTTTATGATTTATACTGATATGATTGCTTTATATTTATTTACATTGCACAGTGCGCAAACAAAATCCCGAAAAATTATCATCAGTATAAATTATTAAATAATGGAATGTTATCAATATACTTTGCGTTAATCAAAAATATATAATTATATATGTATAAAGGTGTTCAGTTGCTATACATTGATACGATTTAATTATTGCCGATCACGCCCGTGTACATGTAGTTTCATAACTAACTGCCGTAAAAAACGGCCCTATCGGTGGCTGTAAGAGATTATTCTATGGAAGCTATACCTCATATGTTTATGAATATACGATTTCTTGGATTGCAGAGGGAAATCTCTGAGCACCGAAGAAATCGTCCAGCGTGAACGCGACGCCATTCCCAATCTGGCCTCCCAGCCGCTGCCCTCCGCGGCGGGCGCTGCTGCTGCCCTGGCCGGTCACAATGCCGACGCCAGCAACACCAACACCACGTCCTCTTCCGCCGGGTCCTCCGCTGCCGCCGCTTCCGACGCGTCGGCCTCCCAGTCGCAGAATGCAACGGAGGCCACAACCGCTGCTGCGACATCCGCCCAGAGCGCTGCATGACCTTACATCGCCGGACCACGAAAACGGCCGTTCTTCGTCTATATACACCTGTCTGGTCATTTTTACCAACTGCATGGAAGTAAAAATAATATTATTATTAACTGGACATAATGTTGTTACAGTTAACACTAGCGTTAACTTGAAGAATATGGATAGAATCAACTGTTTGATTTTCTAGTGATAATCTTCAGTACCAAAGCGGCATGACGTTGTACTGTACACTGTATGTACAGTAAGGCATATTTGAACTCTGGTTTACAGAATTAAAAATGCTATTCAGAGTAATTATTTCTGTGTGTTTATAATCCATTAAGTTCAGGTGCATTACAAAAATAACACCTTTATAATTGGCCGAGTGGCTTATTTCTTTATCATAGGTACATGTAGGCATAATTGTACACAGTTATACAAAAAACTTGTTAGTTGTTACTGATTTTTTACTTTCCACGAATACAATGGTACATAAGTACACTACCATATTACCATACACAGGGCACAGTCGTGATTCGTGAATGTAACAGTATACTATGTAGAACAGGGGCTCAAACGAGGTATTCCAAATTCGCCTAGTTGAATAGCTCAGGAATTATACTTTCTGGTCGAATTTAGTAAGTAATTCTGTTAATTTCCCGTAAGCATTTTTTTAATTTCACAGACATCTTTTACTCCTGGTGATCACAGTTTTACACGTTTACGCATAAATTACGTTCTTGTTTTAGATGAACAATCGTGTATGCGGCATTTTAACTGCGACCGGCACCGGCGGTCAGTCAGTAGCGGTATTTCGTGGAGTAATCTTTGGGCGATATGACCAGGCCCCGCCCCTTCCGGGCGCCGCGGTACACCGTCTCGATGATATCGATCATTTCCTGTTTGTCCTCGATCGCCCAGTTGATCTTGTTGTTGTTGCCCGTGCCCAGATCGATCATGATGTGCTTGTTGCGGAAGAAGAACATCACCGTGCACGGATCGTATAATTCGTACATTTTACTAAAATCTCCCACTTCCGATACGTCCACTAAATACACGGTCGCGAAATTCTTCACTTTCTCCGCGATGCGAAACAGCGTCTGTCAATAAACGAATATAATTTAATAACAATTGTTTCAAATAATAGTACAATCTATTAAAACATGCATGAAATAAAAGAAATTTTACAATTAACTTTCGGTTGATATTATTGTTCATTTCAAAAATACCGTAAGCAGTATTTCTGCTGTCTGCACCGACTGCACGTAATGGTCATGTAAAGTTGGCCATGCATCCACTACCAAGTCAGGTGTTTCTAACCATTAAGTTTTGATTTAATTTCCTGTTTGTAAATTGTAACTACTAAGAAAAACGAAATACAAAATTAACTGTGTTTTCACGTAATTCTATTGTATTCTTGCGCTGATAGACATAAATTATTAATTATATACTGCGTCATATCATGGACGGAAAATAAAAGCAAATACTTAACCAAAAAATTATTAATTTTGTTGAAGTGTTACCACAGATGTTGTAACCGCGTTTCAAGTTACCACAGATGTTTTATGGATTGACCTCATCCATTTTCATACACGTCGGATCCCAGTCGTGGCCGAACCGGATAACCACCACGCGGTCTTCTTCCGATAAAATAGCCTGGTCCACTTGCCAGCCGTTTTGTAAATGTGGCAGCATATACGACATGATCAACAGTGTTTGATTAATCCCAGGAATTAATTTAGAAAACGGCCCGTAATTTCGGAAAGGCTGTGATTATGTATCAGCCAAAACTTATCCACCCTGATGGCTTGCTTACTAAACCCAATTTGCGAAAAGCTGTATTTGTAAGTTTTTTAAACGGCTGATTTAATAACAATCGGCTGGTTTAATCGTCGAAGTGCCCAGTGCACACACAATTCAGACACCCAAAAAATACAGGCGATACTCTCCCAGTTTCGGAAGTTGCTATGGGAATTCTCCCGAGAAAACTTGACTTACTGATACTGTTAATCCCGAGATGCCACATACAGGTTGCTTACAGGATGGACATTTTTTAAATATTACATGATAAATAACACTGGCCGAGCGCATACAGCAGCGGCAGTCGGCGCGGAACTAAAAATCAAACAATAATTAAACAGACGGTAAATACACGACAATAACAAAACAACGTCGACTGGCGGAATAGTAAGTAGTGTAAAACAGTGGAGGTTCCATTACGGGCATAGAAGGGGACGTTTCAGTAGCGATCGCGCCGACCACCACCCCCGCCGCGTCCACCAAAATTGCGCCGATCGCCACCACCGCGTCGATCATCATAGTCATCACGTCCGCGCTTCCGCGGTGGACTGCGTGAACGCGAACTGCCGCGATGGCCGCCGAACGACGCTCCGGGACGACGATTATACAATCGCCTATACAACAGCAACAATAAAGTAAAGGTAAAATATGTTCAAAGTGGACTAGAGTGGAAAACGAAGACAGCACCAGAATAATAAAGGCAAAACAATCGCTTATTTTAAGCATAAGAGACCATGTTAAATTTTAGAATGTATTTCACTGATGATATAAATTCGTAAACGTTATTGATTATTCTGCTGAAAAAAATCTGGCTTTAAAATTTGGCACATCAACAGCATCACAATACAGCGTTAGTGTGCATAAATTAGTAAATTACTTATGTATGCAGTTTTCCAGGTCAGATGCTACACTTACAATGATTTTTAATCATATTTTACTTTTTTTCGGTATTTCGGATAGATGGAATACTTGACAAGTTGACTAATAAAATATTAGGCAACTATAAGATATTGCCGCTTGCGAGTGAACCATGCAAGGAGCAGAATTGTTACAGCCAAATAAGAGACTGAAACGACAACGTACTTGCGCAGTTCGCGACTGATCGGTTTCAGATGCATGAAATTGCAGAACCCTCCCCGGGTGCACTCGCCCATTTCATACTGCCGACAGCAGGCCTCGCGGAAGTCCGTAACGGGTGACAGTTCCGCATAGATGGGACGGCCGTTGAACCAGCGATTATTCAGCTCGTTAACGGCTCGCTCGGCGTCCTCCTCGCGACGAAACTGCAAATACGCCATAAACAAAATTAAAACCCGAAAATTTACTAGTCTTACTGTTTGAAATCTTCAACGCAAAATTACATAAAATATAATAAGGCTTTCAACATTAAGCGCGACGGAATAAATCCGAAAATTAATGGATAAAAATCCATAAAGGTATAAAACCCAAAAATAACAACATGAAAAAACTTTTTCAAGCTCAAGAATTCGAAGTTTTCGAGAGCAGTCAAAAGTCAGCTGCGAAAATTTTCTAACGACTGCTTAGAAATGATAATTAAACATTATCACCAGCTGCAAAAACCTTTGCCAGCCATCCCGTTCGAAAATCGGAAAAGAACAGAGAAAGTTCCCCAAGAAAACATTCCAAGAACTCAACAGGGGGGTTCCCATACCGTCTTTCCTCACCTTAATATAGACATTGCCCACCAGATGATCGCCGAGATTATCGCAGATATTCATCTCCTCAATCTCCCCGTAGCGGTCCTCCACCTCGGTGAAGATCTCCTCGAAGAACTGGTCGAAATGCTCCTGGATCTCCGTCTCGGTGATGTTGCCCAGATGCGAGCCGTCCGCCGTCTGGGCGCTGTTCTGCGGGTTCTGGTAGACGTTCAGCAGCACGATGGTCTGGCTGAAGGTGGGCTTGTTGTGGATACGCGAGCAGCGGTCGCCGTGACGGCAGGCGCCGATCTTAAAGTAGAAGGAACAGTTGACTTTGTCCTTCTCCGTCCCGAAGATGGATGCCAGATACTCGGCCATATTTGTGGTACTGTGATCAGTAACTGACGACGTTCACTGATCGTCGGGGAATCTGCGCGTATTCCTGACGAATGGTATTGTAAAGGCAGAAATTTATGACAGCAATCTGAAAACGTAAAATCGCACTGTAAAATAAACTGGCAGCTCTGGCAAGATGAGGAAAATCGACAAATCATGAAATCGGAAAGGACGGAAAGCACTAAGCACACAAAAAATGTTGCATAAGCAAGCTTATGCGAGATCGCAACAACTTCCGCTTTGCCTGTCAGTGCCTTCGTCACTCTACGCCAGTGACGAAGCTTATGCCCTCGTGTGTCTACACTGGCATAAGCTTCGTCACTGGCGTAGAGTGACGAAGGCACTGACAGCCGACAGGCAAAACGGAAGTTGTGCCTCACTAATGCGGATCCCGATGGCGGATGCCTGGCGACTTAAAACGCGGCCGCAGTTTTCGCTTAATATTCGCTCCTGCAGTCCTCCCAGGACCCCGCGCGCCAACTGTACCTCGATGAATCCATGGTCATCTTGGCCGACTCCATCCCCAAGCCCACCATTATCTAGTGCTGCCCCTGGAGCCCATCGACACCGTCCAGGATTTGACGCGGGAGCATGTGCCGTTGTTGCGGCATATGATACAGCGGGCGCAGTGCTTTGCGGATGAGTAGATTCAACCGAAAACGCACTATCCGCTGGTGCTGGGATTCCATACGATTCCGACGTTCATCCGGCTGCATACGCACATTATGACCGTGGATTTTCAAGTTAGTGCGCTTCTTGTCGAATTGAATAATAATTTTAGGGAATTCGCTGGCCCGATTAATTCTACTGTTTTTCTTCTGATTTCTTAAATTTAAATATTTTAAATTTAGTTTTTGTAATAATTTTCGTTGATTTATTTAATTAATTTTGATATTTTTTGCCTTTGCTTTTTCTAATTTTCGTTAATTTGTTTGGTTTTGCTGCGGAATAATTTTCTGTTTGTAGTTTTTGCCAGATTAAAAATTATTAAAAATCGTTTTTGCCAGATGCCTAAAATAAAATTGAAAATTATTATTTAGTTTGCTCGTAATTTTTTCCGCATGGTTTTATTTTCTTCGTTTATTATCTGGACTATTGCTCCTTCAGCGCGCGCGCTGTTCATGGACCCGGAACGGGCCATCGGCACTTCAGAGGCGGAAGGGCAGATCGTGGTTGACAAGGAGCAAGCCAAACTGGTGAAGACGGAATTTACCGAGCCGCTGTTGTGCGTCTTCTGCCGGTAGCCTTTTCCGGCTAACAAGATGGCCGAACTGCAGAAACATCTCGCTGGCCGCGATGCCGACCTGCACGCCGCCGAGACGGAGGATGCAGATGCTGGTTATGTCTGCCAGTTAAAGGTCAATTAAATTTAATTACAATTCTTAGCCGACTCATGAATTTTGCGATGGATACTGTGAGCGCCAATATTGTGACAGGTAATTTAAATCGATTATTTAGTTATTGTAAATTAATTGGTTCTTTTTAAATTTTTGTTGTGAGTTTATTTTTTTTGCTCTGGATTAAATTATTGGTATAATTATGAAACGAGAAACCGTGGTTGGAATTGTCGAGGAAATTCTTGGGAAATTCATTACGAAACATTTTCAATGAAATGACGGTTTCTTATTTGATTGCGGTGTTTATCAGGCTGTTAGAATTAAAAGGCCGCAATCTTCCCGGCGTTTGCTGACGGACTGCAAATTGCAGGACCTACATCTATTATGGAACTAAAACAGAATATTGCCATAATAATATTGCAAAATATATTTAAAATTATTTGGTGTGGAGTAAATGAAGTTATTTATGACTGTAAAATGGAAACAGTTTTTTGTATAAGCTCACCTTGAAACGTTTTATGCAGAATAAAATAACAAAATTAATAATAAGTTTTATGCAGCATAAAATAACAAATAAGCAGAATTTAAACAAAATATTGTAAATGTCGAATAAATCATAATAATAATTGATGAATATATAAAATTGACTGAATAAAATCACCAAAAAACAATTAATCTAGTATACATTTTAAAATAAGTATAGAATAAAAAATTATTCATACTACTCGTAGTCGCCTGCATAGCGCGGATGAGTCGTGCGACGTGCAAGCACTTTCAGGACGTGCAATCACTGTCAGCACGTCACGTGCTGCGCTTCTGACGGCTCTACGAGAAATTAGTATGGAGGCTGTGCAGCACGTTACGTGCTGCAAATCTCCTAATATCAGCCGGGACCAAACTACCACTCCGCGGGACGGTACCACGGCTCTGCCGTGGCACCGTAACAAGCGTGCCTATATACAGCCGGGCTTATTAGCGCCAGCACTGGTAGCGGCTGATATATGCACACTTGTACGGTACCACGGCTCTGCCGTGGCACCGTAACAAGCGTGCCTATATACAGCCGGGCTTATTAGCGCCAGCACTGGTAGCGGTTGATATATGCCGACTTGTACGGTACCACGGCTCTGCCGTGGCACCGTAACAAGCGTGCCTATATACAGCCGGGCTTATTAGCGCCAGCACTGGTAGCGGCTGATATATACACTTGTACGGTACCACGGCTCTGCCGTGGCACCGTAACAAGCGTGCCTATATACAGCCGGGCTTATTAGCGCCAGCACTGGTAGCGGCTGATATATGCACTTGCCGGCAAACGCTCGCCGTTATATACAGCCGGGCTTATTAGCGCCAGCACTGGTAGCGGCTGATATATGCACGACCATCGGTTACGGCTCCGCCGTACCGAACAAGCGTGCCTATATACAGCCGGGCTTATTAGCGCCAGCACGGTAGCGGCTGATATATATCGTATGGCACCACGGCTCTGCCGTGGCACCGCAACGCGCATATACAGCCGGGCTTATTAGCGCCAGCACTGGTAGCGGCTGATATATGCACACTTGTACGGTACCACGGCTCTGCCGTGGCACTGTAACAAGCGTGCCTATATACAGCCGGGCTTATTAGCGCCAGCACTGGTAGCGGCTGATATATGCACACTTGTACGGTACCACGGCTCTGCCGTGGCACCGTAACAAGCGTGCCTATATACAGCCGGGCTTATTAGCGCCAGCACTGGTAGCGGCTGATATATGCACCTTTGTACGAATGGCTCTGCAGCACGCACGAATTTGCTTCTCTGCTTTAATTGCGTGTTAATTATTGCCCAACGTAGATACTAAGCTAGGTTGAAGTCTGAAAATCCCGGCCGTTAAGGAAAACGAATTCGCAAATTGTGGCTCAATGCATAAAGAGATGCAGTGCAGTTTAGCCATAGTAATTTAATTGTCATCAACCTGCCGTAAATCATGTTCTTATTGTGGCATTGCGCTTGCTTTTAAAAACGTTAGTTTTAGGAGCGCTAAAGATTTTCAGATCGCTATACGCATCGTGTAACATATGTAAGACATTTTTAAACGGTACTACGCATTCAAATTCTTGATATTTTCCTTAATACTCGTAGAATCATGCTTGAAACTATGAATCTGCAGCGAACAATTAGATGGCATTAAGAAATGGCGTTTAATTGGTAGCCGCGTTACACTGGCTATCTACGAGTATTTGTATGAAAACAAAGCTGAAAAATGGTTTACCAACGATCTCGCTGCCTTCGCTGTCCCGCATAACGCTTTCCTTGTCGGTTTTATCCGTGAGCTTTTTCTTTAAGGCTGCTTTGATTCTGTGAGCATTCTTTACGCGATTCCACAGCATTCGCGGTCGCCATTCCAAACCATTCGCGAATGGTTTGTACGAACCGGGTTAGATATGTTTCTGAAGGCCATTAAATGTCCATTTCTTCGGACTTATCGCCGATACGCAACGGAATCAACAGAATTTTTAAAAGAATTTTGGACGCGCGGAAGGCATGCACGGTTGACGGGTCAGGTCGTTTTGCGAAGAAGGTGATCTTCGAATTTCCTGTCGAAACTTTTCGAAGAACGCTTTCTTTTTGGCAATCTTGTATCCAAACGAAGCAGGATAAAAATGGGACGATGTAAACATTAATTAACAATTCTACAGTCATCCTGAAATTTTTAATAAATCATCAAGGTGACAACTTGGTGACAACTTGGCGTGTGCACCCCTACATAATAAGATACCAGCATAGTAAATGCTACCTGAGTATGTAGCTAGCAAACTGTGCCAACCATACCAACTACATAATTGTTATTATTATTAAGTCTGCAGTGGGTAACTTACTATTTAGCACAATACAAAGAAAATCTAAGCAGCCTTAGATATATTCACCACAGAAAATTAATTATTACGATTCAATCAGTTGAAATGCAAAGTATGACGGTTCCGTTATTCAGTAGACTGCACATATTCATCGCGTAAGTTTAGTCGATCTCGCTGCCTTCGCTGTCCCGCATAATGCTTTCCTTGTCGGTTTTATCCGTGAGCTTTTTCTTTAAGGCGGCTTTGATTCTGTGAGCATTCTTTACGCGATTCCACAGCATTCGCGGTCGCGGTTGTTTGGGGACAGCGTAGCGGGAGATCCGGCGCTGTGCGCTAAAAGGGTCATCCAGAACATCCGCTTCCATGTTGATTTCCATCCGCTGCACAATATTCTGCAGCAGCTCCCGATGCTGATCCATTCGCCCATTTAAATTTCGCAACCTTTATCAGAACTTGTTAGTTTGCCGGATGCACAAACACTCAGAAAGTGGGAGACAACTTATGATCTTTGGGTTTAATTACCTGGATCGTTGGCCATGGATGTTTTGTACCAACAATGTTGAGTTAATGGATCGTTCAGCGGTATCCTCGCCGGGCGCAATGCCTCCCCCGTTTTGCTGAAGGTCATCCAGTCCGCCCACCGACAACTTCTTCAGCCACTGTTGTAGCCGTTGACATCCGGAAGCGTTGGGAAAAACGCGCACTTGCTGCTTCGTAACCCGCCGAAGAAACCATTTGGGTAGTTTCTCCTCGAGATTGGTATGCAGCTTTACCAGCATGGTCAACATGTTCAGGGAAGCATTGCGCTCCACCTCTTGCAGATTCTGAACCACAATATTCATCTAGAACCAAAAAGCGTTAAAAGAAAAACGCCGGTTAAGTAGTTGCCGGTGCAAACAAGTGAGAAGTGTGAGCACACCAAAATGGCTTGAATGAGCAGCGTAACCATGCCAATAGTCACCAACGCCAAAAAGTATGTCGCTGCCGGGAAAACCAGCATGTCGTTTAATAACGGGCTGATATAATTCTGAATGGCATCGACGTCTCCAACCAGCATATCGGAAACGCGGAGGATTGATGACTCCAGATCCACACTGGCAGTCTGGTAATCGTTCTGATCGTCATCCTTATGATCAACCTAAAATCAAAGTTACAACTAAACCATGGCTTTTTGTGACCGCTGTCTATTGCATGTGGATGCTCCAAAAAGCCCAGCGTACCGTGTATCATCAGAAAAAACTTCGGCTAAAATCTCCCCAAGAGCAATGTAACCTTTACGTAAGGAATTACGTACATGTATATTGTACAGCCAGTACAGGCGATTCTTACTTGATAGAATGCAGCTTTATCAGGAACGATCTTCTCCGGATTCAGTACACAGAACGCAATACTGAAGGCGACTACCATAATAAAGTACACGCATATCGCCCGGAAATACACTCGCATCCCACGGAAGAAGATATTGACATACACGCCCAGTTTACCGTAACGCTGAAAGTGTACAATGAGATTTATCCACGAGAAGAACGCCGCTATAGCGCCGAGAATCCACTGTACGCGCCAGGGAATCAACGCATCCGCCGTGTCGAACAGGCCAATAGCGAAGCAGAGCGCCGAAATGTACAGCGCCACCTCCATGTAATTTACCAATCGGAAGAAATATTTGAATCCCTTTGATAAAGATACATGCATTATTTTGGATCTTCTGATAAAGCTTCATTATGTACTTACTTGCCAGTAAATCTCGGCTATTTTCTTTAACAGTTGAAAACTTGTAAAGATCACGACGAGCGTGAGGAACCCCTGCGACATTGGCGTCAACTGATTAAAGTCGTACGTGAGAGGACGGGACCGAAGTGCGTTTGATTGAATTCGGGTTTGTACTTCCAAATATTCTCCTGGCTGAGGCGTGTCATATGCGGCTTTAACTCTTTCTCAACGCCGCGTAGTAAGAGAAAGGTCAACAGAGCCAAGAACACGATGTACAGCAACAGGTTGACGAAATGGAAATAAATCCCGTATGATGTCCTTTAATTATTAGTTACGTAAGACTGTACATCTGGTCGTATAGTATGGAAACTTGATAATGCAGACGAAGGCGACCTTTCTTACCATTTGGTGTCTAGATAGTGCTTGCACACGGGATGGCTTAGCAGATCCAGTCGTTCGTACTTGACAATACACTGTATATTAAATTCTTGTATAGAGCAACGTGTTTGAGCACTGTGCGAACGCTTTTTTGTCTTTTAATGTCGTCTTACATTCATTGCTTCCATGCTTTTAGCTTTGTCGGTTGCGTCACCGGGCTGAGTGGGAGCGTTATCGGGCTCCAGAATACGAAAGTCATATACAATCTGGAATTATATATGACATATCCTGAACTGCTTGTAAGAAAACCAAAAGCGCATTGAGTGACGTACACAGTAGTCTGGCGATAAAGGATGACACTGGGATGAATACTGGCACCGATCGAGCAAGTTCTGTAAACAAGGCTCTGTAATTTTGTGTCAAGTACATACGTATATACGTACATACGCTGTACATACGTTCATAAAATTACGGCTGCGCCACCCATACGCGTTATATGCGTATATATATCGGACAGTACGTAATATTACTAGTTTATATTTAGATTTATTAAATTTCAGTATTTTGTGTTACATTAAATTATTATTTTACTTATACGAGAAATGCAAAAATTATCTATTCGCAATGCAGAATGCGACGCCGCAGAGCCATACACTCTAAAAATCGCAGTACCTCGACGACTTCCGGCAGCTTTTTAATCAGCCCCAAAATTGGCCATTTGTAGAATTTGGACGGGTATGCCAGAAGCTCTTCCCAACGCGGATGATCCATCATAGCGGCGACGGAGATTTCGTTCTTGTTATAAATCGCCAAATCCAGCGGTAGTGCTCCGGCTTTATTGGGCGTAATTTCCGCTCCTGATGTCAGAAGGAAATCCACGCAATCGCCGGCATCGCGCTCCGCCGCATCGTGTAATGCCGAATTCTGCAGTAGATCGTGCCGTTAGAGAATTCTTAACAGAATGTGCATTTTGCGTTGCAAACCAAAGTAGCTCCATCTAAGTAATGAGAAATACGTACACCATCCCGGTCTTTGATTTGTGCCAGATAGCCGTAACTTTTCAGGAGCAGCGCACAGGATTCTATTTGAATCACAGTTATTACAAATACAAGCGTAGAGCAGTTGCTCCTAAATAAATTTTTGTAAGTGGCTTACCACGGCTGTTTTGCATAGCCGCAAGGTGAAGCGCCGTTTTTCCCGAAAAATTCCTAGCAACAGCATTCGTTATTTACATGTAACGCTAGTAAATCTGCGAACGTTGTGATAACTTTTGTATGGTTCCAGATTACTTATGAATCAAAGCTCCATTGGTCAACAGAAGTTGCACAATCCGACTATGACCTTCCGCGGCGGCAAGATGCAGTGGTGTATTTCCTATTAAAAGCAAAAGTCTTATTGCAATACCAATAGCGGTGGTGACCTTTAAGCATTTACCTTGCCGATCGTATGCGTTGATAGTGTTCAGTCCTTGCGGAGATTCCAGCAGTTTTTTCGCCGTGTTGTATTTTCCAAACCTACAAAAATTCTATAGTTAGCGTCGCGCGTGAAATGTCATGCATGCGTTTTTCGTACGCCGCAGCGACATGGAGTGGCGATCGCGACTGGCCATCCTTAATAGCACCCTCCGCGCCCATTTTAATCAGCTCTTCACTGGCCGCGCCCAGACCGCCTTCCGCGGCATAATGCAACGGTGTATAGCCGTTTTTGTCTTTTTCATTCAGCAGTTTCATGAAAATTTCGTTCTGTTTTCGAACAACAATGTTTATGACGCAACGACCATGATTAAACATTTTGTATTCATTGACGTACGTCGTTGATTTCTTTAGATATAGTATGCTGATCGGCCCCGCTGATGATAACATAATGCAGGAAATTGCGTTCGTCCTTGTTCTGGACCGACATGTCGGCGCCGTGGAACAGCAGCTCAGAGATACAATCCTCGGCCGCCTGCGATGCCGCACTGATGAGCGGGGTGTTGCCGGCTTTATCCTGTGCATCCACCGGCGCTCCCTGAAATTCATTAACATTAATCCGCCGCGTAATAAAGCTGTCGCCGAAGCGCGCCGTTTTTATATAACCGGAAGTATAATCGGTAGGGTAATATGTAGATAATTTGTATTTCGTCACATACAAACAAAATAAGCAGCTAGCGCACTATCGGCATGACGACAGTCAAAGTTTAAACCACTTCAAAAGTTACATTCCAAATATGCAAATCAATCTGCAGCTGTGCCGTGCGAACTTACTGCTTGAATTAAGATGTCGATCAAATCAGAGTGGTTATAAATTGCCGCCCTGAAAAACCGCAAGAAATTAATAATTATTTTTCAACGGATTAACGCTTTCTTAAATGTTACATTTAAAGTACTACGAGTAGATGTTGCATTATGTAAAGCACATTAAGTACAGTATATCGAAATATCTAATATACTCGTACATGTGCGCTAACACATGTATACAATCGCAAAAAAGGTCGTTTAGTGTAAGAAAACACATATTTGTGGTGTGTGCTAGTTTTGACTGGCGCACATTATTAAATGAGCGAAAACTAGTAGGAATCCTGTACCTGTCAGAACTACATCCTGTACTACCTGTGCAGTGGCGTCAAACCGTGGTTATCTCGCTTAGACAGCGCCTCTTCCAGTTCATTCTCCTCACCGGCATACTCGCAGATCAGTTGTACAATTTCCACCGATCCCTGCGTGCACGCCAAATGCAGCGGTGTCGTACCGTCTACCGTCTGCGCCAGCACCGCCGCCTTAAACGACAACAGCACTTCCGCTCCCTCCACATTGCCGCCGTACACCGCGGCATGCAGTGGTGTGCCCTTTTCGTCGTCCTCCAGGCTGACCAACTGCGATACCGGGTAGCCGGTGTTGTCGTCTTCCAGCAGGTACCGCAGTGCCTGGTTAGCGCCTTTAGAGGCGGCCAGATGGACGACGGTCAGACCTTGGTCGTTGCCATGCAGGATATCGGCGCGGCGTCGGATGAGCATGTCCAGCATGCCCATCTGGTTCAGGCTGCCGGCTATTTGTACCGGTGTCTCGCCGTTAAAACCGGGAGTGTTGACGTCCACGGTGGAGATATCCAGCAATTTCTAAAAATATTTAAAGTACTGTACCTAAATAATAATTTTTTATTCAATTCAAAAATTCATGTAATTTTGTAGGCATATGCTTAAGTAAAATTCAGCAAAACATTTTTAGTACGTTCATTTACTACCTCTATTTTATTTTTGTATCAATAAATGCCCAACCCGTTTTTTTCTTGTCCATGCGTTGTTATAAAAATTCAGAAAATTCAGCATACCTGGAAGGTTAGTACATACCACATAAACATAAGGCTTTCTTGCATAAAAACACAAATAAAAATAAAGCTTCGCTGCATAATCATAAAGGCGTGATACATATGTAAAGCATGAACCGGGTAAATTTTAAGTTCATGTTTTAGTCAATAATAAAATTATAAAATTAATTTTGCAGTATAAGACTATTTTTGGAAAAACTTGAGCCACATACGGCAAGCGCATCCGTACACCGTCCACGGACAGCAACATGCAGGGGGGTATCCTGTTTCCCGTTCTTTACTTTGGGATTTGCCTGTAAGGCCAATAAAGCGGCAACAGTTTTGCCACAGTTTTTAAGTGCTGCCAGATGAAGCGCCGTATTTCCGTCGCCATCAGCTGCGTCAGTATCTGAAAACCGTGGCTTTTTGTAAAGCAGCAGAAACAAATCCATTACCGGTAGGCAATAAATTACGCGCGGCGGAATGGCATTGTTGTTCTCACAATCAGACAAACACTGCTCTTCCGCGTAAAACCTATGTCTGCGTATGATGATTTTGTTTTTCCGAACAACCGGCATTAGTCAGCCAAAATTGATAATAATTTCATGAACGGTCAATGCTGCGATGCTTTGTCCAGTATTGAGATTACCATAGACGCCTTTTATTTTGTACGAATTGTGCTCATAGTAACTTAATAGTAATTGTATAGTAATAAATTAATTTTGCTCAGTTTTAATCTTCCGTACCTGCGCCGCTCTCTATGAGATCTTGGACAAGTGAGAATTTTCCATCCATCACAGCAACATGGATAGCAGTTTGACCGTGGCCGTTTCTTGCGTGGACCAAATCGACATTGTCATGCATTAAACGTTTGACTATATCCCGATTTCCAGCAGAAATTGCCTAATACAAATTTATATAATGTAAAAATTAGAAACAGCCAGTTCAAATGTAAACAGGTGTTGGCTTAACTGAAAGTCTGAAAATATAATACGAAATAAAATATCTGCTATTTTTGTTTTTGTATAAAATTTTGCTACTGCTAAATCGCATTTTACGTAAAAAAGGGTTACGAAATATTTTATATAGATATAATAAACATTTCACACAAATGTACACATAGACTATATTACTAATACTAGTACAAATACCCATGTCATTAGAGACGATGCCATGTTGTTAGTTATCCGTAGGCTCGTAGCTAAAACGTAGTACACTGGCTCAGAACCAAATTCGAGCCATCTGTATATAATTAAACAACGTCGAAAACAACAACGTATGTTGTCGAAAAAATTATGCAATCTTAATCGCAATTTTTTACTGTCTTAATTAACTCAAAATAAAATAATTAAGAAAAATAATAATTGACTCAAACTAATTTTAAAATAAAATAGCCTTTCCGTTCAATCGAGAAAAATAATTTAGTTATGTTGCACCATAATAAAATCACTTTTACCCACGTTATTTATTAATGTAAACCATTGTTTTTCATGAGCATCTGTAAGTCCATGTACAGCCAATAAAAATTCCACAAAACTATGGCTCATACTCGCATTAACCTGAAAAAACCCCGTGACTATTCGGGATTCACCGATGCTGCTGTCCAACGAGGAATTGGCGGTGGATGAGGTGCTGACATCGTTGCTCCAGCGCTTTCTACCGGTTGCCGATGCCGGTTGGAAGCCATGGATGGCGATGCCCTTTTCCGGCGAAATAGAGTCCCGATAGTTTCTGGCCACACTGGATGCTAGGGAGGCGTTGTCTTTGAGCATTCCATCGGATAACGGCGGAGGGGAAAAAGATCGTTTCCATTTCCGGAACACCGAAGATAGTTGCATGTTTGATGAAAAATGATCAATCCTGGTTTTACTTAACAATTCTATAGTCCTAGCTTGTTAGCTGGTGTATGGATAATGTATCGATTCCATATTAACAAATAGCCCAATCCCGGTATGATAGTAAATTACATATGTTAATCAATTTATTATAAATTTTGACAAAATATTCGATTAAGCAGTCTACTTGAGATCAGTATTATTATAGTAGATACTGTAGTTAACCTATGTATAAAGTGGCGTATTTAATACCGTCACAGAAACACAGACAATTACAGAACGATACTACGCACTTTTGACCAAATCCGCAAATAAGCGCGCTATGAATAACAAATACCGACATACTCATTCTTAAAACCATGAAGCAGTATTAACAAAATAATATTGTACAGTTGTTCGAAGGAAAGGTCCGCGTAGCGTTGTGTACAGGTTCATATGATATGTGTTGTGGTATTTTCCTTAAGCTGCACATGCCGTGAGCTGTTGTTTTTGCCGGTTTTACTTTATAACATCGGTGCGAGCCAAACTTATTTGTGAATTTTCTTAATCGTTATTTCTGGTCATTGGTATAAGCGCAAAAACAGCTTCCAGCTGTCCAAACTACGGCCAGACAATTTGTTGAGTAATGTGTGCAATACACAGAAAAATAATGTTTCATGCATACGAGTTGCTCACAATCACATCAATGAAAACAACAGACAGATGCATCACACATGATGATGCACATACTACATGATACAAACAAGAGGCTATAACTGCTTATAAAAATATATAGATATATTAATACTTATTGCTGGTACAGTAATAACGATTTAAATTATGTCTTCAGAATCCGCAGCTCCCGTTCACGCTCCTGTACGGTGCTAGCCGCATTGTATAATTCGTAACAGAAGAATGAAACGTGAAGAAATACGCACTTTGTACTAATATTCTAAAACTGTTCAAAACAAATTTCCCACGCTTTCAAAAAATTAAACGAACAGATACCTGTCAAAAACCACAGTTACGTAAGGTATCAAAATGCAGTTTACATAAGGTATCTCCCGTTTCTGTTGTAATGGCATCGAAGCCACAAGACTATAATAAATAACTGTATGGTGCATTATGCCGGTACATGCATCGTGATTGCCATAATTTTTCATGTCTAACGTTCCAATAATAATGTTGCTTCTCACCCGGACGCCATTATTCACATTGTCCCGGGAAAAAAAACATCGCTAACATCACTATAACACTCGACTGTTTTAAATTTTTATTCATTGACAGTAATTAAAATGGAGAATTTCGAGCGCAGCAGAAACGCCCATGGTGCTGCATTACACCATAATAACAGACGAATGACGAACTCCGTCTAAAAAATAAGTAATTTCAACTGCAGTTTTTTCCATATTGGTAAACTAAAAACATCACTCTTAAATGGTTAAAAGAAAAAATAAATTTTACTTCCTGTTGCTTAATCGCGTCATAGCGAAGGTTCGAAATCGAATTTTGTTTTCTAAAACGTTACGCACAGATTCAGGATTTGCAAAATTATAGGTGTGAACGTAGTAGATTGGCTGGAACAGTCCAAGTAACAATCGGGAACACCTAATTAATCTGGGCTGAACTTAATAACAAGTTTTCTTGAAGTATCTAAATGTTAATATAAATTTTTTTCCGGTTGGTATTTCATTTCTAGTTATGGTTGCTAAATAATGGATTCCAGTTTTCGTTGCTGAAACTGCACGCTGGACGTGTATCTTAAGGGCGTTGAAAAAAAATTATTTTTCTTTAGTTTAAAAACAGTTTAGTCGCCCATGAAGTCTGAACAGCAGAACGGGGTAAACCTATATATAATGTTTTGTAATCTTTCATTCTTTATTATAATATATCTTGTTATTTTGACATTCTTTTCGTCATTCTTATCAGCCTCCGAGTTTATCTTATTTTATTTAAAACCTCGCACGAAGCCGGTGCAAAATACTGGAACATTAATCCATTATTACATGAGTGTACAGTACTTCTTGTCTTCCCGCCATAACTATATGAATCTGTGAACAAAGAACAAGGTCAAATGGTAATGTTGCAGTTGCAATCTTATAAAAAAGTCAAAGATAATTTTGTAGACGTGAATTTTTATCGTACTGCTTAATACCGGTCAAACTTCGTTACAAGTGCAGACTGCAGCCAGCAGAAAAGAAACGGAACTGACCTCCACATATTCTATTGTCACGTCCACTTTAGACCTCTGTCTACTCCTACCTTGACAGATCCTGTTCGCCGGCCACAGAATGCTCTTGGCAGTCTATTTAAAGGCACTGCTAAACTGCATAATCGTGATGCGAGTTTATTTTAACTGCGGCCAAAATCACCTTAGCAGTGCATTTTACCAGTGTGACCTTTCGTTGCCAGTGTCATTCAGCCATCTGTTTACGTCGTGACTCGTAACTTTATTAAAATGAGGCTCTCCCTGGTTTTGGCTTTCTTGTTTTGCTGTTGTATCCTATTGTGCGGAAGCGCGTCGGGAGCTTCATTGAGATCGAAGGGACGCAACATGGGACGTCAGGGACGCCAGCTGGGCGTGGGCGCCGGACTGGGCTACGGTGGACAACTTGCCGGTCTGCAGAGCCAACTTCAAGGAATTTGTAAGTTACAGTCTTTTAATTTAATTACAGCAATCTTATACGCTAAACAGTATAGTTTCCTGCATGATTTATTAATTTGACCAAAATATATAGAAAAAAGTCGAAATTACCATCTCCGGCATAACTTTCGATCAGCTTTATTAACACATTTACAAAAAAACATATAAACATGTTAACCATTGGGTCTACTTCGTTATTTAACCTAACTTAATTAGTAAGTTAAAATGTTTGAAAAAGTTGCAGAAACAAAGGGCGAATTAAGTTAATGTGATACAATATCAGTGAGATTTTATTTTTCAATATGTACAGCAACGAGCACCACTCAGTCTAATACAATCAAATGAAGAATTTGTCCCAGTTAACACGAGAAGTTAGATGTAACACAATAATAATTATAATAAATGTAATAGACCTAGAATATCAATTAAGTTTATATAAATGTGTAACAATATTATGAACTAATTTGAATGATTAATCTCTGCAGCATCCGGCTACGGTTACGGCTACAATAATGCCGTGGGATTAGGCGGCCTGGGCATGAACAACGGATACGGATTGGCGCTCCCGTTAGGCGGCCTTATAGGATGAAGAGCCAGTCGCCGCCTTTCAACCGTGACATGCATCCTTCTTTTCGTTATTTTCTTGTCCGGGTTAAAATGGGCTGGCCTAGTTTAACGACCGATACACGGTGATGCAGGACCGCTGAATGCGTGTCAAGTTCGGGCTGGTTCCGTGTTATCTCATTGTCAACCATATGAATAAAGCCGGAAGAATGGACAGCAGATGGTACTTACATAGGTATATGACACTACGTTAATGCCAATCCGGAATATGGCATGTTGTTGAGTGGCTTTTTTTACGGTATCAAAGCATTACAAACAGCTTTTAATATTACTGATGTTTGTGATTGGCTTGTAAAATTCGAAAAATTATTATAGCATAATAATAGGACTAGAGTAATTTATAGGGTGTTAATTGTAATCGTCAAATATTATTAAAATAGTATTTTGCTTGTGAAACCATGTGTGTAGAATCATCTTTTACCGCCGTAAGTAATGCATTAATACATACACGGGATTGTACTAATTTTGTACTAATTTTTCTCACGTGCGCTTCTTATTTTGCTTTATATTTCGAAGGCGATGGGTCGCACGCTGTCAGACTGTATCCCATTCATTTTCGGAGTCGGCAGCAGACTTGGCCCATTTTCGCTTTTAATCCCACTTTCACCCCACCCCCACCTTCACAGTTTTATTCCCAGCCCAGCCCACCTCCGGCCACTCAAATTTTCAGCCCATCTCACCTTTGGACCTCATTTTCATCCCCATTTTTTACAGGCTCAGCGTCGTTAATTTCGCAAGTTTTTCCGCATACCATAGAGTTGCTTTTTGGTTCCCAAGAAAATATAATTACTTATTGATAAAATCGCCGGAAAATTTTAGTTTTAGCTCGAATGCATTTTACATGCTCCTAGCCTGAAAACAGATGAAAATATGAAAATATCAACATTTTTATTTTTATTTGTTTTCTGGATCCATCCCATCTTTCAACAATCCCAGCCCATCTCACCTCATCTGCGGCTCTTTCCCACCTCATCCTCATTTTACCTAAAGGTGAGATGGGCTGGGAAAAATGGGAAAAATTTTCACCTCACCCAAAAGATGGGCCAAGTCTGGACTCGGCAGTGAAGAAACATAGCAAAACCCGGCTTTCTCCGCCCATATTGTAAATAATTTAGTCTGGTTCATGTTTTATGCGTTCATTAACAGCAGTAATAATTATTACTAACAGTACCACATATGCAACGGAAATACACGATATCTGCCGGCAGACCGAGCAAAATTTTACAGTTTATCGTTTTATTTGCTTCTCCCGGTGGGAAATAAGTTTCGAACAGCGAACCAAACGAGCCAGAATCCGAAGAGTGGGAAGATGGCATCTTAAATCTCACTTTCAGACAATCTATCATGCGACAACTCATGCGTGAAACCGTGGCGGCATCTACATGCCAAGATCTGATTAGCGCTTTCGCATCCATTCAACGGTCGGTACATCATGTTTCGCAAAACAGTAAACGACAACGTAGACACCTCGGCAACCTGAATTCTGCTGTTTTCCCTGTTGGGTCCAATCGTCTCCTTTGTACTTTAACAAGTACAGAGGACTCTGTACCTGTAAGTCCGGATAGTTTCAGTTCGCGCGGGAGCGGCATTTTATGTATTTATTCAAATATCTCAATGCCTCGCTAATAAGTTCACCCTAATGGTGCAATATACGATTGAGCATTTCATTTAATTTCACATGAAACAGAATGTTCCACAGGAAACGTACTTTACGTGAGTCGCCGGAGAACATCTGATTTAATTATTTAAGTCATTTTGTGGGGGGTGCCATACGCGTCATATGTCTCGGCCGCCGTCGGACAGTTTTCTACACGAGCTCCATTACATCCGAACGTGTTCTTGACTTCCGCTATCGCAGCATCGACCAATTGCCTCGCTTCCGGTTCGCACACAGTGTCCAACATATTCCCGAAGCATTCCTTTTGCCGTTGGATTCCGCTGTAATCATGGGTCGCAATACATGTAAGTGTTCGTTGAAACAGTTAACGGTGTTTCTTGTAACCAATATTGGCTAATCTGGACTTAAGCAGTTTTAACACCGAAAGATCGATACGTATACGTTAATCCAAGTTTATCGAATATGTTTGTTTACCAGCACAAAAGTTTCAAGAAATGTCCATTACTCCACTGTGTGGCTTCAATTCGCTCACGCTCACTGGTGCCGAAATACTCTGGAGCTCCAATCTGCACCAACGATGACGATAAAGGCCCGGCGTTAAGGCAGTACGATGCCCTCCCATTGCTGGGAGTGTGCTGCTGCACTCTCTCTGCACACTTTGCCAGGGTCCAGGGTCCGATATTTGTCGTACGCCCCCGGGCGTTGGCAAGCGGCGGTTAGCTGGGACACACCGGCAACGGCTTCATGGATATCCGTCAGATTTAACGGGATACAAGTGTTCAGATTCCGCTGTGCACAACTGACGAATTCCGTGGCGATTCTGTAGTACAAGTACCGGAAAGTCGTGAAATTATATCACACACACCATATAAATTAATTTAGTATGCGATACCTTACCCTACAGTGGAGATTACAGAGTCTGCATTCTGCGCAGTGCTTATGTCTTGTAAACCATACATGCAGACTTCCAGTGCACCAGATTTATCAGAATTTTTAATTTTGTTTTACCTGCAGAGAGTGTCGAACTGGGTTTCAGCTATTTCATATCGTTGACTTCCTATCATCGTCTGTCCTTCGGGACTCATAATGTACGTTTGAAAGGGTATGTAGCACGGCAATACCGTGGCGTAATCACATCTCCATGTCGGCACTTGAACTGCTGGAGCGACGATGTTCACCAGGGCGGAAAAAGCGACTAATATACCAGATGCAAAATACATTGCTTGGACTGCAAACTGCTTGGACTGCAGCTTAATGAAGTGAGTTTCGCTGCACTATTACACTTCCCAATTTTACGAACAGCGGAATTTTAAAATTTGAACTGCCTAATGTGCCCGCTTTATATGCGCAAAGTGTTTCGTGTGCACTGTGCAGTAAGCGGTATATGTTTACGCATAATAATTTTTAAATGGCTCGTTAAACATTAATATACTGATCATTGTGATAAGAAAAGCTGTTGACTTCCTCTGTCCCGAATGCAACGGGCAGTACAGTATTCTATGCAATAATGATTGCGATCTCGTGTTAACTAATTTCAGGGACCTGCTAAGTGCTACGCTCTGCAAAATGAGCAGTTGATATCTTTTTTTAGATCAGACCTGCACTATGGAGCGCAGCGTGCAGGTACACACGACAAGACAAGGCAACTTTATTACCCCAGATTTCTTCTGGCAGGGGCACACCATGCGTTGTGCCGTATGATTAGGCATAAGCAATCATAAGAGCTTTTGCATAACAGACACTGAAGATGTCAAGGAAATAACAAGTTAGAGATGTAAGATCTTACATCTCTAACTTGTTATTTCCTTGACATCTTTCGAGGTTCGACATGAGGTTCGAACCTCATGAAAAATATAAACAAAGTTGACTGCATCTTAGTTATACTGTGTACAATTCAAGGCTTCACATAGGCAACAGTAATAATTCGCCACTAAATACTTTGCGGTTATCTATCCAAATCTGGTTTAAAAAAATTGCTCATGATTGTAGCAGCGCTTACCGCTTTTCGGTTGACACCGATTCAGCGCAGCTCTGCAGTACAGTAACTGTGCATATTTGGCCAGTCATTCTTTACAGTTTTACTTGCAACAAAGTGAGAAAATGTGTACGTAATTAACTTTACTAATTAATCGTAGCCGTAAATAAAGACATAATTACAAAACCTATAAAATTACGGCGATCATTCGCAAAGCAACTTGACCCGGCAAAGGTCATCCCAGATCATTCGGAATACGCGCAACCGTTTCACTTGAATAGTAAGCATTCTGCGCTACGTACGACCTCCTGTCATTTCTTCACTGTCGCTCTGACGCTGTGAAAAAATCCTTTTAAATTGTATAGGAGGAAAGAACGAAATTACTGTAGTTTTCTGAATATCAATAAATCTATAAATCTGAAAAAAATAGCACCGACTCAATCTTTAATGAGAAGTTCCGCAGCACTAGTGCCGCTAGGTGAACGTGTCCTGCCTCTGCCTGCTCCTGCCGGGCATTGCACACGTTGCGAAAACATCGAGCAGCATGTGTGACCTTTTCGTACACTAGAATGCCTGATGCAGCGGCTACAGTAATGCCGCCGACCTGGGTATGAGCAACGGATACGGACTGGCGTCCCCGATTTTGGCGACCTTAAGGACGAAGAGCTTGCTGTCCTCCAAACCGTGACGTTCCTTCTTTTCCCTTATTTTCTTATTGTTAGCCCGGGTTAAATTTGGCTTGGCCTAATGCAGCCACACTGCATGGTGCTGCAGAATGCGTGTACAGAGTGTAGTTCGGGCTGGTTCGGCGTATTCCCATTAACCAACCGTACTGCCATCAAAATCAGCAACTACGAGTACGTTGCTCCTTATCTAAGCGGCACTTAGCTTTTACGTAAAACAACAGCGAAAAAAATTCTGGGCGGAGGTAATTTTAAATAAGTACTGGTTGTATAGATAAGTACTTCCCCCTTCGGTGTCAAAAGCGGGTGAGCATGACGCTTTTCGACATTATTGTCCTATTAAGTCTTCGGCTCACATGTGTTCAAGCGACCAGTAACCTGCTTGCAGCAATTGCTAAAAGATGTTATTAATTTTGTATAGATTTACAGATCTCTTGCAGTATACACGTAGTAAACGTATTTTTCGCATTATGATCGAGTCAATAACAGCACTGGCAATATCTACTGTACATCCAGACGTTGGTCATAAGTGAGCAGTATATCCGCACTACCTAAAGCAGGTTTTCCGCCCTCAAGTTGAAAGGAGGAGGTGCATCGAGACTGGACATCGGTGCTGGAAACCACCGCAATGCACTTACTGCATACTTCTACGAATGCCTGTTACAATGTCACCAATTAAATCCCAGATTTTGGTTCTGTGCGAATATAGGCCGTAGGCATGTACAATATGCATTATTTCAGATTCAGAGCAGTGATCCTCCGCAAATCGCGATTTAGAAACGCTTCGTTACGTTCGTAGGAAGAGAAAGGGTTGCGTAACCAAGCACTTGTCTGTTCGCACCCAGTGCTGCCTGGCGATTTATGCGCAATGGATCTGTTTTTATGTAGTACTCCGGTCTGCTGTACATGTGCTCCGGTCAACCAGTGCACGCCATTGTACATTAGTTTCCTGTTTCCTATTTTCCTGATTCTGAACTATGGACCGACTGGTCGATTTCCACTTTTGTGAGTCTTAACAATGCGCCTACTTGTGAAGATGCGCTTCTCTAACAATTCCAAACCCAGCGACCACAGCTTCAAAATCTCTCTGCAAGTATTACAATTTTGATTGGTATTTGGTACGATTTCCACGGCATAGAATCGGCCCTATACAGTCTGTACGGTGACCGGTGTTACTAATTTGCAAGTGTAATATGATTATACGGTTATACCTGCTGCAGAACCGTTCGCTCCTTCGGAAACTGCACTGATATTGCCAGTGCTGTTATTAGTAAATGCGGCATAGGTCTCGGCCGGTGAAGAGCAGTTACCGAAATATTCAAACTAATGGCAGCAGCGCATACAATCCCGAGAGAAAGGTAAGCGTTTCGCTTCCCTAGCGTTACAATTTTAGATTGCTTGCTTTATCCTAATGATCAATGGCTTAGCAAGCGCTGTCAGCCTTTTCCGCTTGGACTGCAGTGCACAGAATAGTTTTCTGCTCGTTATAACGATTACGATCTGGCGTTGCATAATTGCAGGGGCCAGATGACCTTTCGCAGAGCGAGTTTACACCACAGTTTACAGACCAGACCTGGACTAGCATAGAAGGTCGGAAACGCTTACGGCAAGCTGGCGGCGGTGTTAAGTGTGAAGCTTTGGAAATTGGTTGTAGAAAGCAGAGAAGGTTGTTTTAGTTTATGGTTGTCTGTAGCGAATCGGCGATTGAGAACTACTCGATACAATCTTCTCTTAAAAGCAAGTTTCCTTACCTAATTTGATGCACTGATTGCGAATCTGAAGTTGGTTTGCAAATAAATTTTACGGTGAAATGTCCCGAAAACTCGCCTTTTTCCCCAGGCAGGTACAATCACAGTGTTTCTAATCACAGTGCTGGCTAATCACACTTAAACGTTAAAACCAGCCACGAAGTGAGAAATTTTATTAACAGTTTTTATTAAATAATACCGTGCAGCTGTACAAAACAATAGATAAGTTGGATGCTGTGCAATTTACAAACGCAGAACAATTTAGCGGAGATTACTTCAGTTCATTCAGAATGTGCACAATCAACACAACATCAGACGGAATTTGAACTTTTCGACTGGGCTTTATCATTTCTTCGTTGCCGTCGTGACGCTGTGCGACGCAGGCTGACGTAGCGGCTAAATGTTCTCTGGTGTTTTATACCATTCATACTGCCGGTGTCGTTCTCCAACGGCAGCCCCAATTGCATGGCAATCAAGCGCAGCAACTCCTGCTCTTGCTCCAGTTTCGCTGTTAAACTGTCCGTTCTATATGCAACAAGTGAGAATAATAATTATATTACTACCAATACCGGCCAATAAATCAAAAGACAATGATAACACGACAAGGTGCATTTTATCTTGTTTGTCTAGTTCCGTTCGGATCGCCGCAGCGTTTTTCTCCCAGTCGCCGTTTTGTTTGTTCAGTGTGCCATCCGTATCGTCATCGTTATCGACTTCAATGTTTGGATTGGTCAAGTAGCGAAAGACTCCCTGCAGTGCGACATAAAATAACAAAACGAAAATGTAATATCCACTGTCCGCGCAATTTAGTTACTAAACGAAACATTGCTTTAAAAGTTACTACTAAAATTGTATGAGTGACCTTTAAGAAGCGGGATTTCAGACGGTTCGGATATACCATCACGCTGGTCTTGCGCCATCGATTCAACAGTCTCTGCGGTAGTTTCTCTTCGATTTCGGTGTGGAGGTCAACCTGCATCTTTTTGCGGCGCAATATCAGTGTGTCTCGCACTTTACGAATGTCACCCAAAGTGAGGCCATTCTAAAAGCAGTACGATTTATTAAAAAAAGGCCGCTCAGGCATACCGTCATTCTTACAATTAAAGCCTGAACAAGCATCGTTACAATGCCCATGGACAGCATCGCCAGAATGTAGGTAGCGTTGGGAAAAAGCAGAACTTTGTTCTGGATGGGAGTGATGAAGTTAGCGATCACTGCAAAAGCAGACAGGCATTGAGTTTTGTCACCTCATCGTCGAAAAGTAAGATCTTTACCATCGGCATCTCCAATCATCTGGTCTGATACGCGCAAAATCGAAGTTTGCAGCGTCGAATAGGAGGTGAAGTAGATATCGTCAAGGTGGTCTTTGTCATGATCTTGCTGCGAATAACTCAAGTTTTCAGTTTTCGTGATCACTGAGCATTAATTCCATTCTCGTATTTGCCGAACTAAAACCATTTTACCTCATAGAAATCGGGATCATCCGGAAGAATCTTCATTGGATTCAGAACGGTAAAGGTCAGACTGAAGGCCAGTACCACAACAAATAACACGCACATTGCCTGGACTAGGGTCCGCATGACCCTTAACAGGATGATCACATGCAGACCGATCTCGCCATAACTGAAAATGTTAACAAGAATTTAGCGAGAAGTACAGGAAATCATTGTTTACGGTAAACAGAACACAACAAACTTACCGCTGCAGACAGAAGAAAAGATTGACCCATGTAAAGAAAACCGCCGTCGCGCCAACCAACCACTGCGTCTCCCAGGACATGTAATAATCCGCTCCGTCCAGAGCCGCCGCACAAAACACCAGTGTTGCAATGTACAGGGTCAGCTCGAAATAATTACGCACTTCGAAAATGAATCGCCATTTCTGCATCAACGACAGTACTCCAAAGTCAGTGTGTCGTGGAGCAGCATTGTGAACAAACCTTACTGTACTTACTTGCTGTATTAACTGGAGACCCTTTTTGGCCAGATGGATCGCAGCAAAAATGATCACCAACGCTACCAGTGTCCCGTCCAACGTGGTCAGGTCTTCTTCTGCCGCAGTCAAATCGATAGGTCCAAACTTCGTCCCATTGAAATCCGGCAGATGGGTCTTGATGCGGGCCAGATCCAGTTTGCGAACATTGGGCCGCAGGTCCATTTCTATTCCCTGGAGGATCAGATAGGTCAGCAGGGTGACGAAGGTAATGTACAGCAACAAGCCGGAGAAGTGAAAATACACTCCGTAAGTGTGCCATTTGGAATCCAGATAGCGGGTACACACTGGATGTTCCAGAAGTTCGGTTCGCTTATATGCCGTCATGTGCTACAAAAGCAAGTAATGTCTTTATTTAAACTGGAAGTATTTTTCAGTAAAATAGGTATTTCTGAATGTCGCAAATGATTTTATAACAGCCATACATTTAACACTTGAAGCGGATGTCTTTTGGATGGAATTTTTAGGCCTTTAGTCTCGGTTTTCGGTTCCAGTAATTCGAAATCGTATCGCACCTGAAACACATAAGTATCATTATAACACATTATAAACATTATAAACCACATGTAAACATTATAAACATTTAAACCACATGAAACACATTATAAACCTTGGGTCTTAAGTTTGTTTTAAAGGTTAATGAGTAAACGCTGCTGCCTGCAGCAATATTATATACGATGACCCTTACCCAGAAGTTCTTCGACAGCGAGCCGCTGCTTGCCGTGGTAGCACATTTATCCAGCACTTTCTGCAAAATGTGGACTTCTTAACCTTTAACATTGTGGAATAAGCAGAAATCCCCGTTTCCTACCAGCATAACCCCCGGTAATTCTTCGATCAGTCCAAGCACCGGCCATTTAAATAGTGATGACGGCTGCGTGAAGATTTGCGTCCATCTGTACAAAGATAATTTTCTTGTAGTCCGCGCTTGCACGCGACATTTTCGACACCATTGAAATTTACCGATCGCTCCCAATCATCGCCAATACGGCATCCTTCTGTTTATTCATTATAGCTAAATCCAGCGCTGTAAGTTGATGATCATTTGTCGTTAATTGGGCATTGGCTTGTAAAAGATAGGCAACTGTTTTCAAGGCGTTGTGCTGGGCCGCCACATGCAGTGGTGTGTTCTACATCATCGAAAATAATTTTTGTAACTTAAAAACATGCTTTATCAGTAATCGCTCAGCGAATACTTATTACAACACTACAACTCAGTAATTAAAAAACAGGAATCCCATAGCACTTACGCCTTCCTTTTCTGTCGCATCCAACAAGGTAGGATGTGCGGATATAATCATCTCTGCGACATCTGGAAAAGGTTATCAGTTACTCTTTACGTTGCTGTATGTACAAGATACGGATGCGACTTAATACGTCGGCAAGACACCAACCTTGCTGATCCATTGCACAGGCGAGATGCAACGGAAGACATCCATGGTAGTCTCTGAAAAAGGTAAGGGTTTATAGTTGCACCAGCACTATAACTGTGGAAATGTCAGAGCACTGAAACTAAAATGTTGTACTGTAGCCACTACTCTACGACGATTATTATGTGGAATTGTCACCTACCGTAGCATCGTCGCGGCGCGTGACATGAGGAAATTGACAATCCGGATGTGGCCGTTTTCGGCCGCCATATGAAGCGCGGTTAAACCTTATTAACGTACAACATTAATTTTTGCGATTAACGCAAAAGCAAAGCAACACTGTGAATGACCTTTACCTGCTGCATCCACATCGTTTATGATAGTGACCGTACTGCGTAGTAAGGCTTTAACTGTATTATATCGTCCGTTTCTAAAAAATGAAAATACTCTAAGTAATGCATTGATAAACACTACGCAGTTTCATTGAAATCTTACGCAGCAGCATGATGCAATGGCGACCTTGACTGTTTATCCTTAGCATGTAAGCTCGCTCCCATTCTGATCAACGCTTCACAACAACTAGCGAATCCATGCTGGGCGGCATGATGGAGTGGTGTTAGCCCGTCACTATCCGGCCCGTTAATCAACGGCAGCAAACTTTCCTTTTACAACAATTAACCAGAAGGTAATGCTTTCATTCTGGTAATACATATACAAAGTACAGAGTACTAACGAGAGGTAATACTTTTTTAATATCGTCTCGGAAACGTTCGGGATCGTCACCAATGGACACGGTCATATGGATGAAATTCTGTCCCACAGCCGTGCTGATGGATGGATCAGCGCCGAGACTGAGCAGTTCCGATACGGCATCCCAGGATCCACAGGATGCAGCCAGAACCAGGACAGTGCGACCAAGGCTGTCTTGAGCGTTAACCGGAGCCCGCTAAAATTATCACCATTAAACAATTTTAAAAAAATACGAGTATTTAACGGCTTAATTGTAATTTCATCTGATAAATTATAGAACATTCTGAGCATTTTCTCGGACCCTTTTTTGATATTACGCATACGCAATTGAAAGAGTACAAATTTAAAAGACGAAATCGAAAGCAATGAAACTACGTGACATGCATCACCGGTAAACCTGTCAACACATTGCTAACTACGTCCCTTACTTTTTCCGCTAATAGCCTCAAGAGATCCCAGTAATTAAACATGGCGGCACGATGCATCGGCGTCATCCCCTGCGCATCGGGCATGGCCAGGACTTTATCAAACTTCTTCGGACAATGCGCCTGCATTAGCTCCACTAAGTCGGTGAAGCCTCGGGCGCATGCTAAATGCAGCGGTGTTGATTGCTCAAACTACCATAATAACAGCAGCGATGAATAAATTCAGAATATTAATTATGCGGTTCATGGTTTTACCATTTGGGCGTCAATGGGAGCACCATGCTCCAGTAAAATCCGCACAATATCCCTGTTGCCACTATTGACCCCATAATGCAGTGGTGTAGCTTCCTCTTCGTTTTTGAAGGAGAGCAAGTGCTCAACGGGACAATCAGGCAGTTGCAGGATGTACTGGAGGACATCAACGGAACCGGCATCGGCGGCACGGTGTGTCGGCTGTTCACCGGTGTCAGACAGCGCGGTTAAGCTGGCACCGTGCCGAATAAGAATTTTGGTGCATTCAAGATGGTTTAGCGCGGCGGCAACATGCAGCGGGGTTTTACCATTATTGCCTTCGGCATCCACGCTGATTCGAGCAGACAATAATAGCTCCTGTTTACAAGAAAACGGAAAAATGATAACAAGCGCAGCTTTCACTTTCGCAACCGTGTTTCTTAAATTAATTATACAGGTACCCCGTGTGTGCTAGAATTACGCATTTATGCAGTATGTAATAAAATTAAAAGGAAAGTTGTAATCAATTGAATCGAATAAAACAAGGTAATCCGAAACAAAAAATCGCCGAGTAGAAATCAAATTTAAATTTTCTCTCCAAATCTCCAGATAATTTGTTGTTTTGTTTTGCGACATACACATGCGTAAATAATAGTGAAAACAAATAAAAAAAGAATGAGAGTTAAAATATGTAGTTACACTTCAACAGAAGATTTCGAAAATGTATCTATAGAGGGCTCATAATTAATACTTGTATGTGGTTATGCGTTTACATGTAGAGCGTCGTGGTGGTCGAGCCGTACAGCCAAATGCAGCGCCGTATCACCAGATGGCAGTGTGGCGGCAACTTCCACTTCCGGTAATTTTAACAATTCCTTAATAATAAAAGGCTCATTTTCCGCAACGGCCGCATGAAGCAATGTGTACCCTTTTGAGTCTGTTTCGTTAGGATCTGCAAGAAAAACAAGAGATAATTTTCCATTACTGAATTATTTCAACAACGCCCCAGAAATAAAGCTAATACCTTTGGTTAACTGTAGCAGATATTGGAGCATATCCGCTTGTTTTGCAACGACGGCCAGATGAGCAGGACTTTGGTTGACCGACGACGTTTTGCGTAATAAATCTGGATGTTTGTGAAGTAACGATTGGGCAGCATCCAGTAAACCATTTTGGATAGCCTGGAACGAAAATAATGATCCAAAAAAGTTAAAGTAATTATATGTATTTCAGAAAAAGATAACGTGCAATTAATTAAGCGATGTAGAGAAACAGAAGTAAACGTATTCGTACATATACATACTTGCCGAAACCGGGATTGATAATCCTCCACCGATGGTTGGCCACCGTTTCTTTTGGAGCCATAACGAGGCTCGACATTGTAGATTTTTTTCTGCTGTAAAAAAGGTGACGGCATTGTTGGAAACGGATGATTTGTTCAATTTATAGAATTTACAGAAAGTCGATTCAGGAGATATAATAATTAATATAGAAGTTCAGCTGTGAGTTCAGCTAATGCTTCTTACATTTTACTAAGTACCAACATGTTGATCAAAATGAGGTACCGGCAAATCAAAACGATGAAGAAAGCTACCGGCGTGTTTTCGTAATTTGCTTCGCATACCACGAATAAGATTTTTCCTTAATGACCGATAAGTTTACAAGCCATTCACATCATTCCGCTCGGAGAAATTTTTATGAATGATTATTATTCATACCGTTCATGTTGACGTATTAGATGGCATTTGTGTCTGCTCACTTACGGAAGCGGTACTAGTACGCAGCTGCCCGGTCATAGCAGAAGTTGCAATTAATACAGTCTGCAAAACTCCAAAACATTTACTTCTCTAACCAGCATAATATTATTTTGCATGAGAACAAAACTGCATGCATTGAGGCATACATCCGGTAATAACTGTATGGCGTAATATATTCCTTTAATAAGTATCACGGTACGAGTACAAACTATGCACCAGAACAAAACCGAATTTACAAAAGAAACACTTCCTCTACGCAATCCTGATCAAGGATCGTACTCATTACACAAATCGCGTTTCCCCTTTGTATTTGCATAGATATTCGCTGTTTAAAAACTCTTTCGCCCGCTTTTGACCAGTTGAAGTCGCTATACCATTTCCAATCGTGTCCACTAGCTTTTTAGTTCCGTCTCCATAGGGTCCGTAAATTTCGAAGGCTGCAGCAACGAAATCGTATCTTGCTTGCATCCAGGCGTGTTTTGATAGTTTCCCCCTTTCCGCAAGTTGGGCTGCTGCGCCGGCATTCACGGAAGTGCGGTCGACATACGAGGCCGCCAGCGTGTCCACGCAGGTAACATCCACTGCCAGCGGTTTTCCGCGCTTCCACGGAATAAGGGTGATCACATCCGGCCTCTTCTTATCTTTGAGGGATAGACCTTTTGGTTCCATTCTTGAAGAGAAGCCGGCTGATTTCAGGCCCCGGGCGAATTCCGCGCTGATTCCGTCGTGTCGTGGTAATCTTCCGGCAGACCGCTTACAGCAAAGTCCGTGCCGGCCGAACTCGTCGACCAGCCCACCACAAACGCATACGTGTGGAGTGACGATCGGTGCTCCCAGACGCAGCGCAACACTTATGCGAAAAGCGTTGTCATCTAACAAATTACCGAGGCAAGCTGCCGGTAACGCATGGATCCACACGCCTGCTTCCGGGACTGACACCGCCTTAAGATGTGCGACTTCCTCCTGTGAAGTTCGTAGTGCGGTCAGCCTTGAAAATGTTTGCAGTGTCGTGGGAGTGTCCCAGGCTTTCTGGACGTGTCGGAAAGCCTCCATCGGAAGTTCGTCAGTATCGGCCTCTAACTTCCAGGCTCGCGTGGCGGTGATGACATCCGTTGCCGTCAGTGTCGGGCATAATCTGGAAATCAGTTGGTGCAACGAGGAAGCCGATGCCAAGTAGGCGGAGGGAGCTAGCTTCTCGGTGCGTCTGATTCCCAAACCACCGAAACGAACAGGAAGGGAGGCCTGGAGCCATGTTGGGTGGTCCATCCTGACATTGGTGATGATCTCAACCGCCTCGCGAAATACCTGGTCGAGTCTATATAGCTCTTGTGGAAACATCCATGCGAGGGAGGTCCGTATGGCGTAATTGCTTCCAGATCCTACCAGAGATACCAGTAATGGCTACGTGAATACTGAAATAAACAACACTGAAACTGCGCTGTCATCTGTTGTTACAGTGTTGTGAAAAACAATCTGCAACTGCCGCACGGATCGAAACGGGAAGCTTACACTTCACCACACACCTGTTGCAGTCTACAAATTGTTTTGGTGCTTTAATTATGCTTTTTATGAATAGGCGCAAATGGTGAGTAACGTAGCCCGCGGTTACGGCTTCGGTCTTGTTAGCAAGAGTATCTAACGTGGAAAGTGAAGTATTTCACCATCGAGGAAGACTGCTGTCAAAAACGAACGAAAAACGTGCAAAACTAAAATACACAAAAAGGGAAAACATTGTGAACTGTAGATTTCGAAACATCAATTTGTAATGCTGTTCATAGTTTTCAGACAAAACCATCGTACGCTGTATGGCACATTTTACACGATGTAGGTTGTTGGTGGTGCGACCTCTTGCGTCAGCGATTCGAATTATCGATTCTCGGAATTCCAGTGCCAGCGTAAACAAAAGTTGTGTGAGCCAAAACAGCGGAGCAAAATGACGCAACAATAGAGGCGCGAAGTGGTGCAACAATAGAGGAAGGCAAGGGGACGGGCTAGCTGGCGTCCCGGCCATTCCGCACGCCGGTTTGCAGCTTGAAGAACATGAAGGTTACTAGCGTGTAGCATGAATGTACTTGCGTTTACAGTATTTATAAACCCTGGACAGGAGAAACGAAAGAGCGTCTAGCCAGTTTCAGTTGTTTGTTTATTTACATACCTTTGGACTAGTGCCAGCACACTTAATTACTAGCTTGTATGTATTATCTGTAGGTAGGGGTTGTACCGCTGTAGTACTTGCTGATGTTACATACTCAACTTGTTTGTTAATAACTGTTCCTCTCTTTGGATCCATATAATTATTTCTCTCTTTTGGATCCGGTTTGCTTCCTTTGTTACTTGTTTTGCCATTTTATCATTTTGAAATTTTTAAACCTCGTTTCGTTCCGTAATATGACCGCCGTCTTTTCTGCCAGTGGAATCTGGTGCCACCGTCCACCCGTGGTAACCATGGCGTTACGGCAACCGAAGATCATCGATCTGGATCTCCCGTCTGTTCCGCTGGTGTGGACGGGATCCGTGATGACCCCGCACATCTTGGGATCGTCTTTCTCCAATAAGGTAACTCAATAAGAATGAGCAGATGGTTAAGAGTAGATATTGTATAATTGTAGTACTATAGAGCGCACCGTGTCTAGATAAGTATTCGATTTTCTAATACAATTTATAGTACATATTTACCGTCCTTTATAATTTTTCCTGCAGCATGATTGTTGTGTAGTGTAAGAGTTTTTGTAATTCTGTTTCACACAAACATGGCTTATGAAATTTTTTGATATTTCCTGGACTTGTGATATTTGTCGTATTCACGCCGTATTGTCGAATGTTTAGCATTGTACGAGTAGAATCGTTGAGTATTGTACGGTACTGGTAGTGCTCAATGAATCGGCTCACATACATTCATAACACATTAACAATTAAAATCTTTTTTACGATTAATTATTAGAATCTTGTACATATTGCGATCAGAACAATTTGATCTGTACCGTTGATGCATTACGAGCAGGTAACATATTAATCATGATCAGTTAAGGGTAGAAATTCAATTATTTTAAACTGGTAAGTTATCGAATTCATAAGTACGATAATATGTTTGGTAGGTTTTCGTGGGTGGCGTGCCTTGGGACATTACGGAAACAGATCTTCACTGCGCTTTCGACTGCTTTGGCACAGTCGCAGTGGAATGGCCTGCTGGATTTGGACCAAAAAGTGCTACCGAAGCACGTCATTTGAAGTCGCCGATTCGCAGGCCGAAATACGGTAGGAAACAATCCACATGCACGATGATACTTCGCATCGGCATAATAGCGACGACGGCATTCTTCCTAACTGTACTATTGGTAGTTGCTAATGCATTTTATTATCTGCATGCGTATTTAGAATTTTCTTTGCGTGCAGTAGTGACTTCTCAACCCTATGGGTCTCTCGAATATTTTCTCAGGGTCTGCCTGGGGATCCCCGATAATCTGATTTCTGTTGTGTTTTTTACTTGCAGGATATCTGTATTTGATTTTTGAGGCAGAGAAGTCAATCCTGAATTTGCTGGGATCTTGCACATACGAGGTGGAAAAGCATGGCCCCAGCTTTTTCTACAAGGCAACTATTGCGTTTATTTTTTGCAATAGAATGGAATTTAAGAAAATTACTGTATTGGCGATCAAGAAATTATCTTCGTTGTACAATATATCATGCATACCTTCATTACAGGTTTCTAGTGGGAAAATTCAACAGAAGACCGTGCAGATTATTCCCTGGCAGGTGAATAACGCAAAGTGGTCGGAACCGGCATATATGCCGGAAGCGGACTACGGTGCACTGGAACGGACGGTTTTCGTGGGTGGAATCCATGGACAGATCACGGCCGGTTCCCTTGCCCGCATCATGGGTCAGACGTTTGGTCCCATGGAAGCTGTGGAGCTTGACACTGGTAACTTGAAGCTAGGACTTAAAGAGAATTAGCACTTTCCTTTGTTCGAACTTGAATTTAGATCTTTCATTCGTTATTTAAATCTCGCATATTTTATTTTTGAGTTGCAGCTGCTGCGCTGCATGCTATAAAATTTTTACAGCATGCTGCTTTCAGCATATCGATACACTGTATCTGTATGTGACAGCAACAAGATAAACTTTGCATACCAGAAATCAGAGAGTCTCGTGTAAAGCCGATATAACATTTCTGGAAACAGGATGTACCGGGTATTTTTTTCTCTGTTCACTGTTTAGATACGCACCATATTCGTTTGGAATATTTTACATTTTTTCAGATAAATTTCGATACCCCACTGGATCGGGGCGAGCGGTCTTCCGGGATTTGCGATGTTACATGACGGCGGTGCTGTTCGGAGCGATGGAACTGCGCACCGACCGCTTCGCAAAGATCATCCAGATTGATCCCTTTCTCCACGACAGCGAATGCAGCGTGTGCTACCGCAAAAGCGGTCCACTGTTCTGCCGCGACCTGGCTTGTTGTCGATATTTTTGCCAGGAATGCTGGGAGTGGGAACACTCCGTGGTTGAACTGCTGAAAGGTCACCAACCGATGATGCGACTGACATCACGTGCCGTTGGCAAGATCGGTGACCAGGAAAAGCCAACGCTGCAGCAGCTATGCGGGGGAACGGTGTGAGCTTCCGCTGCTAGTAGAATCCGTGACAACGCCGTTATCCCTCCTGTTTTATGCTTTTATATTTTTTAATGTCCTCTTGTCTTACTTGCCTCAAGCCGTATTTTATTTGCACGTGGTGAAGTGGTTTTTAATGGTTCACCTGTCTGCCTGAAGTGAACCATGCTATTCGGTCGTGCAATGTTCATATCGAGATGTGCGATTTTGCCGGCGTTGTGTCTGGTTATTCCCTTTTCATCGCATCCGGCTTCTGTTTTTTTTTACTTCATCTGCTTCGGTTATCTGAGTACTTTTAGATTTTTAAATATCCACCCGATTTAATTTAATTATTGGTTGGGCTGTTGTACAGCATCTGATTTAAAGATTTTTTGGATTGTGTATGTCTGTATGTTCTTTGCATATGTACCTAAAAGTGGATGAAACGAAACGACCGGACCATTTTAAACCGGCTTACTTCCGACTCTCTGCGTGCAGCAACAGTGACCAGCACTGAGCAACATCACCCGCAGGCTATCGTAACTGCGTGAGCACCCTTTGAAACATAATTATCTATGTGTAACGATGCAACCGATAATCGAGCCTATAAGTTTAACTGAAGCAGCCATGTCCGTTATGTGCAGTCGCCTTCTTCACATGTTGGAAGCAGTAAAACAAATAAAATCCATATACTAATAAATGAAATAAATTAATAAATACCACAATTCATACAGTCCACAAACTTAATTGTATCTTCACAATCAGCATCATTCGTCGATGCTGACAGAAATATCTCTTTCGCCAATCGTGACCTTTCTCTTCAGTGCGGACTTAAGCATCTGCGCATTCTTCACTTTATTCCATAACGCTCGGGGACGCGGTTGTTTCGGCACAGCATAACGGGAGATCCTTCGCTGGGCACTGGTCGGATCATCTACCACATCCGCTTCCATGTTGATCTCCATACGCTGCACGATATTCCGCAGTAGTTCACGGTGCTGATCCATCCGTCCATTCAGGCTTCTCAACCTTTAATTAAACCGTTATCTGTTCTTATTGTGCTGCTGCAATACAAGGACGGTGCTACTTTCCGGGTGCCTTTCAGTTACTAGGATCGTTTTCTGCTAGCTAGTGTGCCACAAAGCGCTCCAAGTTTTAAGGTGACCTTTTACTTACTTTGAGCGCTGCTCGTGGATGTTCTGAACCAACAGCGTGGAGCTGACACACCGCTCCGGAACATCATCCCCATTTCCCACGGCACTGCCGCCCTGGTCCAGTTCGTCCAGTCCGCCCACTGATAACTTCTTCAGCCATTGCTGGAACGATTTCCACCGGGAGGCGTTGGGGAAGATGCGCACTTGCTGCTTTCTCACCCGGCGAAGAAACCAACTGGGCAGCTTCTCTTCGAGATCCGTGTGCAACTTCACCAGCATAGCTAACATGTTCAGGGAGGCGTTGCGCTCGACTTCCTGCAGATTCTGCACGACGATATTCATCTACAAAACAAATTCGCAAAATGTATTAACTTCTCGAAAACGAATACGAAGCAGCCATGGATTACGAAATCAAATACAGGTTAAGTTTGGTATAAAATCTAACCAGGATGGCTTGGATCAGCAGAGTAATCATTCCCACGGTAACCAGCGCCAGGAAGTAGGTTGCGGCGGGGAACACCAGCATGTCGCTTAACAGCGGTGTAATGTAATTCTGAATGGCATCGACGTCTCCGACCAGCATATCGGAAATGCGTATGATCGACGACGCCAGGTTAACGCTGGCCGTAAGATAGTTGTTCGGGTCATCGTCTTTATGGTCAACCTGAAGAATTTTAATTTTACGATGAAGTTAATTTCTGAATTAAAAAATTTTGAAGTTTTTGTTTTGGTTACGAAACAGGAGAAAAATAAATGAGACACCACTATTACGGTTTAGTATACAGTACTCAGCGTTGTACCCCCTAGGTTTTACGTCAAGGACATAATACATAATCAAGACAAATATGGCGTATACACTAAATTAAATTATATTATTGTCTCCAGCTGTTTTGATATGCAAAATTGCTAAAGTATTAAATTCTTTTGTCCAATGCTTACTTGGAAAAAGATCGACTGGTTGGGAACAATTTTCTCCGGATTCAGCACGCAAAACGTGATGCTAAACGCTATCACCATGATAAAGTACACCGATACCGCTTTGAAATACACCTTCAGTCCACGAAAGAAGATGTTAACATAGACGCCCAGTTTTCCATAGCGTTGAAAATGCAAAATCAGATTAATCCAGGAGAAAAACGCAGCCACGGCACCCAGGATCCACTGTACGCGCCACGGCATGTAGCGATCGTTCGTGTCAAATAATCCAATGGCAAAACATAATGCGGCAACATACAACACCACTTCCATGTAGTTGGCCAGTCGGAAAAAATATTTGCATCCCTGAAAAATGTGGAAATCATGTTATATAATCAGAATATTTTTTGCGGATCATGACGCACTTGTAAATAAATTTGCAGAATCTTTTTGAACAGTTGACACGCGGTGAAGATGAGGATAACGGTAAGAAACGCTTGGGAAACCGGAGCCAATTGGTCAAAGTCATACACCAGGGGGACCGGGCCAAAATGGGTTTGATTGAAATCCGGTTTATACTTGAGAAGATTCTGCAGGCTAATGCGCGTCATATGCGGCCGCAGTTCGGTTTCCAAGCCGCGCAGTAACAGAAAGGTCAGCATGGCCAAGAAGACAATGTACACTAGCAGGTTCACGAAGTGGAAGTAAATACCGTACGTCGTCCTGTGGGAAAACTTTTGTCCACTACGTAGGCGCAGTCTTAAAAGTCACTGTTCTTTCTCACCATTTTGTATCGAGGTAATGCTTACAGACGGGATGGCTGAGCAGATCCAGTCGACCATGCTTTACAATACACTGCCAAAGAACTCAATTTGTCATCACAAAATTTACAGGATTTCATGGGTACTAGTTTTGCGAATGCATGTCTTTCAACGCTTACATCCATGGTCTCCATGCTTTTTGGTTTCTTCCCTGTATTGTCTGCTGACGTATGACAGTGGCCAGGCTCAAGGACCCGAAAGTCGTACACAACCTACGCATAACAACGTTCTTGTACTGCTCGACACACAAGAGGGTTTAGCTATGAGGTACTGCATTTCGTACGGAATAAGCTGGTGACAGTGGATGGCACTGGGTGGAACACTGGCAGCGATCGAGTATGTTCTGCAAAACAACCATACCCAAGTTACCGTACTTCAGTGCTCAAGGACGTATTACATCATACGGAACAGAAGCATAGTTCGTAATTTCTGCGGGGAAGAAATTTTAGCTACCACCCCCAGGTATGGAAGCAGTGAAGAGAAAGGCGCACCTGTACAACATCCGGGAGCTCTTTGATCAGTCCCAGTATCGGCCACTGATACAATTGTGACGGTTGTGCCAAGAGCTCGTCCCAGCGTGCATGCTCCATCATGGCGGATACCGCAGCTTCGTTCTTATGAAAGATAGCGACATCCAGCGCAGTGGCACCGGATTTACTGCGGACTAGCTCCGTTCCCGCGGTTAAAAGGAAATCAATGCAGTCGCTGGCGTTGTGCTCGGCAGCATCGTGCAGTGCTGAATTCTGTAACTCCAAGGTTCGCCTTGTTCATCGTCATAGACATCTGCCACATTTCTGTCCCCAGACAAATCATGCACTCAGTACCTGTTCACGATCCTGAATCCGTGCCAGGTATGCGTAGCTTTTAAGAAGTAAGGAACAGGATTCTAGAGGGTTACAAACACATTATAAACTTTGTTTTCCATCAGAATAGTGGGCAGATATAGCGAAACGTAACCCACCTCGACTGTTTTCAACCGTTGCGAGGTGAAGAGCGGTTTTTCCCATAAAGTTTCTGCAGATTGTGCAATGTGTCGAGCTTGACCCTTCTTTCAATATATTTTTATTCTATTTATGAAACTCACTTATGAATTAACGCTCCATTCGTTAGGAGCAGCTGCACCACCCGGCAATGACCCCCCGCTGCCGCCAAATGCAGTGGCGTATTGCCTGTACACAGCCCCAGTAGGTACTTAAAGAAAAATACCCAAGTCTTCAAGTCTTTTTTGGTGTTTAGATTTTACCTTGCCGGTCATATGCATTCATGGTGCTCATGCCTTGTGAAGTTTCCAGCAACTTCTTGGCTGTATTGTATCGTCCCAGGCTAAAAATTTGAATGGTCTTGGCTGGCGTTATAAAAGGTTATGTTGCACCACTACCTTAACTTACGCCGCAGCCACGTGCAGAGGCGACCGCGATTGGCCATCGCGGATGTCACCAGCGGCTCCCATTCGGATAAGCTCTTCGCTGGCTGTGCCGAAGCCGCTTTCTGCTGCGTAATGCAACGGCGTACAACCGTTCTTGTCTTTCTCATTTAGCAGTTTCGTAAACAGATCATTCTGCAATTTTCCATATTATCTTTTACTGAATTAACTGCTACCAAATACTCTTTAGTTGACCGTAGTATTGCTATAATAATTACGTACTGATATAATCACACTGCTTACGTTATTTATTTCCCTGGCGATGGCACTCTGGTCCGCCCCACCGATTATAACGTAGTGCAGGAAGTTCTTTTTGTCATTATTCTTAATGGTCACATCGGCACCGCGGTAGATCAACTCCAGGATGGCTTCCTCCGCTGCTCGGGTGGCGGCGCTGATAAGCGGAGTGTTGCCAGTTTTGTCTTGAGCATCGACCGGGGCCCCCTAATTTGAATTATGATTTCAAAGCTACCAACATGCGAGCGAGCAGTCCTCGTATTATGATGCTCTGTAATTTTCTGGTTGTACATTCCGGTTTCCGGTTGTTGTTTTTAATTGTACATTAATAACGAGGCTTACAGTTTGGATCAGTATTTCTATTAAATCCACATGATTATAGATGGCAGCCCTAAAAACGTAAGCAAACGTTATACTCGTAGACTCGTAGTCGGTAAATATTTATCTCCATTTATGTTCCAGTCGGTAGTCGGTAACTATTTATGTTCCGGTGTAAGGCACCCTCGGTCTCACTACTGACGGTAAGTCAGTTGTCATGTTGTACGAGTACCTGAATATTCATCTCTTATAGACACTGCATGTCATTATTGACACTTATAGACGCTGCTGCCGCGCACAGCAGTTAGTGTATAATTATGTATGTAGCATTATATATTTTTATCGTTTGTGGTAAAAGTTAGTTACAAATAAAGGATACTGGAATTACTGCCCAGCTAGAGCGATACACAATCTGTAAAGTTTATCCAGTAAAATGCGTGAGCGCAGTATACCTATGCAGTGGCGTCAGTCCATTATGATCCTTCATGGCCAGCACCCGTTCCAGTTTCTCTTCATCCTCCACGCTCGCACAAATCATCTGCACCATCTCCACGCTGCCCTGCGAACACGCCACATGCAGCGGTGTCGTCCCGTCCACCGTCTGCGCTTCCACCGACGCCTTATTGGCCAAGAGCAACGCCGCGCCCTCCATGTTGCCTCCGTGTACCGCAGCGTGAAGCGGTGTGCCCTTTTCATCATCCTCCACACTGACCAGTTGCGCCACGGTGTAGCCGGTGTTGCCATCTTGTAGAATGTGCCGCAAAACAATGTTCGCGCTTTTCGCAGCGGCCAGATGCAGAACGGTCAGGCCCTGGTCGTTGCCGTGGCAGACGCTGGCCCGGCGTCGGATGAGCAGGTCTAGCATCGCCACGTGGTTCAGACATCCGGCGATATGTACCGGTGTTTCCCCGTTGAAACCCGGCGTGTTAATATCCAATGACGCGGCGTTTAACAACTTCTAAAAAATATTTACGCGTTACTTACACATGACTTTGCACTTATTTTCGGATGCGCTAACGTTGGTGTCGCTTGGTGTCAACTAAAACAGAGTTTCATGAATATGATTCACGTGGTGCTTTTTCTCTTTGTTACTTAAGTTTTAGCTGACTAATCCCACAATTAGATAATTTTTAACAACACATTGTATGTACTATTGCAAATTTGTAAGTAAAAGCAGCATATGTATTGTACTTATGGTTAGTACTATACAGCAATACATAAAGCCCGCGTAATTTTCGGCGCGTGCAAGTTAAGTTTAATTAATCATGTACAGTGTGTATGCAATCGATTTGTAACAAAATTTATGAATAAAAATCAATTTAAAAATTACTTTTTATTAAACACGTCTTTTACGTACAGAAAGCGCATCCATGCATTGTCCACGCACGGCAACATGCAGTGCGGTGTCCTGTTTACCATTCTTTATTTTGGGATTTGCTTGGGAAGCCAGCAGAGCAGCAATTGCTGCACCGTCATTTTTTGCGGCTGCTAAATGCAGAGCTGTATTTCCTTCGTTATCGACAGCATTAATATCTGCAAAATGCCAAACGAAACACTGTAGCAAGCACTCCCTTGCATTAAAAGCGGAGTTGCTTATAGTGGCAGTTATTGCCTGATGCATTGTATTACAGTACCTGCTTTATTATCTAACAGATCCTGTAAAACTGCAAAATTCTCATTGACCACTGCGACATGAATCGCAGTTTTGCCACTGCGATTTCTTGAATGCACCAAATCGATGTTGTTGCGCATCAGACTCTTGGCGACATCGCGATTTCCAGCAGAAATGGCCTACACGCGAAGCCAAATAAAGTTATAGTCGTATTTTTGTTTTACATAGAATCGATTTGAGTTTCATAACTATTAGTAAAAAAACTTTCATAAAATTCCAAATTGTTATTGTTTGCGCGTTTATCGTTACAATGCGCCGCACTTATGAGCGGAAGTGCGTACCATAAAAACATTCGAAACAACAGCTGTAATTTACTCGTTAATGTTAATGGAAAAATACGAGCATGCATTTTTTAGCGAAACATCTTAAAAAAGTGTACAACCAGAATTTAAATGCAATTTTTATAACGCCGTTCAATAAATACCATGCAATAAAGCTTTGGCAGTAAAGAAATTTTGCCAACACACTACGATACCATCATTACCATGCATAACAATATAACAATACCACTAATTACTGACGCAGGTAACGATAAGTACATAACTAAGAGAGCTGTTAACCACGGATCACAGTACATAAACGATAATGTATACTTAATAAACCTGAAAAAATTCAGCAACGGCTCCGTGTTCGTCGGCAGCGTCGTCCACCGATGATGTTACGGTTGATGATGTGCTTAATTCGTTACTCCAGCGCTTCTTCCCCATCCCGTGCGGCATTCCATGCAGACCAATATTGCTTTTATCAGCGTGTATCGTATCCCGATAATTTCTGGTAAGCCCAGATGACAGCGACGCATTGTCCCGCAGCAACAAATCCGACAACTGCGGCGATGAGCGGGATTGCGCGAAATTTCGAAACACCAAAGCCCACGGCATGGTTCTAGCTGTGGCTCGACTGCTAACCGGAAGTAGACAATTAACTGGCAGTCAGGAACCACAAAAATTAAAATACCACAGTTTTATCCTTCAAAATTGTCCCAGTTAGAGATGAATAATTTCAAGTATACGCACAATTACGGCGTCAGAAGGGCTGGTGACCTTTACACGGAAATTAATTCTGGTTGTAAGGTTTGTGCAGAACTCGAGTCAGGATTCTGCAGTCATTAATTGTCACTAAAAAAGCCCGTTTAATCGGGCAGCCAAAAAAAACCAAACATCATACCGTCAGGTGCGAGAATGTCAGCTTTCGCCGAAGAAGTGCTGTGAAGTAACGGATAAATTAACCATGAAGTTGAGTGATAATTTTCGGCATTGACATCACATGCATATGGCCTTGTTAAATATGCAGTTTTTTCCCAAACACTGCGGATTGGTTTCTACAAACGGAGGTGCTGGCCGTGACCAAGACAGAGAAAGAAATTATTTGTGCAAATTAATATCACGTTCAGCTGTTGGACGAGAATAAAGCAGCAGGAAGCCGTCAAAGCCACGATCGTATGAGCAGCACCTCAGCTTATAGTCTGGCGCATAATTATTAGTGTTGTCTCGATACAGAAAATCATAACTTGTGAAAGACGCATGAAAATTTTCGTAAACCCTCGCCGTTATATAGCGCAATGCATTGCTAACAAACATGTACAAAGACTATTTCGAATTTTTGCTATGCGTTTGTCTGTCATTCAAATATTTTTTTAAAAACATCGGCCACTAGGTAATTTTGTTTAACTACAGAGTAAATCAAGTTTTCGGAAATATTTACATAGTTCCATTAACAATACATCTATAAACCAAGAACGCGCTGCATGGGATGCTGGAGTCCGCTGACCGGTTTACACAAGCGTGAGATTTTGTTTAAAAACGCAACCGGGATATAAACAGATTCAAAGCATTCTCTGTGTGCTTTTGTATTGTCAAACGGACAATTACATTATTTCTGATTAAGCCGTTTGCTTGTTCTCACCCGTAGAATTCTTGGTTTCGCTCGTTAAAATCGGGTTTAGGCTGACGTTATTTAAATATCTGGCTTATAGGTCTATTAATGCAGACTGTTAGCGCATCTGCGATGTTTCGTCTGCAGTTTATACTACGAGTACTCCAATAACAATAAGCTGCACTGAACATAATCTGCCTTTTTCGAAAGGTCACGCGTTCGTAACAGATTGGCATATATACATGTTACCGCGATGATTGATCAGTTTTAAGTTCTAGAAGTGTACATCGTAAAAAAGATGTAATAAAGAATAAACCGTTAAAATTGTGGCTGGATATGGCCAATGCCAATTGCAGGTTTTGCGGCGGTGATGTACAAATACCATATTGTACTACACTATTTCTTTATCTAAATCTGATTAATATGTGATCATTATCAGTTCGTTGATTAGCCCGTACTGTTTCACAAACCGATCGTAAGAACTTTCATTGTAATAGTATTTTAGTTTTACGATCGCTAACACATTTTTAGCGCCACACCAATCATTTACGCAAAAATATAACTTAATTTTTTGGTTGGAATCTGAGAATCTGAATTTACCCATGAAGAGTAATTTTTTCAACTTATCCTAATTCAAGCAAATGTGCCTTTTACGCAGTCACAATTCCTTATCCTGCGCAGTCGGAGCCGGATCAACGCAGAATGGGGTAAAGCACCGGTTTTAGCACTGGTATTCCATGTCATAATTTGACATTTTTGGTCTGTTGTAATTCTCTGGAAAACTTTTTGTTTTAGTAGACGAGTTCGAAAACGTTAAGTAATTTGATTATCATTCCAATATAGGACTCATGCGTGCGTACGCAGATACAAGTGTTAAAAGGTGAATGACAGCATTCACGATTTGATATCCAAATGAGTATTCGTAATACAGCTGCACGTGGTATTTATCGCTTCGTGTTACCATATATTGGTTGTAAATATTATTTTAAATACTATATATATATATATATTATTTTGTATTGGTTGCAATTATTATTTTTGTAAATATTATCTCGGCTTCCAGTTAAAAAGTGTATAAATATCCAAACACAGCATTAGGAATACTCTAAAGCCCTCAAATTTTATCGCCCTGAATTTTGCTTTTGCTTGTCGATCACAACTGATGGCACCGTAGCATAAACAAACGCGCAGTAGTTACTTACACTGCACGCCTGTTGCTAGATTTCTCCATATTGCGGCCATTAACATTTTTGACAGCTGATGCATACATTTACAGAAATAATAAACTTCGTTTTAATCTTTTGCAGGTGCTTCGTCTGCGATTATTTCCAGTTTTTGGTATTCTTATGATTTTGTACGGAGTTCTTCCAGTCATTTCAACCGATTATGGCAATCAACATCGCAATAACAGTTTTATTTCCCGGACGCGACGAAGTGTGGGATACGAAAATGTTGTGATTACTGTGCCTTCTAACCCGAGCCATAAGCCGTGGGAAAAGGTTACTCCAGATCAGTGCATTTCCTTTCTTGAAACTAGTGGTTTATTAACAGGCCAAGAAGGTAAATTTTTTAGCAGTTGTTTGGTATAGCCATAGTAGTTAGTAATAAGATATATTGATAATATAATATTGCACGCTGACTGTATTTGTAGAGTGACAGAATACACTGGTAAGACGTGTAAGAATGAATGTCGTAATACTAGTCTTAATTAACAGTCATCCACAGTATTCCATGAGCATTATAGAGATAGGGACATTCATAGGGACACCGAAATGAAGATTTACAAAGATTTGTAAAGATTTATAGAATTCAAAACGTACCGCCGGCAAACTACAAAAACGGCAGCAGTCGATGACCGGAAGTCACCTGATTTTGCCGGTGTATTTATGAAAAAAAATGTTTTTCACGAAAAAAGATAAACTACTTGCACACGACACTTATAACGTTTCAGGATGGTGTCCTGGTGTAACGGATGACGTACTATGCTGGCCAACAACTGCACCCGGCGAAACCATCCTGCAGCCATGTCCCAACATGACTGGCACCGATACCACCAGTAAATACGTCGATAAATACATCTGAATAATTTTTTGTGCTTTGGTAATGTTAATTTGCCCGTTGCGTATAAGGTAGGAAAGGGCATTTAAAAAATTAAAACGAGCCACATTAGCCCACATTGCAGTAAGCAGCGTTTGATGTAAGTACGTAAGTACATAATTGCAACAAAAAGTACTATTACAGTATTCAAAGAAAATGCATTTAGAAAAACGTTGCTGTGTTTTAACTTTATTAATTAACAGAATTTGCAAATAAAACTTGCGACATGAACGGGACTTGGGAGAGCAAGCCGGACTCCGGGGATGCCGGGTACACCTACTACGATGACTGCTTTAACGACGACACAAAACAAATGTTCGAAACGTACTATGGTGGTTCTGCCGAAGCGGCAATAATACGCCAGAAATTCGAAGCTCTGCACAACCAGTCCCAATCCAACCAAGGCGCTTCCGATATCTCTCACACGTCGAGCAGTTTAAACATCCAGGCATCAAATACTTCGCGTTCCAGGGAATTTTCTAAACTTCCCACACCTTTCATCTGCATTTTCTGCACTATTAACCTTTGATAAAGGTTGGCGGGATGGTGATGAAAATCAACTGAAGTCGAGACTGCCGCCTCTTTAGCATATACCGTAACCTTGCAACTGCAAGCAGCAGAAGAAAAACTTTCGCGACAGTAAAAGCTTTCGTACGACCATATCAAAATAATATGTAGCTCTGTAGTAAATAAATATTTAGCTCGAGTTCTACAGAAATTTTCTATACAACTACCGAAATTCTATACTCGTACAGATTTCTATTTTCTATACAAACCGAAAACAACGAAATCAAAAGAACAGTACGTATCGCAGATCTGTACTACTTACAGCCGTACTTTTTTGTTGAAATGACAATACATTATGTACACACTTCGCGTCATACTTCTGAAGTATTCGTAAATCCATTAAACACCAAAGACAGAGGAACAAAGCAATGTCAGCGCAAAATCAAAATCTCCACATGTCACACACACGCTATCTGTAGATGGCGAAACCTTGCGGTAATACTCGCCCCAGATGACCAGATCCCATCGGGCAGAACACAAAGAAACTCCGGCTTCACACCTCCGCGCCCCATCCACCTATCCAGAGGGCTCGACAGTCGACAGATGATAGATCCACTCCGCAATCCAATGTGAGTGTTTCCAGAATGATCATTCAAGCGTCAGTGATTTGGTCATTACGATTCTAGATACTTTATTTCAAATCCACACTCAAAAACGTGTTAAGAAGCAATTACAGATAGATAAACAAAAGCTCATTAAACATCTCAGCCTTCTCTACGGTACCAATGACAGACACCGTGTTACCGCGCTGTATCTCTAAAGACAATCGCTGTCGTAAAAATTCATGTGCACGCGCTTCTCCTGAATGAACCCGTAGTCTTTTTCCCAGTTCTTTGATGATAGCAATGGCCGATGGACCCCACTGTCTCATTGCCTCGAAAGCAATAGCCGCGAAAATGTACCGGCCGTCTAAATACGAATATAATCTACCCTAGGCTTCTGGCCATTTGAATATTTAAAACAACTGCCGCACGGGGTGGTTAAGCCAATCACTCTCTCACTCTGCACCGTCTGTGGTTTTACATTTTACGCCACGTGCAGCTTTAGTCAGGAAATTATGAATCAGAATGAGAAACATATCTGGAGCTACTTAATTAACTTAATTTTAGTTTTTTTGTTCAAACGTTCGTATTTAATTTTTGGTTTTTGATGAAATGCATCCTAACCATTCCATGTCCCGGTGACTGATTATCTAGACAGCTTTCACATAATGTTTTCCCATCGGAGCGCACAATTCTTCCGTCTGTACAGTACGAGCAACGGGAAGAGTATCCGCGATGTGGTGGTGATCGGAGCGGGATTGATGGGAGGGGGCATTGCGCAGGCAAGGCACCACGGGAGTTTCTGTCTGCTGTGGTTTGCCGATGATTTTGGCTGACTGCTCCGCAGGTGACAGCCGCCGCCGGACTGAATGTGACGCTGGTGGATCACTCGCAGGACGCGCTGGTCCGTGCGCGCAACAGCATGGCCTATCGCTACCATCGCAAACTGGCCAAGGAGCTTCCCGATAATCAACAGGTACGCCGTACGGTGTCATGTAGACATGTGCACTGGCAGAGAAAAAATTTGTCCTTTCGGAGATCTTATGTTATGGTACTTATGATAACTTATCATGTGACAGTTATAAAATTTGAAATGCGTCGACTATGGTTGGAGGAATTTTAAATTGGAACAGTGCGATCGAATCAAGTATCTGTACTCTACGATTGCTGCAAAGGCTGCAAAGGTTCTGGAAACCTAGAGTATTATTTAATATTTGATATTTGATCACTCCGAATACCATATTTGAAAAAATTCTTACTCCGATAGTGGTGATTTTTGGATGCTGCCTAAAAATAATAGCTGCTGTGTTATGCTTTTCCGTTTGACGTTTCTCGTTTGACGCCACTGAATAGTGGGAAAAAATTAAGTTCTACTGTATATTTTTATCTTGAAAATACAAACTCCGTACGCTGACGTAAGTACGCTGACGACGTCATGTTTTTGCGCGCAGGCAGTCAACGAATTCCCTTTCATGCCATTACACTACGAACGCTTCCATTTTCTCATCCCCTTTAAATAGAGTACTAGTAACTATTATAATCATTAAGTACGGAATCCTAGCGGCAGTTCTACAGCGGCGGTTATTTTTGTAAGCAATAATATTAGAGCATCTACTGCACGTTTGTTTATTGGTTTCCAGAAAGCCAAAGAGATGGTAGCGCAGTTACTGCAGCACGTCCAGCTGCAGACCGATCACTGTGAGGCCGCGTCGCAAGCGGATCTGGTGATTGAGGCCGTGGTGGAGAATATTCAAGTCAAAAAATTGCTCTTCCAAGAACTGGATCGCACAGCCGCCAAGTAAGCCGGTAGTAAAATTACTCGTTTATTTTCGGGAAAAATATTGTGTACTGATTATTCATTTTCCGTTCTTTTATAATTTAATGCAGTGTTATGCGGCTTTTCACAGTCATAGTTGGTAGTTGCTATATTCTCGAATTCTTTACTTTCTTAGACCAACTGACGATTTCATTTCCGCCTTGATAAAGTGTTGAAATTTTTTAAATTTAGGTTTTAGCTGCTTCGTCCTGTTGCTGATGCTGGCTGTAAATGTGTCACGGCGCATCGATAAAAAAATAAATTCAGTTTTATAAATTCAATTGTGTTCTGCAGGCATACCATTTTTGCATCGAACACGTCGTCGCTATCCATTACCGAAATGGCGGATGGTACTGAGCGGAAAGATCGTTTTGTTGGCATGCATTTTTTCAGCCCTGTAAACATTTTTCGACAACATGGTAATCAGCCGTTTTCGAAAATAGCAGCTCTTTTTACAGGTGCCCGTGATGCCTTTGGTTGAGGTAGGATTGCTGGTTATACAACTTCTGTTTTTAGACATTCGTTCTTCTTGCTCATACCTCGGTCATCATGCAGCGTCTCTGTATTCCTTTTATTAGGTTCTATTTTTAAAGCTTCGATTTTTAAATTATGGTTATATTTCAGCTGACGCGACTTGACAGTACGAATGACGCTGTTTACGATTGTGTTAAAGAATTCGTGAAGACCATCGGTAAAACCTCCGTCGACTGCAAGGTGGGTGTTTGTCGGTTTGTGATCTTGGTTTTGTATGCCGTGGTTTTTATCTTTTCATTTCGTTGCCGTTTACTGCGCAAGTATTATATATAATTTCGTAGTGCAGTGGTGGTAGGTAGCTATACTCAGTGGGAATGGAACAGTTGCCATGAAGTTAACTAATAATGACTGTAATAATAGAATGGATTTTCTTTGATTTTTCTTTTGGAAATTTTCTTCCACCTTTATATTTGGTGGTGTGAATCGTTTATGGAAAATCCACAGAATATCATAGTTTTGAAATCGTTTTTGAAATTTTTCTTGCTATTGCCGCAGGATACTCCCGGGTTCATCGTCAATCGCTTGCTCATTCCGTATATGTTGGAAGCGGTGCGGATGCTGGAGCGCGGTGATGCGGAAGCCAAGGATATTGACACGGCCATGAAACTGGGAGCGGGGTACAAAATCGGTCCGCTGGAATTGATGGATTTCATTGGGTTGGATGTGGCCTTTCTTATCATTCAAGGTAAGTACTTTTGTATTACTCGTTTAGGATAAATTTACATTAATTGCTTGATCAACGTTACGCTGTCTTTGTGACAGTTCTAAGTGCTCATGATGACTTCCACATGTTAAAATTTTTATTGTACAGTATCACAGAAACGTCTTTTGCAGAATAAGAACTGGTAAAGTGCAGCGATATGTTCTTGTTAATATAGATATATACAGTTAAAGACTTGGTACAGTACATACCGTTTTATTAGTATAATCGTAGTCAATGGGCGAGGATATCTTTCGCCCATTTAGACTGCCTGTTTCCACTCATTTCAGTAATAGACCGTATCGTTTCATAAATTTTTTTGTAGGATGGCATAAGAAAATGCCCAACGATCCCTTATTCGCTCCCGTCCGCACCATCCAGCGAATGGTCGAAGAGGGTCGACTGGGACGGAAAAGTGGTTCGGGATTCTACGAGTACAAAGCGGAGCAGTCGGTGGACGCCGACGCACAAATCGAGAAGCTGCGATTAATCAAATCACGCACCTGATGCGCCTCCATGACCAAAAGAACGATCATGCTTAGCCAAGCTCACAGAAATTTAACATTCCGTTTTTTATAAGTTTGCTGCTGATGCGATTATATCAGACGATTAATACAGTTGTTATTTATTTTTGTTAAACACGGTGTACGTTGGACGTTGAATTTGAATGCGTAAGGAACTGTCTTACAGATCTTTATCCATGAATCCATTACTGAAGTACTTCATATATTCAGAGTTCGCGAAAGCGAACAGCACTCCGTTCGATTGCCGTTATTCAGTGCATCAAGATTACATTTTTGGAAGGTCCAAAGAAAAAGGGCTTTTCACCAAGATGGAAGTGGAACATAACGTCATTGCAACGCAGCATACTATTATATTTAAGGTAAAATTGCAAGGTATAATAAACAACAGAAATCTAATAAAAATCGAGTCCCAGGGTGTAAAATATAAATTATTAAACAGTGAATATCGCCCTACCGGTGCTAAAGGCTTGAGTTTTTTTATTTACACAAATACTTTCATTACAATGAGTATCAGACTTCTAATTAATCTGAAATCGAGCATGTGACAGGCAAGCACAGAGAGCTCACAGGTGACTTTATTGTACAAATAAAGTGGAGCAAATGCCGCGTGAATGCGGGGAAAACCACAACAAAGGCCAGTGTCTGGCAGAAATCAGCAAGTCAAGTTGCTGCGAGCTAGTTCTAGAGCGTAATGAAAATGTAGAGAAAGAAATGTGCTGGCGGCAACGGCGTCACGCTGTCCAGACACATGGAATGTGAGTGCGCATAGTGTTGGGCCGGCCCGGCCCAGGGCCGTAACGGCCAGGCCGACCTCGGCCCCGGCCGCTGGAGAGGCCGCGCCGGGCATGACCCTCGGCCCGGGAGAAGGGCCATGGCCCGGCCGCGGCCGTGGCCCGCTGTAAACGTTAAATATGGAAAAAGCTTTGAAAAAACAAAAAATTTCATTGGCATTTACTGAAATTTAGTAGTTTTGGATGAATTTTCTTAATTCTCACAGCATTAAACGTTTCTAGGCGAAAATCCGTCTATTTTTCCGTTGACATACCCGCTGTAGCCGCTTTATAATGACATCCGGGAATGAAATCTTGCTGTGATGCAGACGGCCCGGGCCGCGGCCGGGGACATGTCGGGCCGCAGCCCGGATCGGCCCGCGGCCCGGGCCGTGCAAATGACGGCCCGGCCCTCTTGCTCGGGCCGGGCCGCGCCGGGCCGGGCCGGGCCGGGCCGACCCAACACTAAGTGCGCAGACTGGACTCGTATCCAACGCGAGCGTATATGCGCTGAGTCATACAGCGAGAGAGAGGAGCGAGAGAGCAAGTATGCTCAGTGAGTGCGCCCGCGGTGTATCCGCTAGGCGGAGAGTGCAGTGCAGCCACTCACGTACGTACAAGAGAGGGCGAATCAGCATGTGTGCAGTGATACGCATACGCAAAGTGGCGTATCTATCACGCAGGCTGTCGTGCCTCTAACAAGCAGGCCAGGTGCTTATGGCGGGCACCCGCCTTGGCGGGTGCGATGAGGCGGGTCTTAACCATCAGGCGGGCATTGCAGAAATGCATTTGCACAGCGCACTTTCCCACTAGAGCGCATCCTTGCCGCCAGTGCAAGTCATATACACTATATTTCCTCACGCTGCTGCACGCTTTATAACTTTGAGACCTTCAAAAATCACCCCTTGTAACACTGTTTACAAAAAAATACGCAGATCTTTCTAAATCGTTTTGTTGGGCAACTTGGACTTGGACTTGGTTGTAATTTGAAAAAATGCGTAATGCAAGATGCAGGTCATGTCCCCAGTGATTGCTACTTTGGTAAACCACTTGTTTTAATGGCTTCAAAAGACTCACTTAAGTTGCCAGAGAATTTTTATGCCTCCAATTTCAGAAAACCTATTTCTTTTACACGATTGTTACCGTAAAAGGCATAGTCGCAAAATATTTAAATACATATAGTTTGCCTTCATAAGTTACCAGCCGTGTATGAAAGCGATTAAATCCATGACATTAAGAAAAGCAGTAAAAAAAGCAACTTCCGGTGACTTGACCACACAAACCAATATCTACGACTGCTGTTTGCAACGACGTCCTGTTAATTTTGTCTTCTAATATAGTTGTCCACAGTGCTGTCAATTTTCAGCATTTACGCACTGATGAAAATCAGTATTACCATATAGCAAACCATAACATGCTCAAATGTTTGCAGTTTTGTCTTGTAATTTAGTGTCTAACGTTGAGCTCACTAAGGACCGAATTTTAATTTATTATAAGTCCCAATAACATGCAAAATGAAAAGACAAGCAGATGACATAGTTTTTTAGGATATAATTTTAGCATGTTTTTTAACATGCAGCATTCATTACTAAAGAACAACAAAACTATTGTACCGGTATTTCGTTAAAAACAAGAAGCGATAAAAGAAACAATTAAAAAATGGCAACAGTTTTCGATAAAGCCGAAGAAAGAAGTACTTTGAATCACAAAGGGTATCTTACATCAGCTTAAAGGTAGTCTCACCGTTGAAAATTACATATGCGGAAGAAAATAAGTCGCAGCTTCTATTGACACAGAAAGGGGAAAGCTTGTAGTATACCGCAATAAAATAGGCTGCAACCTAAATTCAAAAGAATGTTTTGGAAAACAATAAAATAGCAACTTAGGCTACAGCCTAAATCAATAATTGTGTCTTGATATCAAGGAATGCATACCAAATAATTCTTTCTTATTTCGCTTGTACTCTGAGATAGAATCAGTTGGGAGAGAGGTTTTGTGAATGAAGGGAACGGAAGTCAGAAAACTTAGGCTGTAGCCTCAGTTAATAAAAAAAATCGGAAAGTTACAGCGACAAATCGCGCTTTACTCACCTCATTTAATTCATACAGATGGAACCTTCTTTTATTTGTGTTTCGAAACCATTGCGGGTGTAAACCGAGTTGTATGGGGACTATTGGGTATCGCAAGAGCTACATATTATATATAAGCTGTTAATAGATCCATTTGCGTTTTGGTTTGCATATTGCTGACTGTTCGATTGACTGTCTCGCAGATTTTTACGACATGGTTGGAAGATCTCTTGAAGTTTTCCTATTAGCAATAGAAAACTAAGATTATTAGAGAAATAACTCCTTAACCTTCCGGCATTACGATATTGACGAGATTCGGAGAAAAATACGGTCAATAGTTTTTGAGCATTTAAATGCATTATGCTTGGTAAATTGCTAACATCTATAATATCGTTCTGTACGTATTGCGGCTAGTTTACGGTACCTACTGTTACTGTACTGACACCCTGCACTTGGGGAAATTTTGTACAGTATGAGCAGCACGGTACTGTAGACAGGTGGATTTAAAGCCGATTGCGTTCAGCCAATAATAGCAGTCTGCATGCAGTTGCAAGCCGTGTATGTGAACGCAGAGTCGTACAACGTACGCGTGGCTGCACAGCAAAACTTTCTCCGAGTGCAGGGGTGTCAGTACAGTATGTTTAAATGTGGTCTTTTTTCTGATCTGCGTGACTTACTATTTTTAAATTTACCGTTAATTTTTCACAAAAGTTCTTTTATTTTGTTAGGTGCTTTGGGTAGATAATGTATTAACGGCTGCTTCGAAAATTGGGATGTGTCAGGATAGCAATTATCTTCAAATGTTTAACTTTTTAAATCTTATTAAAAAATCTGAATGTAAAACGATCTATGTCAAATAGCTTTTACATTATTTTCAAGCTTTTAATCGAAATTCTTTGCGTTAACGTAAAACGTCTTATGAGCCTACTATCTAGATGTATGAATGTCGAAATGTGTAAACGTTCGTTTTTTTATGACTTAAAATTCAAAAACTGTTCAGCCGAAAAATAAAGTCCTTGAATACAAGCTGTTTAAATCAGAAAGGCTCGTGACACAGTAGAAGTGCACTAGCGATTAGGCAAGTGCAGCGCAGCTGATGCCTCAGTGCGGTGCAATTCGTCTGTGCCCAGCTGAAGATATTGATGCACTTATCGCACCCGCCAAGGCAGGGGCCCCATCATAAGCACCTGGGTAACAAAAGCAAGCATCCAACTAATTTATTATTTACTGTAAAGCATTTTTAAATTGTTATTAATATTAATTATTATAATTAATATTCATTAATATTAAAATTTGTTATGGTTTTGCTAATGTAATACTTTTTCGTTGCTGCTTAGCATTGAGAAAATTCGTACAAGATTGCAACTGTTTTACGGTAATTATTTAAATCCATTTTAATTTTTATCTCTAAGAAATTGGCTGGATGTTCCGATAAATAAATCAAAGCAAAAAGGCAGCAAAATGTAAAAAAGTTATTATTAAATACATACTGGTATTGTTAAATACGTACTACTGTCCGACGTCCACAACGACATCTCCTGCCGTCTGGCAGTCACTTCGAATTTAGCTCACCATGAGCTTTTCCACCGTTGCCGTAGTTTTTCATTTTTCATTTCGTGCTATTTTAAAAGTTAAAATATTTATCCTGGAAATTTTTTCACAACTGTTGGCCACTTTGACTTTGTCTCTTGTGAAGTTGTGCTACAATTTTAGAGAAACTGTACGTCGAAGATTTATTTGACATTCACAGGAACATCAGCTGGTTTAGTCTCGTGCTACGTGGACCCGATACCCTGATACTTTATGTAATTTTCGTGGATCGCGTTGGAAAATGAAGCGCATGACTCGTTCGCGCACCGCGGCGATGGAACGGGAAGCTGCTGCTAAACGGAGCAAATCGGATAATCTCCCCACATCGGCTGATCTCAGCGAGAGCCCCTCCACCTCCTCCTATCCCCACCACCAGCCCAGTCCCGAAATCCTGCCCTATTCTGCAGCTGAAGTGGAGAACCAGCCTATGGAGATTGTTGAAGAAGCGCCTAAAGGTACAAGAGCAACGGGGCTGTGTACTGCTTGCTAGTTATTTACACGAACTGGAAAGCGACAAAGCGTCATTCCCTTTTTGATGATTCAGGGCGTAGAATATTCTAAGTAACCAAGAAACTGGCAGGGTAAACCATTAACAACGTAGCGAGAAGTTCCATACTGCATAAAAACTGCTCGAAGTTATGTAAGTTACTTACGATTAGTTACACAGTAAGTTCCAAAACGGATTATTGTATGTTTTTATTGTTTTACTTGCGAAATCTGTTGTCGTAAAATCTGGATAAAATAAATTATTCATTCAAATCATAACATGATCATGAACAGCTGTATAATTTTATTCGGAAAGACTAAAGAGACTTCTAATGTTGCAACATTGTAACAAGATTCGCAGTTACTTAATACATCAGTGGTGAAGCACTGAAGCCCAGTTTTTGACTCTTTTCAATTTTGCCTTATCTTCTCGATAGTATTATAATGTACTAGTATAGATTAAAATAATACGATTGTAGTAATAAGATTTTGGAACAAAATTGAGATCGTAATAATTGATAATACTATTTTTCATTATTATTTTAATTAACTTCTATGCGCCCCGAAATTTCCCGCGAAAAATAAAAATAAATGTATTTATCTTTGAATAAGAGGCTTTTTTTGGAAAATTGTTGTTATCACTGTGAGGAAGTTTCAAGCATTTTGAATACTTTAACTATCGTTAATTATTACTATCAGTTATTATTGTTTCTAATTATAGTTTGCTATTTTTACTACCTCTTGTTAGTCTGCTTTTAAGAAAGAGTTCTCTTTGCGTATTGGTTTCGTCTGTTTTAAATTGTTCAACGACAGAACATTTACGGTAACTGCCCGTTCTTGTCGTAGACGTCTACAACGCCCAGGGAAAGCGTCTGCCGCGGATGAAGGTGGTGATCCACGAGTGGCACGCCGTGGTGAACTGGCGCTGGAAGGGCACGGACGAGGACGACTGCGGCATCTGCCGGTCGCCCTTCGCCGGCTGCTGCAGTGACTGCCGTTTCCCCGGTGAGGACTGCCCCATCGTCAGCGGCAAGTGCACGCACACCTTCCACGTGCACTGCATCCAGAAGTGGCTGCAGTCGCAGCAGCAGCAGAAGCAGACTTGTCCCATGTGTCGCCAGGAGTGGGATCTGTGAAGAGGCGCGCGCCCCGGGAGGTGGCGGTGGCCGACAGTGGAGGCGTTTTCTTTTGATCTGAGTGTGCTGATGATTGATGTGTACTCGTGGAGGTTAGGTGTTTATTTGTCCTTGTCAATATAAAAGGTGTTATTCCGTTATTTTATTACTTAATATAATGGTTTATCCAGTTTTATATTATTCTGATATTCTCTGACGAACGTCGTCATTAACACCGTCACACAGGATTTTTCCCTGGTTTTTAATGGACACTCTGTAATGATTGCGAGTTTTATCTGTACTTAAATGGTTAACAGAATTGTGCTACCACTCGAAAAGCGATTTATGAACATTGGTTATACCTATTTTTTTGGCTTTATTAGAGATTTGGTGAGAACTTAATAAAACATAGAGTCGGCATGATTTCGATGGAATTCCATGATGTTTGCGATCGATTTTCGCAGCGTTACTTTGATGAAAAAAACTTATACGACCACTATTTATACGAAATGGGTGCGCTTGAAGTCAGCAGCTCCTTCTAGTTCCGATTCGTTTTGGGATGGGCGTTTTTTTCGACGGGCAAGTTTCGCTTGCAGTGCAGAACACCCGGCACATCTGCAAATTAAATAAATTAGTAGATGTATCTGTAAAGTGATACAAATACTGCATGCATCTGTAAGTAAAGATGTACTCGTATCTGTATAAAAGCAACATTACAGTTTTAACGTAATTACATCAGCTGTGAACAAGAATAACAAGTGATTTTTTAAAAAAATTGCAAATTCATTAAAATAATTATTATTACGAAGGCGAACGACAAACAGTTCGTATACCAGTTTATGCAATTTTACCGTAGACGGCTTCCGGTTATCGGTTGGTACAGCAGTTCACAATTCTGTACGCGCAAGGTGTACGGCATGGATGATTCATCCTGGTAGACCGCATCCGACGGCAGCAGAGCATGTGTGGACGCGGCATCGAGTCCCGGGCAGCGGACAAGCCTGTCCACACCCGCCAGCAGGGCTTCCAGTTGCGCGCGCCCTTCCACATCGGAGGCCGGCAATCCCGGTTGTTGTACTCGGCGCCGGCTGAATGACTCGACGCACGGCTCCAGTGTGTTGCGGAAGTAGACGCAGCGCTCGAAGGCGTCGGAAGGGGATTGTGTATCCGAGCGACTGCGATAAAATACACAGTAGCGGTCGTTGTTCTGGATGGGCATCATGAGACGGGAAAAAGTGGTGCTCACGTTGCCGATGTCGCGCACCAGGTCATCGAAATCTTTGTACAGCTCGGAATCTGAATAATGTCGCAAATAATTTTTAATTAATTACAGTAATAATGTCGCTAACAGACACAAAATTTTACTTTAATGAATTTTAGATACGGTATTTCATTATTTTTCAATGTCTTTAAATATCCTCGTGTAAAGGTTACTGTTATCAATGTATTAAATGCTTTTATGATGGTCTCGTCCCGCATACACAATCACTGCAGCTCTCGATCGGAATGCAGAAATTAAGCTTAAAATATAAGTGCAACGACCAGACATTTATGAAATAATATACGAGTATAACTGGTACGATAACTCGTATAACTGGTACGATGAAGAGCCCGAAGATTTAAAAAAAACATGATCGAGTTTCTTTATGGCAGTGATTATTAAATACTGAGGTAATGTAGCACCGAAGACAAATTTCTAACACTTCGGTAGAGAAAAATATAAAACTCCAGTAAAAATCGTAATTATCGGTTGTGAGGTAATATAAGTAATACAGCGTCTGATAAAAAAAATCATCAGTATAAAAAAGCACTGCAATAATTGTAACGTGCATAACGCGGTGTTATTTCATGTTGTGGTTTACCTTTCTGACAAGTCACCAGCGCTGGCGGTTGGTGTATTGAGATGGCGGTGGGAGAAGGTTCCCGGTACGTGTTGGTGGATGGGCTGCCACTATCCTCATCATGCCCCGGATGGCGAAACGCGAATCCCTCAAAACATGGAGTGCAGATCATGGCTTTTCGGCCGGGTTCGTACGCTGGCTTGCAGAATTCGTACATACTTTGCCAGCTGGCCGGTTCCTTCTTGCGATTGGGAAAACGGCGCCATGTTAAGTGGTGACTACCGAAATATGTACTTACGATTGCTGAAGTTCGCTGAAGTGCAACGTCGGCCAACCGGAAACATGGCCACTACAATAATGATAACGGCTACCAAGGCTGCTACTAACCCGGTCTCGGTCACCACCTCCCCCCTCGGAAAAATCTCATCTTTTGTTTGAAGACACAATAGGTATGGGGAACACTTAAAAAAATACTTTCATCGGCAATGGTCCAGTGGGCGCGGCCAAACACGAATTTAATGGTTGACATTATGGCATGTATCGCCATTGCCGTATTGCTGTACATAATTATGGTGTTACAGATTACACTGATAAATTTATTTTTCGAGTTCTGTGGCATCCATCACCACTGTAGCTTTACTCCCTGATTTGATTTTGCTTCCTAATCCACTGTTTTGAAATGACGTAACATTTTAAAGAATCACGCCACGTATCAAGCTCTAAAAGGCATGGACTTGCAGCACACGGTCTGTTCGGGTTTAAGTACAGCAGCCATTGGCGAGTTCTCTAACAATTTTGAATTTTTCAAAACAGTGAATTAGGAAGCAAAATCAAATCAGGGAGTAAAGCTACAGTGGTGATAGATGCCACAGAACTCGAAAAGTAAATTTATCAGTGTAATCTGTAACACCATAATTATGTACAGCAATACGGCAATGGCGATACATGCCATAATGTCAACCATTAAATTCGTGTTTGGCCGCGCCCACTGGACCATTGCCGATGAAAGTATTTTTGTAAGTGTTCCCCATACCTATTGTGTCTTCAAACAAAAAATGAGATTTTTCCGAGGGGGGGAGTGGTGACCGAGCCCTGGTAAGATGTATGACAAAATAATAATATTACTGAGTATTTTGAGTGGAATGCCCATGTACGCCCTAACGGTTTCGGTCAACCGTAGTGATATGAAGGAGAGCCGTGACAACTGACAACCTGCCTCACGTTGGTAAAATGTTATGAAGACTTTTGCTACGGCCACACTTCAAGTGCGAAGGCCTTCGCACAGTGCGAGCATTTGCAGGTAAGCAGGATATCGTGCAGATTGCAGAATAGCCGGTAGACAGAGTTTGTGTATCTCGAAATAATGCAGTCAGTATCTGTACTAGTTGGGTAGATCACAGAGTCAGAGCCAAATCGCACCTGGTTGAGGTGGGTGGCCGGCAGCCAGCTGAATTGTTTTATTACCTGTTCTGTAGCCAGGCCGACGAGACTGCCCAAAGCCAGAAGACTTTGGACTGCCCTGTCACCTGAAGAACACTCTAGCCAGTGGTCTGAGCGGGTACCGGTACAGACGGGATTTGCAAAAAGAGCCGCTCGCCAGTGTGGTTTCGCTCTAAGGCACAGCGATTCACTGGAAGGGGAACGACTTTGTTCCAACATTCGGCAGGAGAACAATACAATCTGGCACTGTACTCTGTAAGTGTTTACGACCTGCCACAATTCGGAAGGCCTTGCCTCTTCTTTTCGAGCTGACCATGAGCTTTCTCAGTTTCCCTGAAATGCTATATCCACTGTCTTTTGGTTTCGTCAGTAACGCGGTCTTGACTCTTCAGAGCATGTCGGTAACTGTGCCACTACCGCTGCATGGGCCAGGTGCAAAATAATGAAAGGTCTTATGTACACTAGCTCGGACTATATAGGACTATCAGAATCGAGAAGTGCTCTGCATATTTTCCTTAACCTGCTGTTCTTAAAGTAAAATAATAAAAATGTTTTTGACGTGTATGGTGACGAGATTAATCAGGAACCACGGCAGCCTTTATTTAGATCCTAGTCATTGCTCTGCACCAATGTCTTTTAAACGAATTTTCAAGCAATTTCTGGTGTTTTCCCCCGAAATTTATGCATTTGTGAAGAGTTTTGGTATTTGTGTAGATAACACCGATTTTTGGTAAGAAGCTGTGGAGAGTGGCAGTAGCAGTTGCTGTCCTTTCGGATTGTTACACGTAAGCATTCAAAATTTGTCAAATTATGGAAAAAAATCACTATATTGGCGTCTGCGTTTATGGCTGATAAGAAACTGAATATCACTGCACAGTGTGTACACATACAATACGCACAGAATACGAGGCGTTCCTATAATGATGCAGAAGATCAGTACAGTAGAGTACTTTTCAAACAAATTAATACAGGCAGGATTACAGTTATTTCCCATTAACTGTTGTGTAGCAACCCAGTAAAGAACTCAGCCTTTATCTGGCTGATAGACTACTTAATGAATCCCAAATAATGAACTATGGACAATTCCACGGACACAGTGGCCACACCTCGATGACCTTTTTAACCTCCAGCAATGACCTTTCCCCCGCCCTCCCCATGTGTTCACCAGTATGCGCGCGTGTGACCTTTTCGCCTGGCTGAATGTCATGCTGTTACTATGCTGCACTGAGACACTGCTCCCTTTTGATCATCGCCTCCCCGCTATTCATCTCTTTCGTCCCGCACATCCCCTGGAAGCCAGCCGGAAACGTTCCGTCGGCAGACCAACCATGTACCAGCTGCGGAATCGCCAGTATGCGGATTCCGTGAATATTCAGGATGATGTCAGTGATATGCATAATGATGATTTTGTCGATGCCGATCTCCCTGTGCAGCCTCCGGAGAAGGTGACGCTGCAGATCAAACTGAAGCTGGGCGATCATTCCATACCCGCTCTCGAGTACGGTAAACAGAATTATTTTTCTCTGATTTTACTACAATACTTACTTTTCTACTTATGTTTTATTAGTTTTTTTATAAATACTACGCGTTCGTGCTCTTCTATATACAGCTTTTACATTATGTATGTTAGAATACTTGACAAACAGCACCAGGTAAAAAAGGTCACATGCATGCAGAATGCAACAAGTATCAATTCGTAAACTGATGAAAAGAAATTTGAGCAGTGATTATGTTTTTTGTCAAACGCATTTCTGAGTTTCAGTAACTATCGTCGCTGTTTTTGTGTATTCATTTTGTAATAATAATTAACGAAATATTTTTGATTTATAGAAGTGCCAAAATGGTGGTTCCAGCAAATGCGCGACGAGCACGCTGCCAGTGTACAAATATCCGGTTCCAGCCAAACCGGAAGTGATAGAAGTCGGAGTGGAAACGTTAAGACCCGCAAAATTGTCAAAACCACTATCCACGAAACTTCCGCCGAGGAAGGCGGAGAAGATGGCGAGGATGAGTCGCCGCGCTTTGTCGGTCATGTCAAACGGAAACCGCAGAAATTCCCCACCGTCACCCGCGGTATGAGGCTTGCAGTTTTTGAAAATTTTACTTTTTTCAAGTTTTTGTCAATTCTAATAGCTTATTTTTGTTTTTTTATTTGCTAATATACCACACGCTTGAACAGATTTACTAAAATTAACAAATAACAAATGAAATGCTTGTTTTTCAAAATCATTGCTGTTAATCTTTAAACGCCATCCACAACGTCCGACTATGAATTATATTGAGGGGATCGATTTCGGTTTTAATGATGGCTCATGAATTCCTTAAAATTCAATAACTCTTGTACGCACAGTACAACTGTATTATCAGAGATTTGATTTCTCTTGTATTAATTTTACCAAATCCTTTTCTACAGCATTCAAAATTGCAGCGGATGCGACGTAGTAAAATGGCCCTTGCATGGGGATCCGCCGTATTTCGCAAGCGGCTTTGCGATATTTAATTTACTGATAGAATTAATTTTTTACTGTAATCTTACTGAATTTTATTGTATTACTCATCGCGACTGATGAGACTTTACTTTCTGCAGAAGAAGCGAGGCATCACTGGAGCGGGTCAGCGGATCATCCCAAGCCGGACAAATTCGGCCGGCATTATTCAGGTGCGATAATAAAACACAGTTTAACGCATTACTACACTTCTATCTTTACATTACGTAATAGGCACGCAGGGTAACGAAGTCCAGGAATTGCAGCTGAATTAATCAGCAGTTGACAATTCGCGATATTTCAGTTTTTTTGCAATTTTTCTGACTTTCTTTCTGATTGATGTGGCTGCAGGGGGGATTACGGTGCACAGTACACCCTAGTAAATACTGTTATTTCAATAGATACGTAATGTTGCGTGAATTTCTGAGGATTTTGTACTTCATGTAGATAATATACGCGGCACTTCGGTGCATGGTGAAAGCGAAGAAATGGAAGAAGAGGGCGCTTATAACGAAGATTGCGGCGGCGAAGCCGAGTATTTCGTTCACACTCTTCCTAGCAGTGCGTTCAGCAGCCCGTTAACCAAGCCGGCAGTAGCGGCCACAGCCAACTGGAATTCCAATGATCCCTTCGTCTTTCAAGGCAAAAACGGATTTACCGGTCCAGGAGATGATTATTATTTGCAGGTACTTGAATACTATTTGCACGTATAGTTTCAAAATATGTATAGCTTTTTTTATCTTTAGGTGTGAATAATTAAAACTAAAATAATTTTTTTAAATTTTTAATAAATATTAATTTTTATCGTTAAACATTGTATTTTATTTCACAAATCGACACAATAACTGATCCGCACAGATTTCTAGGTGCAGTACGACACCAAAACAATTGTAGCGCTTTAGACGATACAACCATTAATTTGATCTTTCTGTTTCGCTTTACTTTGGCTGAAAACATGCATGTGCCTGTATCTGGTTATTGGCTGCAGATCGAGTTTGGCGCGTCACGTAGGGTGACTGGATGGAAAGTGACCGGAAACGGACAGAAACACCATGCCGGTGCGGTGGAAGCGTACACGGTGCGCCTGCACGATCCCAGCCAAAAGAAATGGTCGACCATCCTGGGACCGGAGGGTCAGCCGCGGGTAGGTAAATCAACAATATCCCTACAGCTAATTAAGTAAATAAGTTTACCAAATTTGAGATTTACAGGGAAATCAACTAACTATTTGTGCTGTTATCGTTAATACATTTATTCGAAACTCATTAATTCCCAGCAGAAATAACTAATGGTTTATATATATGTAATAATTAACGATTTTTCATATTAATTTACGATTACATGTTAGTACACTTAGTGCAGGTATAACGGCCCTGTACACAATTCTCCTGTTACTGGATACAGTATTACGGTGTTTAGGTATTTTCTGGTGCACCATCCGCTGATCCGGATCGTACTGGTGATGTGTACCCAGTGAAAATCGCCCCCAAAAGAGCGGACGGAATAAGGTATAGAATTTATATGTTTTATCCATACACTATGCATAGGACAGTACAAGCCCAGCACGGATGAATATTGGCCGATGACTATTAAAAATAAGTACGGTAATTCCAAGGATGTGCTGCTTTGCGGTCGCTTACGGACTGTCATATTATTAATGAACCCGTGCGTAGGTTTAGTAAATTATTTATGATATACTTTACATACGTTGAATCGAAACACGAACTGCCTGCTTGTACATACTGCGCTGTTGTACTTTATGCGTTCTACTGCGTTAATCTGGCTCAGTTGTTCAAAATAATATGAATGTTCGATGAAAAGGACGCCTTTCTCGGTTTTTTTACGATAGAAAGAGCTTAACCGGCAAATAATTCTTATTCTGGCTCTCGCATTACCACCGGATACAGAATTTTTTGCTGCTGCAGTCGCTTTCTTTAGCGCTGCGTCTTCCTGTGTTCAGGCTCGGTTTATTTAGTGATATTATTGCCCTTTTAGTACTAATAATTATCACACCTACGTTCGTAGCTAACAAATGCACACAATACATGGCACTGATGGCAGTATCGTAGTGCAGGGGCGTATGATATACCGGCCACTAGTGACTTCGTATAAGTCTCGGAAGCCCGTTATAATTATTTGACATCGGCGGTGATAAGTGAAAAATTTTATTCTTCCTGTCGATCAATCATACCATACCGTCATAGTTTCGCTTCATTAGCATGAAACCCCCTTGATTTTATCCATATCGCGGTATTACAGTTCCAGTAGACTGCTCTTGGTCGGGGTGATTATCTTTCTGTTATTTTGCCAGATTTTATCCGCTGCAGTGGAGCGGGAAACCTTACTTCAAAGTAGACGTGCAAGCCTGCCGAGAAATTCACCAGACCGGAGGACGCCGCCGGGCAGGCAATACCCGAAAGCTCATCAGTACGGTTACCGAAGAAGAGGAGGAAGAGAGTGATGCGGCACAGCGGCATCCGAAACCACAGAAATGGTCGAAAGAGGCTTACGGGGAAATGGCGCCGCGTCGCCATCCCTATGGCGGTGGCGAAGAGGAGGGAGGACAACGGGAACGGACCCCGGTGTCCAGGAAGGCCTGGTCCAAACATCCGGCGGATGCCGCCGGGAATTCTGGTGCCGGAGCGAAGAGGAGACGAACACAGACGGTCACGGAGGAACGATGGTCGAAGCAAAGTGAAGGTAATTATTTTTAAATTTAATACTGCATGGCACGAGCAGGGATCAGCGACTAACTGACAACTGAAAATCGTGAAACAGCAGAATTCTTGGCACTTACAACTAAACCAGAAATTGGGTGTATGTGATTTGTGGATACACATGGAATAAATAGAATGAAACCGTAAATGCGGGTTAAAACGCGAACTTTCGAAATTTCGAATACGTCCTCATACAGTTAATTTTTCTAATAGAAAGATAAGTCACCATCAGAGTACAAGCGACTGCAACACATTCTGCATTCCAGAACATTTAGGTCGGCTTTTTCGAAATTATCACTGCAGGATATGTGAACTAAACAAGTATCTGGCATAGGCAACTGCATCCCTATATGCCGAACCGAACTGCCAACTGATCTTGAAAAATGTTACAAAATATCTTCGTTATAAGCGCGTATGAAGCCATCGTAGACTTACAGTTTACAAAGTAAATTTGGAATATTAATTGTAACGAAGAATTTGACGGCTGTTCTTACCTACGATGTTGTCAAACGTAGTCCAGTGGCTGATTGCTCGATAGTGCTTGCCCAGTCTTAAGGCTTGCATGTACGTATGTAGTTTTGTATGTACGAGAAAGCTAGTAACAGTTATCATTAATTTTTGGCATTATTTCGTCAGTAATTGATATTTTTGAGCTATGATTATTATTTTTGAATTAGTCGTTCTAACAATTAATCGGCAGTTTTTTCCAGCTTATTGAGTTTAATTATGTATTTTGTACAAATATCTGATGTACTTGACAATTTTATATACTTTTAATAAAGACATTTCTTCTACTCTATTTGGCGCATGAAAGGGGCCGTTTCAGTCCGATTGCTTGCGCATAGCGAGTACCGCTCGTCGTGATACGTTATTCATTTACAGGAAGGGAAGACCGTGACGACAGCCGTCCCGACGATCGGTCGTCGCGGATGCGAGGGGGTCACTGGTCAGGGAACGAGTATGTCGCCGGGGCGAACGCCGGCAGTGCTGCCCGGAGTAAAACTCGTAAAGTAACGAGCGCAACGCGTGAAGAGGAAACAGGAGACGCCCGTGGTGGGGAAACGCCCAAAGAGCCGCATCCGGTGATCGAGCCCAGTGTGGAGCGGATACCCGGCGGACCGCCGCCCACCCTGTGCAAGCGCATTCCCCTGCGCGATCTCCAGTATTTCGAAATCGACTACGACAAACGGGTATACTTGCTAAAATACTCTTAGTTTTTTGCTAATGACAAAAATCAGTACCGATTGAAGTGGCGCAAAACATTGCTCTGGATTTTGAACTAGTGAAGAAAGCTTAATTAACGCAGGTACAAGACCTTGGCGCCGATCCGGATATTATGGCGGATGGCTATGTCAACCTGCGTCTTTTGACGGCCGAAACAAGTCAGCAGAATAAGAACAATCACCTGGCGCTGGAAGTGGATTTTGGACGCACTCGACCCATCCAGCAGCTGCTGTTTAAAGTATGGACCACACTTTGTACATCCTGTGAATATGATATCGTAGAGCATGGGCAAATGACGCAGTCTTTAACGGAGAGCTCACTCAGCTCAGCGTGTTATTAATATTACAGTGGTAATTTCTCTTTTTCTTGCCGGGCAACCATGCACGCCGGCACAGCTTTTGAAATGCATGACGCACCATTACTCATGCATACGATCAAGATTGCCCGTGTAATTTAATTTTTTCCCCGGCCATTTTCCCTTCTTAACATGCTTGACATAAACTGCGGTGAAATTAAGAATTTATACGACATTTTTTATGTGCACGGTGTTGCGCGATGAATTTTTAGCAATGCAGCATTAATACTGTACATGCATACATTTATTGAAACCTACGTTTAGTTGTTTATCCATATTTATTTATTTATACATATTCACTTATACATATTCATTTATTCATATATTTTGTATTTATTTACTTATACAGCATTTATAATCGCCGAAATTGATATTTATTGTTAATTAGGGTATGTTGCGGGAAGGGATGCCGGCCATCATGCAGGCGTTCTACCTGCAGTTCTACGATCCCGACACACACGTGTGGCAGTGGGTCAGCCAGGACAATCAGCCCAAACCCTTTATCCTCTTCCAGCACACGAAGCTCAATAAAAAGGAAGTACAGACCATCTTCCCGGTGCGCTTTACCCAGAGCCTGCTTACCAGGAAACTGCGGATTTATCCCGAATTGTGGATTAACTTGCCGCTCATTCGGATGGGCGTTATTGCATGTGGCTAATTCTGGGAATTATTTTTGGAATTTGTCCTTTTGGAAGCATTGGACATTTCTGCGTTTTCGTCAGTTGTAGTTTCTTATGAAATGATTTCTTGTTGGTAACTTAGTTGTTGTAGGGCTTGGCGAGTGTCGTCTGTGAAGCTCTGGTGACCTTTAGTTTACTGGGGTAGAATTAGTCAGCGGTGCTTGTTGGATTCGATGGTTTTTGCTTACTTATGTTGGCTTGGCATTTTTCAGCGCACTTGTATCGTGTACGTTGATGTCGTTACTCGTTAGTGTTATGAATGTTTTTATGAACAATGCTTTGGATAAGTTTTCTGGTTACGAACGGCAATTGTATGTTTTGGGGTTTTCTTTGTTGTTTTCCCGAAAACCGAAAGCAAAACTAACTAAAAAGCAGTCCACGCCAGATAGTACATTTTTAGAAGAAATATAAGCAAGAACAAAGTAAATAATTTACTTATTTATTGTAATCTTTTTTAGCGCGTCTAGCCGCGGCGCCGCACTAACTAACAAACATCATCCCATTTTCTGTGCGCACACGGAAATGCCAATGATACACATCCGCACCCGAGTATAATTAACAGAATTATTTTCTCTTTATTGCTGCTTATTATTTCAGATAGTTCTTGTACTTAAAGTGCTTTTATTCCGCTTTCATAATAATAATTATTATTACTTAGTTTTCAGCAGTCACTATAAAAACCTCGAACTTGTTCAATTTAAAATGCAGATCTAGTTATAGAGAAAGTCACGCACGAATGCAGAACACAGGCGTGAAAACGGCTTCAAAAATTTTATACAGTGCTTACGATTAGCTGTCAATGCACATCTACATAATCCTCAACAGAGTCATTCTGTTACTGTACTCTTTTGTTACTCGTATTTTACCCCGAATTCGGCTTAAGCGCTAGCACCAGCAGTGACAAGTATGGCACCTGCGTACACCCAGTGTCAGAGCACGTGGAAGCTTGGTATGCAATATTCAGCAGGGCATATGATATCGTAGTGTATGGGCCCGGAGGCAGTAGCTACAAAGATTGGTCTTCACGTTACAGTACTTTCTGAAAAGTTCAGATAATAAATTATACAGTGTTTTTTTGAAGAAATGTTTTTTACCTTAATCATACTGTCACAGATGCCTTTTCTGGTAGATTCTATCCGCTTTAGCAGAGCGCAAAACCTTACTTTACAGTCGACATGCAAACCTGCCTGGATACGCACCCGATCGGAGGACGCCGCCGAGCCGGCAACACGCACGAAAGGTCATCAGCACGGTTGGGAATTCGAAAGTTAAAAACTGTTCGAATTTAAACGAATTTTTAATATTACCTAGATGTGCATTGAAAATTGGATTTCATCTACAGCACTTCTAGTCTATTTGGCGCTGGAGTGACGCCGTACGTTCAGCGTGGAGCGGGTACTCGGGGGACCGCCGTCGGCATGGTGCAAACATTCCCTTGCGCGATCTGCAGCAGCGATTACGACAACGACAAAATAGCAAATCCGCAATCGACTACGACACACGGGCAAAACTGCCGAAACATTATTTTGCAGTTTTATTACTAATTAGGAAACGATCTAGTACCGACTACGTACGTCTTCGTAAAAAAATCACTGGATTTTGAATTAGCGACGAATACTTAACCAGATCCGATTAGACACGTCCAAGATCCTGGCACCAGTCCGGGTATTATGACCGACGGTTATGGCACCCGACGTTTACTGATGGCCGAAACCAGTCAGCATACCAAAAGCAATCACCTTGCTTTGGAAGTGGATTTCCGACGAACGCGACCCATCCAGCAATTGCTCTTCAATATATGCACTGTTTAGTAACACTGTAATATTGTAGTGTGTAGGCGAGTTATGCTGCATGAATGGCGTGCAAAGCCCATCGTATATACATAAAATTTTGACAATGACGAATTTCTTTTTCCTGTTTGACAGTCATAAGTTTGACAGTCATAACTTCGATTAAACTGCGAGACGAACCCGTTCTCATATCTTCAGAATATGTTCCGGGATTATCCGTGCAGTAAGTGCCAAACCTTTCCTTATTTTTCCTCAGTTGACCATTTTTATTTGCGTAAAAATTGATCAAAAATGATCTTTGGTTTTGAATTTGTTTGCAAGCCTGACACTGACTTCGTTCAGCGATATAATGCAATACGGTAGTACGATTGCGTTCTTGATTTTTACGGTATACGTGATGACCTTTAAGTTGAACAGCCTCCTAAAGCATCGACTTGCAGGTACGTGTTTAATTATTATTCTTATTAATACGGTGGGAGCATTCCGGTTGTAATGCAGGCGTTCTACCTGCAATTTTACGATCCGGACACGCAGGTGTGGCAGTGGGTCGGCCAGGATAACCAGCCCAAACCTTTTATCCTCTTCCAGCACACCAAACTCAGTAAAAAGAATGTACAGACTATCTGTCTGTACTTCCTTTTTAGGTGCGTGTCCGGATCGTAGAACTGCAGGTAGAAGGCCTGCATGATGGCCGGCATACCTTCCCGCAGCGTACCCTAATTAACAAAACAGATATTAATACCTGCATGTATAATATCGACGCTTCATAATGCATTAACGTTGTGTTTCCGAAAGGTCATCACGCAACATCGTACATATAAAAATGTTGTGTAAAAACACTTCACTGAGTTTATGTCAAACATGCACAGAAATTCAACCCAAAAATTCACCTAAAATTAATTCTTGAATCAATAAAAACTGTTGTGGAAAAGCCGAGAGCGGAAAAAATGGCACGGTCAATCCCGGAGCGCACTTTGGGCGTTCCCCACCACGGGTCTTTTGTTTCCTCTTCGCGCGTTTCGCTCGTTACTTTGCTGGTTTACTCCGGGCAGCACTGCCGGCATGCGCTCCGGCCGGCGATTTACTCTTTCCCTGCCAGTGGCCACCCCGCATCCGCGATGACCGATCGTCGGGAGCTGTTGTCGTCGCGGTCATCCCTTCGATCCTGTAAATGAATAACGTATTACGACGAGCTGTACTCGCGCTGTGCGCAAGCAGTCGGGCTATAAAGACAGTACTCATGCGCCAAATAGACTAGAAGTACTTTATTAGAGTACAATATAAAATTTTCAAGTACATACTTTGTACATTGGATATTTATACAAAAATACAAAATTCTGGAAGAAACTGCCATTGATTGTTAAAACGATAAATTCACAAATAAGCTAGGAATCAAAATCCCCAGTAATGACGAAGTAAAGCCAAAATGTTAACTGTTTATACTAAAACAATCTTTTATATAGCTACGTAGATGCAAGCGTCAAGACGTCAAGATGCAGTAATAAATTTGAAAATAATTACCTTCACTTTGCTTCGACCATCGTTCCTCCGTGACCGTCTGTGTCCGTCTCCTCTTTGCTCCGACATCAGAGATCCCGGCGGCAACCGCCGGGGGTTTGGACCAGCCGTCCCTGGACACCGGGGTCCGTTCCCCTTTTCCTCCCTAGCTCCTCTCCATCGCCACCGCCGTAGAGATGGCGACGCGGTGCCATTTCCCCGTAGGCTTCTTTCGACCACTTTTGTGGCTTGGGATGCCGTTGTGCCGCATCACTCCCTTCTTCCTCTTCCTCGGTAACCGTGCTGATGACCTTTCGGATGTTTCCTGCCCGGCGGCGTCCTTCGTTCGGGTGGGTACCCCGACAGGCTCGTACGTCTGCTTTGAAGTAAGGTTTCCCCCTCTACTGAAGTGGACAAAATCTAAAAACAGGAAAAAAATAAATTCCCCGAAAAATTCTGCCACACATACAGTTGTAGTGCCGTGTTATAATATTATAGGAGTGAATAAGGATGTGCGCGCATTACGCCCATACACTACGTTACTGCCGTGCACGTTGGGTGCATTCATAGGCTAAGCATTGTGCACGTATGATACTCGTATTAATACCACTAAAATTGTTACGCACTGCTACGCCGCCGGAAACCGACTGGAGCAACAAAACATCTTGTAACCGTTGGTGATAAACGAGAATGTAATTTAAAATTATTAAAGTCTGCTATTATAGTGTGATGTAATGTGTAATGTAATGTGTAATGTAATGTGTGTGTAATGTGTGATGCGCTTGTAATGTGTAAGTGTAATGATGTTTAAAATTATTAAAGTCTGCCGCAGGTAGGAACCCGGAACAATTTCTCTGTCATCAAATATTCGTTTTCCAACAGTCGAACCGAGACCCAGAACATGGTAGAGGCACCGCAGACTGGAGTAATTATTATTTCGGCGTGGATCTGGGACCACACTAGAAAGCCAAAGTCTGTGACACCGGAAGTGATATGAGTCGGAGTGGAAGCGTTAGAACCCGCAAGATTGTTAAAAATCGCTCTCCACAGATTGTTAGATTACCACAAAACTTCTGACCAGGACGGAAGAGAAGAAGGCAACTCTCGTACTGCGATTGTTGTCATCTCTCGTCCTACAAATAATACAAAATTTAAGCTAATGCTGCTGTGAGTGCTGGTCGGTTTCGGCAGCGTTTCGTCGCCCTGTGCTTGTGTTTAAATTGAATTCAGTGTAATCAGTGACAAATATCGCACCTGCATACCACTGTCAGTGTACGTAGACCTTGGCAGGGCATATGATATGGTAGTGCTTGGGCGGACGGGACAATCATAAAAGTGATTTTAATGCCGGCATATTAAATTCTTTCGGGGCATTTAAGATAATTGTGCAGTATTTCTAGAGTGAAGAAATATCTTTTTAATTTCCTGGCAATCATACGGTCACGGCCGAGCCGGCAGCACGCGTAAGGTCATCAGCACGATTACTGAAAGAGGTGGCGGAGCGTGCTTCGGCGCAGTGATCGAAAGTTCAGAACAACAGAAAGGGTCGAAAGAAGCCTTTCGGGGAAATTACACCTTGTCGCCGTCTGTATGGCGGTGGTCATAGAGACGAGGAAAGGGAACGGATAACTGCCCCCGTCCCCTCCCTCCAGTCTTCAGGGAGGCTGGTCCAAACCTCCGGCGGATGCCTCCGAAAATTTACATTCCCGAGAGGACGCAGACGCACGCAGGCAGTGAGAGAAAAATGCACATGTTCGAAACAAAGTGGAGCTAGTTGACCGGGACGAAGCTGGGATCGGTGGCGACTCTAGTAATAATCGGGGGACAATGCAAGCTTTGCTACAACGCAAATGCGGTTTAAAATGCGAAAATTCACATGCACGTAACTTGTTTTGATAACTAGAAGTGTGAAAAATTCTCTATCCACAACATTCGAGTCGGCTTTTTCAAATTTATTACTGCATGATGCTGTACAATTAAACACGTATGTATACTTTATTGCAAATAATATAGCATCTGCCGAATCCCCCATCTGATCTTCAGAAATGTTTGTATGCAGAGATTACGTGCACACACAATCAGCTCGCACTTACCAAAGTAATTGTACGATTGTAACACTTGAAGCGTAAAATTAAATTTACAAAATATTTAATGTACAGTAATAAAGAATTTGACGTTTTTTCAGACTTCTGTTATTACGAAGCGTAGCGAAGTGGCTAACTAATATTGTACTTCTGCCCCGCAGCACACGAAACTAATGTTGTCACAACATCTGAATTTCACCTCGTCAGTAATTGGTGTTAACTGATGTTAATTGATGTCAGTAATTGTCAGTAATTGATACGTTTACAAGTATTTTTAGTTTAACTATCTTTCTGCAAGTTAAGGTTCAACTTGGGAAGGAGCACCCATAAAGCCGCATCCGGCGGTTGTTCCCAGCGTGGAGCGGATGTACCCGGCGGACCGCCGTCGGCATTGTGCAAAGGAATTCCCCTGCGCGATCTGCAGTACTTCGAATTTGACTACGACAAACGGGTACAATTGCCTAAAGACATGCAGTTTTCTTACCGTAGTTATGAGAGAAAACCTACTACTTACAGAGTACGTTTGCATAAAAAGCCACTGGATTTTGAATTAGCGACGAAGGGAAGTGGCCCGGTACATGATACCAAATTCGTGTACAGATACATGCACGAAGACTTTCACTTTCGCGCACTCCCAAACAAATTTTTGTTTCGGTTTATGATATTCTGTAGCCAGACGATTTGTACACTGGCGGAAAACCGTTTGTGCGCGCAACATTCGGTTCCGGAGTTATGGCTGTTAGAAAATTCCAAAAAATTTAAATGCATTTGGATGTACCAAAAAAGGTTTCATTATGAACCGATCTCCTTCAAATTTTTCACGTAAATGTACTTGGCCATGAAGATTGTTTTTACACCGACCCAGACTTCCCTGCTTTTTTCCAGTTTTAAAATGAATTTTAAAATTTTATAAATTCATTTTAAAATTTGAAAAACATGCTAGGTGGATCGGTGTAAAAACGTTCTTCATTATTTACATTATGTGCATTTACATGCAAAATCTGAAAGAGATCAGTCCATAATGAGACTTTTGGTACACCTGAATGCATTCAAACTTTTTGGAATTTTCTAACAGCCATAACTCCCGAACCGGATGTTGCGCGCACAAACAGTTTTCACGCCCGTGTATACAAATCATTTGGCTACAAAATGTCATGAAAACAAGAGAAAAAAGGGTTTCGGAGTATGTACGCGAAAGGGAAAGACTTCGTGCATGTGCACGAATTTGGTATGTACCATGTACCGGGCCACTTCCCTTAACCGAACCGCAGGCTGAGATCTTGGCGCCGATCCCAACTAACGCGGCCGAAACCAGTCGGCACATAAAAACAATCACCTGGCTAGGCTGGCTTTGTAAGTGGATGTTGGACGAACGCGACCCACCCAGCACCTGCTCTTCAAAGTGTGCACTACAGTGACTACACTTAGCACACTGGGATATCGTGTTGCACGGGCGAATCGGACTGCAGAACTGCCATGCAAAGCCTATCGAATTTTCATAAACATAAACTGAAAATGACGAATTTCTTTTGGAAATCACTATAGCCACCCCTTTTCACCCCCGTTTTCTACAGCCACCCCTTTTCGCAAACTGTTTTTTTATGGCCACCCTTTTCCGCTATTAATTAAATAAGGAGACCCTATATTGGTTTTTCATAGACACCCATTTAATTTTTAAGCTGTTTAATTTATTTAAAACAACGCGTGATTTTTGTAATATTTTACAGAATTTTGTTCTACACCAATTCAAATGTTCGCGGTGTCCGTGCGTGGCCAAACTCTGCAGAGAAGTGAGAGCACTCTTAAGGGAAGTGAGCCGGTACATGGTACCCTCTTTCCCTGATTATTTATAGCTGGTTTTGTGTTATTAAAGGTTTTTCCGCGCATTCCAGATCTTAATCGCGGTCGGCCTTTTGTGGGCGCTTTTTGTGTTAATTATGAACCTGGTAAAATGAAGGGAACGCCACTGGCAGCCGGGTGCCCATCTAAATTGTCAGGCTTAACTTGTCCGCTGCTTCGCCGTTTTCAACCTCACCATCTTCGAGCGATACAGTAAACGTATCAAGGTGCTTAATTTCTATGATCGAGCGATCATGATAATAAACCGTACTTAACGTGTAAAGCATTCGTACAAGCTTTGTATCGAAAACTCACTTACTTATGGGGTGCCTGTAAAAAACAGGGTGTCTAAAAAGTAAATTAATTATTAACAAGGGTGCCTATAATCATCGGGGTGCGGAAAAGGGGTGGCTATAATGTCACACATTTCTTTTTCCTGTCGGACAACCAAATCTTCGATCAGACTGCGAGACGCACTCGTCCTCAAATCTATGTTCCAGAATTACCCGTGCAATAATGACCATCATGTGGATGTCGTTTTTCATAAATACAGTACCATGAAGTATAAAGTATGTAGTTATGTTTTTCAGATTACGAGCGACGATCGCATGTTTTGGGTTTTTCTTTATTGTTTATTAAAAACCAAGGTCAAACTTAAAACCTAAAAAAGCGGTACACGTCAGCCTGTCCATTTTTAACATAAACGAAGCAATAACCAAAAAGAAATATATTATATTCGCCTAACACATCTACCCGCGCCGCACTAACTAACAACATCATTGCATTTTCTGTGTGCACCCGGAAATAATGACACCCCCGTCGCGTTGACACCAGGATATAAAGGATCCGTTTTGTAGAACTTTTTTTCTCTTGACAAAAATAGCAACTTTCTCTTAGAAAAACAAATCTGACTCTTGATAAGACTGCTGCTGGAGCTTTCTTTTGTGTTGATTGATTTCGGAAACGTGCGTTGGAAATTTGACTTGACTAGCCGCTGGTGGATTTATTTCTGCGGCATGGATTTGAGGATGGCCTGGATCTCCTGGGCCACGGCCGTCAGGACGAACTCAAATTGCTCTTTGGTGCGGACCATATCCATGCGCTGATCGCGCAGATGTTCCAGGGTGGCCGCAATGTCCATCTCTTTGACGCCCTTGGCCATACGGTTGAGGACCAGATCGATTAAGCAGTAGGCGCCGGTACGGTCCACTCCGTCGCTGCAAACTGCAAAAAACACAGCACTTAATTTACATCCCCTGAAGATTTTGCAACTTTAATAGTTAACAATCGCTAAGTATTCAAGAGTAGATATGTAAAATAAGTATGTAATAATTACGCTAAAATATTTAAATATGTACGTAAATAAATACATGATTATGCAAATAACTGCACATGAGACGTACCAACAACGATCGGCGAAGGCCCGCCTTTGTAGCATTTGTTAACTTTTCTGCAAATAACAACATCCAAATTAAATCTAGTAACAAGATAAATGAACTGGACAGCTAGAAGTTACGCAAGTTGTAACGTCTGGATATATTTGGATTGTATAACACTGAAGTTGTGCACAAAGAGGAGACATTATTGCCCAATTGCTGGAAACAGGTACTACCCGGCTTGGGTGCCAGTTGACAGTACTGCCGGAGTATTGAATTAAATTCGACCCTCCGACAGTAACGTCATCCAGCACGAGCGACTGTACTTGTACAACTGGCCGATATCCTACTGACACGTTCGGTCAACGTGTAATATTAGTATGTGCTACTCGTACATATTGGAATAAGTGTCAAAGGTGATCGCGCAATTTTCGGCACTACGAGTAGGTTAAGCTATAAAACCTTCACTCACTAAATTAAAAAAAAACATTGAAAAACAACCAGAATCTCTATCCTGGCGTGGGATAAAAGGTAGCGCATGCAATCAAATTGGAGCGTAGCGTATTTATTTTGTGTCACTCGTACATCTGTGTGCGCTGGCCCTTCGGATGTTGCACCACTCACACAGTGTGAAATGTACACCATCGAAGGGTCAGTGCTCTACACAGAAGAACTGCCAAAGTGTCACCATATGAAAGGTCACAACGCCATTTTTACATGGCTCGGATACGCTTAAAGTAAGCTGCCGTCTACGTACCGTCGGAATTCCAGGAAGGACTTTTGCGATGTGGGCACGGCCAGGTTGGGCCAGTTTAGATAGTGGAACTGGGTGACGGTGCGGGTCTCGTGGGTGCGCAGATGTTTCAGGTAGAAACTGCGCACCAGATAGTCGTCGCACCAGATATGCTCGCTGACCAGATGGACTTCGTAATTGTGATACACTTCACTGCCCTCTTTGGGCCAGTAGACATGACACAGATCCTGATCGTTCTCCCGCAGTCGGGTCAGCATGACGATGACGGTACAGTTCTGCTCCCAAACCATCTAAAAACATTCACTGTTTTAGCAAACCAGCATTTTTGCAGGTAAGCATCGCTGGACGCTCCAGATTTCTAGTAAAATCTTTTTCTCATTTAACGTGAGAAGAAAACGTAAAATCTTGAAATCTTGAGGACGTTTTCTCTGTATGTGATCAAGAAAACTGATTATTACTTAAAAACATCATTGTACATATGAAAATTTGATTGAATGCCGGCAAAAGCAAATATTAGTTTTTTCTGACCTGCCAAAAATCAGCGACCGTATCGGGCAAGGGTCCCTGTGTGGCGATATACGCTGGGTTCTTGGGATCAGCATCGGTCTATAAAACAAACAACCCACTGACGCTACTAAACGCCGACGCACATCCGGTCTATCATTATCACCACCGGCAGCCGTGACGACTTACAATGAGACTGGCATTGATATAGTCGGATTTGGTTACATTGCCCTCCGGATTCAGCTTCACCCGGGTATGATCATCTGCAAACGAACAACAACGTCTAATCACCTTGTTGATCCAGATGCAACAACCCGCACCGGTGCATTATGACAAACAACCGGGTTATTCCGGCGTACGGCGGGGCTAATTAAGCGAGGGGGAGAGAGCACCTACAGGGCAGTACATCCGGATATCGATTTTTTATCAGGTTCTCCTTGCGACTGGCCGCATCCGTTTGGCGCGGATCGGCTTCGTACGTGCAAAGTGAGGCCCACTCTTCATTCAGGCGCTCCTTGTGCTTCAGGTGGTCTTCCATGTACGACTAATTAAAGAAAGAGCGGTATTAAATTTCATGTGATGCGCGCTGCGCTGCACGCAATCCGTATTGAAAAACAGGAACACAATGCCGGTAACATGCATTAAACAGAAAGATTAATGATGGATTAGTGATGCTAAGCTGGCTGCAGTGTTGGTGTAACGGTTTCGAAAAACGTGCATCTAATCAACCGAAAACTTTTTAAAAATATTTTCGCAAAAACTATCAAAGTTAAAAACATAATTTGGAAAGTCTGGTGAATTTTTAAAGTAGGCGTTGTAAGCTTGTTAATCAGGGAACATGCCAGGCATGACGCTTTTCGTAACCTTTAATAGGAGATTTTTACCAGAAATTTTACCCTATTAACTTGAGAAATTATAAAAATAGCTCTAGTGACCTTTATGGTTAATATTTATTTATACCGTTATGATTATAGAATTCAAAGATTTTTCATTTAGCAGGAAAACGACGATAAAGGTCAGCGTGGGACATAACTACCGTTTACACAACGATAATTAAGTACTTACGAGCACCATATGGCCGGTGGTTAAGTCCATATTGTTGGGCGCCGGTTCCTCGCTCCTAGAAAACAAGAGAGCAGTCAGAATACTGGCAGCACACCCGGGATTGACGCGTTCAACATTGGTTATCCGATCTGAACAGTAAATGGCATGTCGACATCTCGTCAACCAACCGGAAAGCCGGCTAATGATGCCCGATGGGCCGATATTGCAGCGTTGCAGACGGTTGATTAAGGCGACAGCATAGTTAATATGTACCGTACAGTGAGTACACGTACCAGGACGATGTGCTGCTGTGGGCGGTACGGTCGCGTTCGGGTGTCGATTTGACGGTGCCGGCTTCCAGGTTCTTGCTGGCCATTCGCTGGCGACATAATTCCTGTCAATTGACACCACAGGCGTTTTTCGACTAATATTGTCAGAGCGAGAGTGAGCGAGTCTTGAAAGAAGCGAAATGCCCTACATCCATCATTGCCACTCATTTCCCGTGACTGCTTCCTATGTAAATGAGCCCACGGGAAGTGGGTTATTATTGCTTGATGCACAGGAAATGTGGGCTGCTTAAAATGGGAGAAAGGCTGATGGATAGCTTAAAACGTGGATGCTTGCAAAAGCAACGATTATCATAACGGAAAAATAAGCTTCCACATGGCAAAAACAGACATGCTATGAAAACGTATAATAACTAGGCGTACAGCGTACAAACTCATAATAAAAGCAGCTGACCTTTGGTACCTGAGCTTGCGCTGCATTCCATTAATCGAGCGTAATAATTTTGGGTTTTGCTATTTTGTAATAGCAAGTCAACTGCGCAGATCGGAAATTACAGATATTTGTTGTTTCTTCCAAACATGCAGTCATATGCGATTAACTGTGATCGAAGCAGTAAATCCACCACGATATGAAACGGATATAACGGCTTAATACGGTTTGCTGCTGTTGCAGCATGATGTTTTTGAAGAGCCGGCTGCCGGATTATTATCGATCCAGCTTGAGCTTCCCGTGTCATGTCAAAAGCTGCTGCTGCATATATCAGTTTTCTCGCCACAGTTGATTGTCCCTCTGATTTTCAGGGAAAATGGCTTTTATGCAATCTGACATCAACAACATTATCCCTTATATGCGCTGTCACGAATTTCTCCGAAGCTGCCTGCATTCTGATCACTACAGGAAGACGCCCGAAAATATGCTGATTTTAAAATTAGAGTTGAATAACCCTTATAAAAATGAATAAAGGAAAAGCAGAATAAACTGAAAATCTAGGCATAACAGAAGGCAAATAAATCAAAGCGTCGCCAGTGGACAATATAATTTTTATTGCATTTTTTCTGCTGCAGCATGCACAACATAAACTTCAACTGAAAGACCAAGCCACACCCAAAAAATAAAAGCACACATATCTCGTCTGTCAAAAGAAAAATAAAACTGAGTATTTGTGTGTCAGAATCTAGAAAAAAATAGTCGCAACCAAAAACGCGCAACATTAAGTAATCAGGCAATGGTCTTAATAACCGGTGCCGTATTGGCTTCCGCCTGGGAGATGGCAATGGCGGCGGCCACCGCGGCGGCTTCGGCTTCCTTCTCCTTGTTCATCCTTACCTCGTACTCTTTACTGGACTCCACGTCGCCCTCCACACTCTGCAGTTTCTTCTTGAGGAGGAGATTGCGGCGGACAAAGTAAATTATGCCCAACGTGATCAATAGGGCGGCCACACAGGCCACGGCGATCAGGCCGATGAGGAGATTCTGGCGCTGTTTGTTGTCGGCTTTAATAACCTGAACCTATAGATGAACACATAATAATAAAAATATTATGTGATCATTCATATAATTAATAATTAAAAATAAGAATGAAGGCAAATTTTTAAGCAGTGGAGTCTGGTTGTAATCTTTGAGAATCGTGAAACAAATACTTGGACAGCATAATACAGCATCTGTAATTACCAGATTACGTTACTAGCTGGTGTCACAGCAAAAGATATTTCGCATAACAGTACGGCATGGGAAACAAATTAACTTTTTTCCTGCACTCATTTTGACTGTGATACCACGGTATAAAAGAGATCGTTTTTACCGTGGTAATACTGTGAGATTATTTACGGCTAAAACGCGTCTGCAGATTTTATGGCTAACTACCTCTGTACATCGATTTTGGCGCTGTGCATTAAAGTGTTGTGGTCGAACGTAGCAGAAGGGCTCATGTGCAATTCATACGTACCAGAAATGATGTGACTAGCGTCAATTTAAAACTGCAGACTGTTAAGAACTATTTTTTTCTTCCCTATTATTTTTCTCCTTCATATTAATTATTTTTCCTACACGTACGTACAGTATAGCCAGCACTGTGTACCTCCCCTCCCAGTTTGGAACAACATCGTAAACAATAGAAAATATCTTAAGCAACATAGCGCGTTGGTTTCAAATTTCAAACAATACTGCAAGGAAATTCGGATCAAGGAAATTGGAAGCGATTACTGGAAACAGCAGTAATCGCTTCCAGTTTTTATACGTACATGTGATCGAAGACACTTGCAAAAAATAATATTCCACTGTCGCAATTGTAAGCACGTATACTGTATATGGCGAAATGATATTAAGAAACCTCAGAGTTTTGCTTAAAATTAATATTAAGGAAGTAAAGCATATGTTTCATCTAGGAGTTACGTTCAAATGCTGGCGAGCAAATGCTTTATCGATCGGAAATGCAAAATTATTCTAAGTAATTCTGACTGCTACCACCTGACGTGACCGCACAATTACACGAACCCTTCAACCATTGCAAAATCAATCTTCCCGCACTGCAGCACCCTTCTACACACCGTCACGTTTCCGCAATTATCCAACTCATTAACGACTTCCCGTCATGCCCGGTATATTTAAAGGTCACGTTTTCGACCAGTTATATCCGACTCGCTAATTCCCCTTTCCACAGTACATAATTATAACTCAAAGGTCACCGCTAAATCCTTACCTTGTCGCCGATACCGGCGCGGATGATTTCCACGGCAAACTGCTGACGCAGCGCCGACTGGATGCTGGCATCGGATAAGTGCTCCACCACGGAGCTGGCATTAATCCGGCTGAAGTAGGGACTGACGCGGAACACCAGCTGATTGCCTTCAATGCTGTATAATATTATACAATAACAGATTAATGGAAATTGCGCTGATGAAAAAATGTTACAAACTGAGAGCACGTACTGCAGATAGGAGAAGACAGTCTGCGGCACTTGCAGTTGCACGGCCAACCAATTGAGAAGACGCCGGGCTAAGTCGTATGTCAGCCTACAGGGGAAGAGAGGCACAGAGTGTCATATAAGAAGGCCAGTGCAGCGTTCTGCGGATTAATTACGCTGAAAGGTCACTCTCGCGGCTACTGGATTACTACCGGGTAAGCGCGGGCCGGGCCGGCAAATTGAATTGCACTATGTGCGTCAAACTTATAGAGACAAGTCGTCCCGCGAAGCCGCACTGCTGACACACGGGGAAATGGGTTCGGTGAAAACGCGGGATGACGTTATAATTAGGTTTAGAGACTATAAAGACTTTTAAGGCAATTGTATGTCAGCGGCTTATTTAGTTAATTTTGACAGAGAACGTTTCGTAGAAGTTTCAAAGTGGGACTAAAATCTTGTGCTTTAATTCGACACAAAATCTTTCGTATCCACGCCAAAATACATTGCAAAATTATATGTGACACTAGTAAATTTTGTATTGTGTTAAAGGTAAATTTTTAAGCGACTTGCCAAAATAATTTTCACTCCGCACGAGTACAGAAAACTACCAAATTTGTTGTTTCAGTCTCAATCGATTATGAAAGATCAAAAAATTATTTTGATTTTAAATATATTTCAATCTATTTTATTTTGTAAAGGTCAAGAAATCTATTCTACTTTTATTCAACATTTTGCTTTTTTTAAAAGCAAAATGTCGAATAAAAATAAAATAAGTAGTAATTATAATTTCAACTTTAATGTGCGAAAAATTTTTATCTCCGCAGTTATTGATCAAATAAGTTGTTTATTTTGAAATCGTGTTGTTGTGCAGTTAATACGACTACGTACGGTGGATCGGTGACGATGAAAGCGAACGTCGGATCCAGGACATCGTATTTCTTAATGGTATCCGCCGTCGGTTGGGCGGTCGACTCGGCGGCCGGCACCTCGTGAGTCTCCACGATGGCGGTCGGCTCGAAGCGCAGTTCGGGCACATCCTCACCGGGCGCCTGGATTAGGGAATAGTGTCCCACACCGGCCCGTTTAATCTGCAGCCCATTAGCGCCGCGGATGGCACTGCGCAGCTCATCATCCCCGAACGTCTGCGCAATGTAGGTAGCGTTGAGGTTCTTCAGGGCGGGATTAATACGGAAGGTCACTAGGTCATCGTTCACACTGGAACAACAGACAATCAATCACTGAGCGTGTGTTGGCGCCCACACGCGGAGAGAACGGGTTAATCAGTGTTAAGTGGCGGGATCACGGGAGTGATTGCTATGAGATGGTGTGCACTATCTAATTGCGTATTCACCGGGTAATCGTGATGTGCCGTGCTCTTGTAGGCGCCTACGGGTTTTTATGGTACTCGATGACCTTAATCGGCATCATGCCATTTGTAGCGCTGTATAGTACGAGCGCATTAAAATCGGAAAAGTAAAATGGAGAAAAAGAGTCAGGAAAATCTAAATTTTTCCAATTTTTATGATTTTTGTACGTCTCACGGTTAGTGAAATCCTAACGGTATCGATGTCTCATACTCTTTTAGGGCCAATATTAATTCAGTAGTAAGGAGGCAATGTATTAAATACCTACAATTTAACGCTGTAATATGGTGATCTGCAAGGCCTACACTACAGTGTTCGTAGTCTCTGTGCCTAAGGTCAGGATAAATTAAAATGGTGTGGTAGATTTACCTGAGGTCGTAGAATGTCTGGACTGGAAGACTCATAACGGCGCGTAACCAGTTGAGAAGATACCGGGCCTCATCGTAGCTCAGTCTGTAATAATTCAAGTTCGATAAACCATGCAAATGTCACCGACTCACCATTAAAAGATGACGCGGAATTCGATACATGTTTCTACTAAAAATGCATTTAGGTAATTCAGCTACAACACGAGACTACCGTAAATGTCTGTAATGCAAAATTTTATTTATATATTGCTAACACACAGTTATCACGTGATTTTTCGTTTAACCCAATGACATACTGAGGTTCGGTGGTCAAGAAGACGTATTCCTCTTCATCATCCGCCTCCGGCTTGACCTGCGTATCCGTCGACGCGGTGACGGCATCATCGGGCAGTGACCCTTTGACGACCTTTACGGTGACATCCTCCACCACTTCACTCTGCTGGTTCTCGTTGCTGGGGAGGAGGGTCTTATACTCCTGATCTTTCTTACTCTGCGCCGCTGGTCCCTCCGCGCCACTACCGACATCGCCGACACTCTCGGCAAACAACTGCTTAATGGCTTCCTCACTGCTATTGCTATCGACCATCACCGGCTCGATCACGGCGAACCCGGCCGGCAGCGCCATCTGCAGCTGTTGCTGCTGGTCGAACGCCATTGGCGGGAAGCCGGCGCCGGCCATGTTGGGAGGGAAGCCACCCATGTTGGGAGGCGGGGCCGGGAAGCCGCCGAACATGTCCATGGGGGGCATCTGCGGCAGCTGCGGTGGCATCATCATGGGGTCGAACATGCGCTGGTCCATCATCGGCGGACCGAACCGCTGGTCCATCATCGGCGGCCCGAACATGGGCGGGGCCCGTTGGTACAGGAGCTCCATCGGGGGCATGGACATGTAGTCGCCGCGTTTGGTGGGCACCGGCGCGAACGGGAACTGGTTGGGTAACATCTGGGGCATGGCGAGACGCGGGTCCATCTGGGGTTGGAACATGGACATGTCCATCAGCATGCGCGGATCCATCTGCGGCTGCTGCATGGGCATCATCGGGGGGAACTGCGACTGCTGCTGTTGGGCGGCCACCATCTGCTGGGCTAGTAGCATCTCGTCCAGGCTGTTGAACATGCCGGGAGGAGGGAGTGCGTTGAAGTCCGGCACGAATTGGAGGTTGGGTGGGAGGTTGGGCATACCACCAAAGTTATTCGGCACACCTCCGAAGTTATTCGGCATACCGCCGAAACTGTTCGGAACACCGTCAAATCCGGTTGGGATTCCTCCGAAGCCGTTCTGCTGGAGCATTCCCAGATCGAAGGGGATGCGCAGCGGCATCTGTTGCTGGTCGGAGGCGATGATCTCGAAGGGTGAGCTCTCCGGGACGAACTCCATGGGCGGGTTCATGGGCACAGCGGTCAGCTCCGATGTCTGGGGAACCACCCCGAGCTCTGAGGATGCCGGCACCGCCACCTGGGCGTCGGAAGTGGTCGGGGCGGCCTGGGCGCTCGTCAACATAGCGAAGAGGTTGTCAAATGCCTGGGCGTCCGTCTGGATAGACTGATCCATGGCAGTCTGGTTGACCGTTGGCGTCGAGTCGGCGGTGGCGGGCGTGGTCGGGGTCACTTCCGGAGCGGGGGTGGTGACGTCCTCCGCGGATCCGGATTTCTTCTCTACGGTCAAGGGCGCGGCCGCCTGCTGTTCGGCCATGGCTTGTTGGTACTGGCGGAGGTATTGCTCAAGGGCGGCGTACGAAGCGGCGTCGTCGGCGCTGACGGAGGCGGCCGCCGCCGGGGGGCTGTCCGTCACCAGGGAGGAGGGGGCGGCCTCCATTAAAGGTAGGTCAAAGTCGGCTTTGCCGTCCATTTTCGACATGAATTCGCCGTGGGTCAACGGCTCCACGGGTACTTGTACATCTGCAAAACATAAATGTGGGAAATTACGTACCTAATTTTTAAAATCAACCTGATTACATGCTCCGCAGAAATACTCAATGGATTTCCGAAAGCATACCTCGTTTCGTTTGAAGATTGGGTTGTACAAATTGACCTCAACAAAAATAGTTCAATAATAATAAAAACCACTGATAACATAATAATCAAAATACTACATACACGTTCCATTTCAATAAAAAATTACCTTCACTTCGCCTTTAAAATACCAAATTTTGTTTCGCGAATAGCAGACTAATGTAATGATATTATATCCGAACGGTTTTAGTTGCCGTTGCGCTACGCTCAATCCGTGTTCCAATTGCAGATTTAACAGCATCAAAATTTTTGAACCTTTTCAGTAAAGGTTAATATTATCTTAACTGAAATAATGTCATTAATATTTCTAAATCTTTCCTGTTACGGAAATATATATGTACATAATTGTTCATGTATATTGTATATAGGTAATTCTATAATCATTTGTTCGTTAATATGAAAAAATATAATTATGTAATTCTTCATTAATGTCACTGTTTATGCGTGTACGGCACTTTATATGTATTAAAAAGATGTTCGCTATTCATGAAACTGATCTTTGCTGGATAAAATGAATTCGGCACAGTTTCTCAGCCGCATCTACGGACATATAGCCAATGCATACGTCACACCTCTTTAGAACTGCTACCCTAGTCTTCAGGTCCAAGAAAAAAAGGCCTAAGCAAACAAAATGCCGATGAACGGGATCAGCTTGGGTATTTCTCAGCATTGACACAATGCGCAGAGAGAGAAAAACTGCCGACTTGATCCGTGAAAACGTCTTTCTTTCGGTACGGACTAGCCATCAAAAGATTGACGCTTCACCGGCACTGAATGCATAACCGGCAAATTGTCCTGTTTGCATAATGCAGTTTTAGATCAAGGAATATAATTCGTCTTGCTGACGCAGTGCGTTGTCGAAAGGGGAAAAACACAATATTAACCGATAAATAAGCGGGTTGTGTTGCAGTGAACCAAAAAACACGGATATATAATTATGTGTTACCACTGTTCAGTATAATAACCAACTTATCACGACACGCTTCAGTGCGTGTTCGGATTAATTCTTACGAATATATCGTAGTGCAATGCATCAGTACCAATTGCGCAGGTGTAGTTTATACAAAGATATCGCATAAACATAAATAATTACTAATGCTAAAAGATCCTTTACATTTTTTCATATCAGTAAAATTATTCTCTTTAACTTCTTAATTTTCATTGACGTTACAGATTGCTGACCTTTCACATTTTTCTTAATATTTCAGTACTTATATTGTTTTCAGTTTTATTCGCTTTTATGGATTTGACTGATATTTTTAACGAAATATAAAATGCCTTTAAAATTAGGTGCAGTAATTCGAGCTATTTCCTTATGTCGCATTACTGCGTGACCTTTCGAATTATTTTACGCTCGAAGGATTTTATAATTAGAAGTAGAAAAGGCTGGAATTTTCTATCATTCTTCATGCTGTCTACGGACTGATTGTAAGGAACTTGTCAGCGACAACTTGTAGCGTTCGACACAGAAACCCGATCGATAGCGATCTGGCATCTTGACGGCTCTATCGCATCGCGTACATATATATCCGCGTTCCTCAATGAAACGCACTAGCGGAAGGGATAAATGATAAAGTGCTGCATTTATTCCACGTACCAGTTGCTATTTGCGGCACGGCTGCCGGTGGATTAATGGGCGCAGCCTGCACCGGGCTAGTGCGGGACTGATCGATGACACTGAGGATCTGCTTGAGATACTCGCAGACCTGCGGATCGTAGCGCTGGCCACTAACCACCGCCTGCAGGTAGTTGCCCACGACACACTGCGTATAGGAATCCGGCCATTTGTAGCCGGTCTCAATTAAGTACTGGAGGATGCGGGCGGCCTCCTGCAGCGCTTCCGGTGGCAGATCGGCGTAGCTGACCGCGTCGCTTAACTGCGACACACAGGTGCCGAATAACGAATCTGAGAAAAAAATTGGAAATTATTTGTTAACAGTTAATATATAGTGCCTAAATTTAGTGCTTTTCGATATTCTGTACTTATCAGTTAATAAGCCATTGCTCTACGATCATCGGCAATTTCACAAATATCGTTAAGCAGAGGTTACGACAAAAGCTTCAGTTAAAGTGTAAGTAAAGTGATAAATGATATCGAACACATTTCCATTGGGCTTTTAATTAACAAACTTATTTTTTTCATAACTTTTTCAAAAATTTTCATATGTGTTACAGCGGTTAATACTCCGTTTTAGTGTTTTGCTCACCGTTGTAGCATAATTCGTTGGATTCGCACAGCTGTAGATCGTAGAAGCAGCCTGTATAGAAAAAAAACACCATCATCATTACACTGGTTGCAGAAATCTGACAAAATTGGGTAAAACTAGATTCGATCCACAACAGACAACATGCACATTGGCTAATAGGTGCTAACAGTGGGCAAATGCATCATTACGTATTCTAACGATAATGTACGTTTGTGCCGGCTGGAAAATCAAAAACGACGAGCAATCGATCCGGAGCCGGGACGCCGGCTTCGTATTATCCATGATGTGCTCGACAGTTAATGGGTCAACTGCTTTGTGGCGCGGCCTCATACGGAGAATGGGAAGCGTTTGTTGTTAATGAGAAGAGTCGGGAGAAAAAATTGTCGGCACTCCCGAGTGAGCGCTTGCGCTTGCCGCTTCCCTGCTGCGTCCAAAAATACGAGAACTTTCCGGTTGACCGTAAAATGAGCGCACCATACCGAAGCGGTAGCGTTTTTATTGTGTTTATATCAGAAATGGCTTTTTTCCATTTTTCGACACGATACCCAGGATTATCTGCCTAACTGTAACACAGATTATGTGCAAAAACTTCTCGCTTTACAATTTTATTGCCATCTAGGTATTAGACTATTAGTTTTAGTTATAATTCCCAAGTTCTGTTGATAAACAGAAATATGTTTTCTTTGCTTTTTTCAGCATTAGCTGTTTACTCTGCAACTCTCAAAATTCTTTCTGAAATAATATTATGCCTGTTTTATGGATGACGGGAAATATTTCATGAAAACAAAAAGAAGAAAGAAATTTTAGTTGACTGCGTAGAAGGTTTTAACAGAAAAATATAAATAACAAATCGAGAATTTCGTGAAATTTGAATGCTGCCATTTAAATGCTGGCAAAAATTACCCCATACATATTGTGTATTTTATAAATGGCTCCTTTTGGACCGTTGTCGCTAAGCGCCTTTGCTCTACGATTTTCAACGGCTATAACGTGCACGAGACCGATAAAATGGGATATTAATTAACGATGACGTTAGCGGATAATCTCATTTCAAATAATCAAAACCAATTTCCACAATGATTAATTTATAAGATAAACCACAAAGAAAATCGGAAAAATAATTCCATACGTATGCAGTGCATGTATATATATGATATCCCATATCCGGAAAATTTATTTCGAAGGAAAATATAAAGTGGGAAAAGTTAAAAGTGCCAGCGCGCAGGAATTGTTACTGTTTGTCAGTCATGGCGGGGATTGACGTATTGGATGCACTTGAAAGACGTCAAGGACAATTAATCGATATTTTCTTCCTTTTCGGCTGTTGCGCCCAGTGCGCACATTTATATATATGCGCAACATATAAGTAGATCCGCGCTTGTGTACCGGTGCAGCCGGTTGCCGGGTCCGCACCCCGCATTGGAAGCCCACAAATGTTTATTACGCTGGATGTTTTCCCACTGGCATTTGTCCCGGGCAAACACACAGAGATCACAGGGACACCCAGTGCTATTTGAATTTATATTTTCTCCGTTTTATGTACATGCCGATCGCGCCCAAGACAGGACCATTTACGTCATTTTCCACTATCGCCGCCGAACGCGATCAGCGTTGGCGTGGCACATAAAAGTCTCACGATAAAAGCGCCGAAACTGACGTAAATAAATAATGCGGGGGAATAATAGTGAAGAATGTTCAAGTTCGTGACAGAAAACTGTAAAGACTGAGAAGTAAAGTATGGTTATTTATTTTTTAAGCCTCTTAGCTGCTTGACCGTATTATGTAATAACAGATCTTTAACCATTTCGGCGTAATCATTTATTAATTCTCGGCGGTCATTATTTTACAAGTAAAAAAAAATTGTGAAAAAGATATTAATATTTTTCAATCTGCCAAGATATTTTAAATTTTTTAATTTTCATGTTCAGTGCGTTTGCCTTTTTTGTTATCAATAACTGATCATGAAAAGTAAAAAGTTTATTCTGTCAACTTGTATATTAGACTAATTAATTCAGTAAATATTTACCAAAAAAACTTCCATAAGATTTGAATACGGCCTAAAAGTGTTAGATAACCGGCACTTTTTTTTCCTAGTCTCGGGAAACAACAACAATCCATCAAGTATGCAGTGGAGTTTATTTACCCAGGCTCACAGCTCAGTCCATAATAAACTGCGGGTGACTACGTGGGTTATTTGGCACTGTTGTTGTTGGATGTTCGCCCCCTCTCGCAGTATCCCGCGAAGCGCAGCGCCGTACACTTCCGGGCCCATCCATCAAATATTTATTGTGCGCCCAAACGGACGTCATCTGTCTTGTGTACTGCAACGCTTCGCCCCCCGACTACGCCGTGTGGCCCAAACAAACCAGCCGATCCCTGCGCCGGAAGCTGCCAGCATAAGGCAACCTATTTCCCAGATTAACGCCGAACACGTACACCAAATAATGGTGTTGTCCTTGCGCATGCTTCGCTAAGCATCGTATTTCTTTCCCGTTTAATGAGGGAGCGGGAAAAAAACCAAGAAACCGGAAAGATGCTGGTGAACGCCTTTTCTAGTACAAACAAATATAAAGAATGGGATTGTACATATAACGCTGCTTAATTACTGAGGCTCATAAAAATATATACAGCTTTTAAATAAATTTAATAATTAAATTTTCGCTGGACATTAAGTTATAAACATATATATGCGCATATAATTAACATATATTATGTAAACATAACATACATTATGTCTAATATACATATGCAAACATATTTTAAATACATATAATTATAAGCTAAAACAATTTTTTATGATTACAGAAATCATTTATATCTTTAGCAAAAAAATCTAAATTCTTTAAAGCGGTAGATAAGCACCATATTTTTAACCGGAAATGTGAGAAATTGATTACAAGAACACAGGTTTTCATTGAAGCATTAAAAGAAGTGCATTCACATTATTGCTACTTACGTAAACGTCGTTCAGCTGGTTATTATTGTTTATGAGTTTTTGTTTTGCCGCGGAAAAACATTCTCATCGATTATGATAAGAACGTTAGTCTAGTTTGATTGTTGAGGTTAATAAACAGCCGGAAATGAAAGTGAAGTTCGCTCTCATGTGGTGTGTATAGCGTACAGAGAGCGGCGGAATGTTATGCTTTCCATGGTTTGATGGCTGAAATTTTTTACCGGTCAACGGGCAGTCGGATCATTTTCATTTCGGTATGGTTATGTAGGCCGATTAATGGTCTCTTATGACACCGCGACAGTTATACGTTAGTAGCGTTTCATTTTCGTCCCCCTCCAACAACAACCACTTCCTGCGGGCGGCCACTTTACGCAATCGCTGACATTTAGACTTTAGAGTAATACGCACATACACGGCGACATATGGACAGCCATATGGAACCGCTACATTTCTGCCACAAATGTTAATTGTTCAAACATTAAAATATGCAGTATAATATAATAAAAATAATTTTCGAAATTTACCACAAATTATTTGCAGTGTACACTGCAGAGTGCAGAATACATGACGCTATGTAGGAAGCCTAACAATCCGAAGAAGATGTAGCCACTGCACTACAACGCTCTGTAATTCGAAGGAAATCAGCCGGCACTGGTTTTGCGTTCATCACCAAGTAATTAGAGGACAACGTCGAAAGAACAGCAAGAAATACGGACGTCGTTGACGGGAGAAAAGTGCGACTGAAGCCGCCACACGCCAATTAATCCGAAGGGGAATCAGCCCGCGTCAGCGAGAGTCCTTGTATAGCAGCACGACATGCCAAGCTCACCATATGGTGACACAATTACACCGCACTAACTAACTACGCAAAATTCACCTTTCCCGTTTTTTTATGTACAAAACTTTTAACGTCACAAGTCACAAGGTGTTGTACATAGATATATAAAGAATACCTATATCAGAGATATTTTTTTAATACTTATTTTTTTTTTAAAAACGGAAATTTTATCGCTACAGAAAGAGAATATTAGCAAAATTCTGGAAATAGTAATTTCAGAAAAATTCTAAATTTGAAAAAATAAAGTGGCGACGTACCGACTCGTCCGGGTGTGGCGGTGACCTTTGGGCTGACCAGTAGCGTCACGCCGAGGAGGGCCGTAATCCACTGCTGACGTTGATGGCGCACCATGGTGGTCGGGCGCGGTGCTGGACTGAACACGGACAATCAACACACACACAAAGCGTAGTACAGTGGCTCTGGTTTCAGTTCATCATTCACAGGAGAGACCCAGGCTCAACAGGCCGAGCCAGAGATTACATGACAAACATAACACAGTATATCCCAACCACACAACGGGGCTTAAGAGTGTACAGACGCTGATGGGATAAAACAGGAATTCAGCTGCCGTCGTCGCAGCGATGGAATGGATGAGGAATGGGATCCGGGATCTGCAACGGCAATATGCGGTGCAACAGACAGATGGTTCCCTAGCGAGATACGGAAAAAGAGAGACAGACAGAGAGTAAAGAGAGGTAGAGAGAGAAAGCTGGGTGCAGCTGCCTGTTGAGAAAAAGGAGAAAACAAGAAGTGGGCGGAGTGCGTGTGCACCGATTGGCTGTCGGTTACTGGGCGGGAGAAAATGTTTAAAATAACAGACTGTACGATAATCAGTGACGGCATAGTGTTACGTGCATACGGTAGATGCTGTCGGGAATTTAGGTAAACCCGACGATCATTAGCGGAACGCAGCCGTGTTCGTTGGAGCGACTAATCACGGGATGAAAATTATGTGGTTTTTCTTGCTGTAGTTCGGCTGCCAGCTGACTAATTACAGATATTATTAGGCTCATAGGCTGACACGTGTTAAATTTTGTTTTTAACACTTTTAAAAAAATATGAATAAGGAACACCTACAAATAATATTTATATAAACGTAAACTTTTTTTTATTTTTCGTTCAAACAATTGCAGATTTCATTTCAACGGTCCGGCAAATTTTTTTGGTATTTTGTTGATTTTTCTGTCTGTGTATATACTTTTTCGGCGAATTTAATCATGAGTCGTAATGATTTTTTAGCCCTCGTCTGGCGATAACACGTACAAGCCGTCTTACGCATTGTAAATTAGAGGTTGGATTAATTTCGGTCACGCTATAATGCGCAGTTACCGGCATCGGTTCGTGTGGGACTACGCGGGGGTTTGGGTGCGTTCATCCCGTTCTAATCAATGCCAACGAACACACCCTGCTCTGGGCAGTATCAATATACGGCTTGTTTAGACGAGCAATTGAAGTTAATTACTCTAGCGTATTTTATTTTCGAAATTAATCGTATATATACACGGTGCAGGCAAACAGCTGCGGAAAATATTAAAAAAATTGACGCACACGTTTTCAAGAGACAGACAGAAAAAAAATCATACATTCCAAAAAATTATCAGATTTTCATTCCTCGAGAGTAATTCTAGCTCTAACCAATAATAAATATGTTAATAAAAAATTTATTAATACTTTTTCAGACTTAAAGCGAAAAAGTTCAGTAAATTACTAATAATTTTTCCAACTAACAAAAAAGTTTTTCGTAATTTTCGCACTGGTATATAGACGAAACCCGTACAACTGCAATTACACAATCTGTTACACCGCATAAAAAACCCCATCAAACAGAAATTTCCAGCCCACGATGCGAGATTAGAGATCAAAAGCAGATTAAGCACGCAACAGAGGATAACACAGTTATCTTGTTGCTCTGATTGACGTCAGCCGGATAATTGTATCCTGCAGATGGGATGGGGGAACGCGGTGACCCGCATATATTAATACATATTCATACATCTGTCGCGGGACCGCTACTGTAAGTATTACGCAAGTAAATGGATGCCGGTAACTACAGATTTTTGTGGAATTAATATCCGCTCAGGTGCGCCGGGAGAGCGAGGCAACAGGCAGTTATATGGGCCCAACATATTGTCATATCAGATAGCCGGGATTAGCGGTTCGGCAAGACGCAACAGATACGGTATTAATTAATATTTTACCGGATGTTTATGACGTAAACACTGTCTCACGTTCAGTCGTTTACGGCAATGTCTCTAATGAGATTAGTAAAAAAAGATTTCCAAGGAAGTAAAGAGTGATAATATTATCTTAAGGCAGTTATATGGCTATTTTTTAAATTAGGCAAAACAATTGCTTTTATTTATTCTTACCTATAAAAACAATTTGAATTTATAATTAAGAACTTCGGTTTACAAAAACAAGTTATTTGAAGAACATAATAATAAAAATAATATTTAAATAAGCAAAACAAAATAGGAAATTAATCTTCTATATCGTCTAAATTCGGTTTATATAATGTAAACAGATATAATAATGATACTGAAAGTAACTTTAATAGCAAAATATAAAATTATTCTTTTAAAATAATATTTTTTATTTTTTTAAACCTGTTTTCCGCCACAGTACAGCATGTAAAAGCGAAGAAAGCAAATATTTCTAAATCTTACATGCAACTGGAACTTACCGCGTGCGGCGAGCGAAGTAAAAAATCAGTTAAGTAAAAACCGGGTGTCGTCAATAAAAGCGCAGTCCGCAAGTGTGAATGAGAAAAATTTGCTTATTTTCTTTTTCCAGCCAAGAATATTGCTCAATCACCTTGGAAAATAAAAGGTATGATCAGAATGGCCGAATATGCCGCGTAACACCCCGTCATAATTACAGGCCCATCGGACGAGCGTGGAACATAATGTGTTCTGGGTCGGTATTATGCTGTATACAGTCAGCTGCTGCTACCGGTGCCGCATGCTTGCGTAATGCATAAAAATTATTAATTCTCAATTATTGCGAAATTGAGGCCAACGTACCTGTGATGCGGTTCGGCAAGCTGCGAAAATATATCGAAGCGTCGAAACTTTTGTTACACTGTAGAGAAGAGAAAAATTCCACCGCAGAATTGTTTCTCGTGCGCTTTCACTCCGCAAGAGAAATTATGCTCAATGCGCTGAAGCATGAAAATATGCCCAAGAAAATGTGTGTTATTATTTGCATTTTTGCCGGTTAGGTGTCGGTAATATAAAAGTATCGAGAATGCCGGTGTGTGTCGGCCACGGTAGCGATGTTTATGCCGCGGCAACTCGATTGTGCCGGTAGTGTGCCTGTCCGACCGGAAATCAGCGCGCATCTGCTGACCAGACAGAATAATGGATATTATTTTACCACTCTTCAAGATTTTTTTATTTGCTTTGTCATGCTAATCTCCCTCGTTTTCAGGTTCCTGTGCTTTGATGTTTTACCGTGTTTATTTATACGTTTTTCCGACTAAACAATCTGCCAAATAAGCAAGCAGTTCTGCATGTACTCGTACAAAATGCGTCAGGAATTCGTAATAATTGTTATGGTACAGTCTGAATTTAAGTTTCGACGGAAATTAACGTTTCATTTCCACAGATTGCCGCAAATTTACATGCAGTGGTTCGTAGATTTCTAAATTTTTAGTATAACCGAAATAGCTTTGGTCAATGTTTCCTGGAAAAAAATTCTAATTTTTCGGGTGCATTTGAATTTTTTGGTAGGTTTCTTATACCTTGTCTTGTCTTACTGTATTAATATCATTGTAAGGAATGTTTTTGATTGCGCTTCTCCGAATTAATCGTAGTTGCTTCTGTGGTTCATAGTATAATTAAGTAATTAATAAACAATAAATAACATTAAATAATTATTAAATTATTTTGAATTATTTAAATAATTATTAAACAATAAATACCAATAATTTACTTACTAAAGTAATTTTTAGATTATTCTTATAAAATTATTTTTCGCGAATAAAACCTATTGGATATTTTGTCATACGACGTTTATTACAAGCTGCCGAGATTTTATGACAAAAAGGCGGGCCTTTTGTTATATTCCGGCATATGTTCCAGTCTTTTGTCTGCAACTAGGTTCCGGCAAGTAACCGATACGCCGGTACATCCGGTGCACGTGTGCCTCGTACTCGTACGTACGAGTGTCGAACTGACCAGGCACGACACATTACAGGCGACAACTTGCCGACATTTTGCCGGTTGCATGCAACACGTTTGTTTATTTAGTCCCATAACAAGCCGGGCCCTCACTTAATATGATTTCCTATTCCGAGAACGGCATTTTTCTCTACTGTGCAATAAATAAATCGCTGAACGCAGGCCGAATTTGTGCAGTGTCAAGTATGTATTTTCCTAACCATAAATCGCCACGTTTGTTGTCCTAAAACCATTTCCCTATACCGCGACCGATCACGCTTGCTAATACCGGCCAATCAGCAATATTCAGCACGGATTGTTATTGTTTATCGCCGCGCTTTTTTTTCCTCTCGTCGTCGCGGCGGTGTTGGTTAATAAAGCAGTATTGTACGGAACAGTGATCCCCAGTCGGACCGGTTTCCTTATAAAATTTGATTGCTGTTTGAGTTTCTAACGTGCAGTTCCGAAAAAATGAATAATAATGTGACCTCCAAAATTCTTAAAATAAATAATGGAAGTTTGCGCTGGTGCGCTAACTTTGTTTAACGCGGTAAGAGAAACGCCGGCCTGCATGAATTCTCGTTAATGCAGGACATTGATGGACAATTGCTGGACTTCGCATGGACGTGATGACTGCCTCCTCTCTATCTCCGTGGAATGCGGAATCGTCCTGTTTACTAGCGGATTGCCTGCCTGCCCTTTGTCACCGCAGCTACTCCCGCGCTTACCTGTCCCTCCTCTTATTGCCACTCCGTCCCTTTCATCGGCAGCGGGAGTTAACCTAGTTACTCGATAGCATTGCGTGAAATTTGGTTGTGCGTTAAGTGATGGCTGTCATTTCATTTGGTTTTGCACGCGTATCGGATCGCATATAATTTTTGCAACCGTTACTGTTGAATGTGACCTTTCAACTGCTGGAAGTTACCCGCCTTCCCACCCCTCTTTAGCATCATGTTGTACTGTTTAAACTATCGAATGGGTACTTTGTAAAATATTGAATAAAGGCCAGTTCTCACTCGCGCAGCTCTCTCGCCATGGTACGCACAGAACCGCACCGGAAGGTGCACTCATACGTCCTGACCACGAATCAGGATCCATCACCCTGGCCATGTATCAGGGCATCACCTGGCCACGAATCAGGTGCCGCAAAACCTCCCTGGCCACCTACCAGGAAGCAGCTATTCACCTGGCCACGCATCAGGTGTCCCACTCTACGCATACGCTCCTTCCGGTGGTCGAGCATGTTCTGACGTTTCCACGAGACTCCGCGGCCGAGCTGAGGCTGGCCACATGCCCCAACACTATCGCCGGCGTTTCTCTTATTAGGTCGTTAATATAAATTTAATTTTGATAAATATACTTATAATTTTAAACGTAAGTAAATACGCATCAAGCCGGCGTTTTATTCAGCGGAATCCTTATGACCCGCTGGTTATGGTCCAGCAACCTTCACAGTCAAAAATCACTCGAAAATATCAAAATTTAATTAATTAACTCTTCAGTATCACAAACCGTTAGACTGAAAGCGCAAATAAAAGTAGCGGAGGCCGAAGGCACAGGAGTCAAACTAAGTAGCCTAACATTCGTTGGTCCCAAAAAAACTGATACAGGAATTATAAAAAATGAACACGGAAAAATGTAAATATAGATTCTGATCACAGCAAGCTGGCCAGTGTGATTTTTCTCCGAGGAGGATTTTTCCTGGGGCTAACTTGCTCCAGCGACTGACTAAAAATATAAATTAAAACAATTTATCTGCAATGCCAGGGACATTCGAAACTGAAATTTGCGTTAAAATTTTTGTTAACGATATTACGTGAGTACTTTTTTTGTAATACTGCGGAGCAGCAAGATTTTTCACTGGGCATACAGTTGTTTAAAAGCAAAATACTACTCGTATAGCAATTGCTGGATTTTCAGTAACAATAATAACCGGAGCTTAAATATATGTATGTATACTCATATAGCGGTAACAATATCCATGTATCTGTATTCGTATTTATTGTTAATTTAATAAATTTATGCATCACATATACGTTTGTGTATGGTTACATATGCGCATCTGCTAAGCGTATATATACGTTCGGAATTCATAAATAATTGCATATATATGCGTGCTGTGTGCATATCAGCATGTACACATTCGCGCATAATATATGATTATTCATGCATTAATATAAGCATTACTGTACTATATTCTATTATCAGTATTGTTCATTCTATTATCAGTAGTATTCTATTATCATGCAGTATTATCAGTATTCTATTTATCAGTATTTTTTTTATTTGTTTTTCTATAAGCGGAATGGGTATAATAAATTAATTGTTCGTACGCTATATACTTGAAGTATTGAAGTAGAGTATAATATCGTTATTCTACTAAAGATTTTTTATTTTATAAGTTCTCATTATATAAAATTAATATATTGCACTTATATTTGGCACCCTTTCCTTACTTAATATCCAGGCCACTGCCATACGATGCCGACTGGTCGTCGGCCATCGGCGCTTTGCTGATGGTAATTACCGGGGTCTGCGCACCGGGCGCCACCACTGGCTCACTGTGCATACTGTGTACACTGATGCGCGTATGCGTCGGATGTCCATCCAGACCACTGTGCTGCGGATAGCGCAGCTGGGAGTTCAGCGTGTCGGTGCGGTGGCGGCTCAGCAGTGACGACGTCTCCCATCGCTCCGAGATGGTGTCCACGTCCACCGGCGTCCGCAATGTCCCGGTTTCCGGGTTGTTGTCGAAATCGACGTCGCCGTTCGGCCTAGTGCATGAACATCTGTCAGATACAGTAAACGTCTGGCGCCAGTCAGATGCAGCACCAAAATTCGAAAAATTGCGCTATGACGTGGATGGTACCCAAACGAAAAAATAAAAAAACGTCAATACAATCTCGATTCTCATAAGTTTTTTAGTTCAAAAATTATCCCTGTGCACGAGTAGTATTTAGTGGTTTACTTATATATAAAGTTTAAAACTAAGTAATTTTTCTTTTTAACAAGCGCTTTCTTTGACCCCATGGCAGTCGGGGGTACGGAAAAGCGCTCGAGTACGAGCCTACAATGTAATCGCGATTATGACGTAGAGTAGCTTCTCCTTTATCGTATTGCGACTGTAAAATAAGTCGCAATGCAAAGCAGATATTTCTTGACGGTTATTTTTTACTTTGGGCATATGAATGATGCATTTATAATTTTAGACTGGAACGGCGCCCATGTCAAGACGGAGCCAACGCAGTTATCATTATGGTGTACTCAAATGTTACTTACAATCGTTAGTTTCACTTTTAGTACTCGTCGGTAGAATTATATATACTACGTACATTAAACTTTTAACTGCAATCGTACTGTAAGTTTGTCGGGTGTCGGGATAAATGCTCAAATTTCGGGGTGCAGGAGGAGCGGCGTCTGGTCAGTCCCGGCATATTACGGCCATTCAACAGTCCACCTATTCGGCCCGGTTTTGGCAGCGTCAATGTATTCGGAATTTGCAGCAGCTGAGCCGCTCCATTAGGAATGCTGTGGAAGAAAATTCGTTTTTATTAGATACACTTTTATTGCGTAATATAAACACCATGGTTTCATTTGACCTTCAAGATTTTTGCCGATTTTCTAAATTTAACACCAGATTGAGAATAAATTAAAAATAGCAATTAATTAAGTATTGGTACAGCATATTTATATTCAAAGAATTCGAACAACAACAAAGAATTTAATAGTATACACCACACTTTATTGGCTATAGAAGTATCGACTCTGCATAAAAGCACAAAGAAGTCAAAACTGTGAAAGAAGAAACTGCTTCTCAGTTTTAAATTCCTCTGGTTTTTTAACTCACTGCAAATTCATTGTGGAACCAATATTGTTGACACTTAATCGTCGCGTGAGATCCCGCTTATTGGTATACGGCACCTTGACCTCCGTCGTATTCCAATAACGATCTTTGCCAATAGTCGGCATTTGAGCAAATCTAAGGAAATTAAATCCGACAAATGGGTGTTATCTGATAATTAATTAAGTTTAGTTGAACTGGTTATATTGAAGATTGTCTCACTTTTCATCCACGGTCAGAAACGCGACTTGCACGTGCCGATCGATAAACCAGTTTACCTGAAGAAAAACCGGTTGCCGGTCAAAATAAAACTAAATCAGTTACAATAAATAACTTCTGAATTTTTTAAATTTTATTTCTAAACTTTTTTATTTCATTTTAACTCCGTTAAATTTAAAATAAGACGTAACGATATAATCTATTTGCACATGTTCTACTGCTAATATACTGTTTCTCCAACAATATTATTTGTTCACTTTGTTGTGCGTTTGTTTAAATACGGTCTTTCGTTTCACATATATGCCGCGTGAAGGTGTGCAAAACATAATTATGTAATAATAAAATCAATAATAATATATGTCGGATCGTTAAAATGAGGAAAAATCATACTAGACAGTTAACATTTGCATTGTGATATTAATCTTATGCTGCACTAACCTCAAAATCGTCATCATCCTCACCCCAGGGATTAATCAGTGATTCGGCCACCTTTAGCCAACCAACGTAGAAAAAAAACTACAAGTGCAGAATTTTGAAGCCCACTGCCAATAATCCACATGTTTCGCCGTAATAAAAGTAAGCGATCGGTCTCCAGAGCCGATTAATTACGACGATTAATAATCTTCAGTCAATTTGCATTCAGAGAATTTGACAATAGAATAACAAAAAATTTGATTTAAACAGTTCACGCATACTTTTATTCGGCAAAAGCCCATGCAACGAAGTTACTGTCCTACAGAACGCCATTTCTACGACTTTACCATAGTGGTGCGTCATTCCAGAAATTATGTAGCAGAAATATTTTCAAAAAGCGTAAAAGCGCCGCTTACTTGTAAGAATGTAAAAACGGGAAAATAAAAATCCACATAGAAATGCTCGTAGCCTTGCGATGGATCCAGGAATTGTCGGGAGAACAGACAGCAGAAAAAGTATCCATACGTGGCTAACGTTACTACCTACCAAAAAGCCGGTCGTCAAAACTCCAAATCGAAGAATAGGTCACATTTGCGAACATCATAAGCTCCATTACCTGGGTGTACACCAAAGGCACGCTGACCCAGTCAAAGCTGCAAAAAAATACATAAAAAGCTGTTTCCTAAGTTCCGACTTTACATGTGAAAATAAGAATCAACAGTTATCTTAAACGTTTTAATAATGATTTTTTTCTCTGCAGTGGGTAATGCCGTCGCGGTGTCGCATGCAGTCTGTGTACAATTAAGGGGTATGACGAATAATTCAACGTAAAATTTTATTTGGTATTTGATCAGTAAGCAAGAAAACCTGAAGAAAATCTGAACCACACCTCCAAATTCTCCATTGGTTAGTACGGAAATTGGCGATTTCCTCCATGACGTGTTTGGTAGACACACCGGATTTATCGTCCATCAGGCCTTCTTTTTTGGCCACTTTCAGCAGCTCCGTAAACCACAACATCGGCACCCAGAATTTAGCATAAGGAATCTGCGAATCACATCCAAAAACGATTTATGCACTGTATAAAATCATCTGCAAGAATGCGGAGCTTACAGTTCACTGAGATTTATATCTGTTGTTGTTTCAAAGCATCAAGCGCTAAGTGACCTTTAACAAAAGCTATTGTGCTCGTATGTACAGTCATAGTGAAACTTGTTTGGATTCTTATGTTGCTCCACACAAACAACATATATGCGACCTGTATGGTGTCAGCTTTAGCGTCGGCACGCAAAACACGTTGTGTTAATTTTTTAAAATTTGATTTGTTTATTTTCGAATAGATCTTTGCTATTTAATTTGTCTACAGTACCTTGCAAATCAGGTACCCTTTAACTTATTCAGAAATTGGATTCAGACATTTACAGCTTTACGTACATTAACTTGTTCGTAGAGATCGACTTCCTCCTGTGTCATAAGTCCCACTTCGCACAGGTGTTCCAGCGTAGGAAAGCGCTTCTTGGCCACAATACTGACACCGCGGGTTAATAAAATAGTACTCAGGCACGTCCAGCGTGCCATAGTCCGCCGTATAATGCGACTCCGTTCGTCCAGTCCGTTGATGTGCAGAATGACTAGATTCAGTATTCTACGGTAATCAAAATTATATTTGTGAACTTATTAACACAGCCATATTTATACCGTACAAATATGTAGTGTAAACTGTAACATATACCTCAGTTTTCGCTCGGGTACTGTATTTGTTTGATTACCTGTCAGGCCATGGATAATTGAGATACTGATCCCACCATCGGCCAACCACGAACTGCACATAGAATCCCAGGACAAAGGTCAGCGGAATTAAATTTTTGTTGTCACCAATATGGCGGGCAATATTTTCGAAAGACCTGCGGATTATAAAATTTTTGTATACGTTCTCATATATAGCATATATATGGCCAGCTGCTTGTTCTATTCGAAGCACTAAATTCATATTTTATTGCAGGAGCAGAGAGAGAAAGAGATCAGAACATAATCGCTTCTATGGAAAAATAATTACATCAAAACATTTTGCACTGCAGTTCGCAATTTATCGCCCTAGAAAGATTGTGTATTTATATATATTTACTGCATGAAAAATAATCAAAAATTGTTTACCTAGGGTCCTAGGGTGTGCTGTCTGCGATTTGGCAAATTATTATCATGGTGCAAAATAAACTACTAATACGTGCTGAATAGAATATGAACGGTTGCACACAGAACAACATGTCACATGTCACGTGTAGTAAACGTGTCACGTGTGTATAAAAAACAATAAATCAAAAAAACAGTGTCTTCAGTAGCTTGCAGTTATGCACAGACTGCCTGTACATTGAGCAGATTTTCGTTTGTTATTAAAATTATTATTATTATTAATTATTTCAACCACTATTAAATGACTGCCATTACTACGATTTCTGGTATTTCAGTTAATACAATGTACAAATTGTGTTGTATAAAAAACAGCATGCAAACGGCTTTGCAGCTAGTTGTCGTCTGTTATTCCAATCCTGGACATTAAAGTGCTGCCGGTCAACTGTTCATAAAATGTGACATTTTGACTGCACCGCCAAAGTAAGCAATTAAAAAGGAGCGAAAATTTGTCAGGTGTTGTCATAACGTTATTGTTTGAAATATTGTTCTCTCTTAACGGAAACCTGGGCTAGTGCGCAAAACGCAAAGGAGAGATACCGGTAATTGTCACCCTGGTTGGCAGCCCTCCACACAACAATGAGCCGATGTAGTCAGAAGATATAATCACGAATTCACGATGGCGATTGCCAAAAAAAGCCGAATTCTACTTCGAGCACAAATCGGAGTTTATACACCATAAAATTATATATAGTATGTTGAAACCTTGAAGGATACAGTCTGTATTATAAGCGCTTACGGAAATTAGAATATTAAATTATAGCCTAGCAAAGTGATCGTTAATCTCAATAAAAAGTACGCACTAAAATCGGAAAATTGGACATTCATTATTGATCAAAATTTATGCAGGTTTTATAATTATTGCTTACATAGAACTTAATTATTGGTGAGGTCAATAACATAGCAAAAGCAACTAAAAACACATGAATTTACCTGTACAGTGTACGGATACATGTACAATGCGAGCAAGAAAGGAAGCTACGGGTTTAGGGTATGCGTTGTAGCGATGACAGCGAAAACCGGTTTGTACAGCTAGTACGCGCACAGAGAGCCACACTCATACGTGTGTAAGTGAATGCGAGCGGATTTACCCACTCACACACACATGTGCGCGATCGATCGATACAGCAAGGCAGCACTCCGCTTGCGCTTTTTGGCAGCACCGGAATGCGCTGTCTTCAGTCTATTTATAGTCACAACAGAGAGGCTGCATTGATCAACCAGCCTCAGCGGGCAAAAAAGACTGTTCGCTGGCTTTTTAACATAGACCGTAGCCTCCTCATTTAGTCAGATTGTATGCCGCATGCGCAATTAAGGGTCTTATTTCTTAGTATCACAAATCGAAGTTTGTATTGGATTTTTAAAAGCCGCTGTGCTACGAAAATCAGTACACACTTAACAGTGTTGGACAGCATAAGGAAACACAGTGCTGTATAGTCAGCTAAAGCCTAACGCATATTATTATTTTAATAGCTACATTAATAAAGTGTTTTGTAAATTTGCTGGCAGATGCAGTTTTTACCTTCGTTGTGCTTCGTTGAGCGCCACCCGGTAAACTAAGCTAACAACGGCGTATAATAATCCGAAAACGACGGTTTCTTTAAACACCAGTTTGTAGATACTGCCTTTCCAGCGCCCCAATAATTTGGCGAAACCACCAAAGGATGCCGTATGCACATTAAACTGATACGATATCGTCATCGTGGCCGATAAAAAAATCCACAGGTTCCCGAAATAAAAACCTGTGAGTATAATTTTTTTTATTTGATTATCTTGTATTTATTCCGCTCTGATAAAAATAAATTAAAAAGACTAGAAATCCAGTTTCGATGGAGAAAGGAGGTTCTGTCAGGAAATATTATAAACCAACATTTTCCGGCCGCGATTATCGCAGAAGATGTGAATCATGACAGATGAATGCTAACAAATAACAATCACGCGCATTCCTTTGAATTCTGGAAATCACCATTTAAACAGACACTTTCCAATACTGCGTCACGCTTCAGAATCGGACAAATATGGCAGCAAAAAATTGTTGCCATATTTATGCAAAGGTGTCAATAAAGGGATTAAACCGGCATGTTTTGGCAGATGCTAACAAAGGGCATAAAACGATACAAAAAAAGTTATAATTATATCGAGGAATAACTACAATTATTGAATTATTATTCAGAAATTTCTGTAGAATACTTCAGTATGGAAAATTCACTGAAAAGCACCCAGAAACAAGAAGCAGCAATAAACTGTCGCCAGCGGCGATCTACGAAAGCCGGCGCAATACCGTCGATTAATTGCTTCAGGGTAAAAATTTTTTTATCATTTTTTTTGCATTTAAGAACAAAAAAACCTGTTTTACATCCGCAAAGAAACAATCAACCAGGTGCGAGGATTGTGAGATAAAAAACAAATATGAAAAATTCCACTTGAAGTCAATAAACAGTCATCAACTTTCCAAGTGGGCCGTTATAGCATGTGCTGCCGAAAGTATCATAATTACCGCAAAACGGCAGCGGCGATTTTACGCCTAGATGATACGGATCGGACCCTTTTTTCACGAGAATATGTATTCCGCTATAAACAAATAGCAAAACACAGCGTGTTATATAATTTTTCTCATCACATACGAAGTCCGTTTTAGTAGAACATTTACAATTTCTAGTAAAAAATTTACTGTATGCGCAAAGTACAATACTCATACATATATATGCATGTTGCCTAAAATTGTTGATGTGCGATTGTGCAACATGTACCAATCTGGTCAGGTGATCTTTATCACTATATTGAGTTTCTCGATGCACTCGCTGATAACAGTGCATCCGAAATGTTTTGGATTGTTGTTTTATTTACCGGATTGATCTGTCTTTCCGATGTATGTACGCGTTATCTGACAGCTGTGGCAAAAGCTACTTTGTAAAGTACTTTGTGCTAAAGTACTTTCTACTATTACTATTAAAAAGTACTTTGTACTAATGGTAAGAGATACTCGTACAATACGGACCACATTACACAGTAAATAACTATTTGGGACCAGAAGTGTTCTGTTAGAGCAAGATTATACACTGGATATATGTATATTATATACATAATAATTACGTACTTTCGGTGAATGTTAAAAAACGTTGCCGATTACGCTGATTTTACATGTTTTATTCGGTACTCACACACTAATCACAGAAGTATACACAGCCGCACTCTGAAACGGTGTACAACAATATTCATTATTTATTCGTAGTAAAAAAGACGGAAGCGTAAAAAGTGCACCTCTGCGTTCCACTCCCGAAATTCAGCATCACACGAACATTCTCCAAGCACCCACGCAGTTGCTGCAACTTCAGTACGCTGGTTTTCGTCCACACTGACTAGAAGCGTAGCAAGAGTCAGTTTATCAGCGATACAGGGTGTCTCGTTCAGAAAGGTCAGGCACGTCATCCTCACTACTGGTCAGAAAGGACAGCGAGCGCAGCTTCAACCCGGCATCCTCCGTCAGCGTGCTGTCGGGGGTCACACACGGCGACACGTGGTCTTCCTCCGCGATAGGCGGATACACCGGTTCGGAGCATTCCGACAGGAGGCGCTGGTGGGTGGGTTTCCGCTCCAGCATCGAGTGGCTGCGCTGCATAACCAGCCTGCAACCACCAAACATAAGTGTACAACATCGACTTTTAATGTATGTTGAACTGGTTTAATACCGGAATCAGCATTAATCAACAACATGGCTATGTAGTTTTTTTCTTGTAGCACTTGGGCTAGTGCATAGTTTGTACGGCAGGATAACCAAGGAGAAAACTAGGCTAGGCACAACGTACTCGTGCACGACGGGTTCCGGCTGATGGATATGCATAAACGGTAAAGATGAGCGACGTTGTTCCATTGACGACGGTACAATGGTTTCCTGTTGAACATTCAGGGATTTCAGGAGTCCTTTCGGCAATGCTATAGCGTCGACACTAAGCGGTGGAAAGTGTACCATCTCCTTCTCAGCAGCCGAAATTCTGTCAGTCAATATGGAAAAATCGCCAAACTGTTTTCCATTGTTTTCAGTACTGTAAATATCAAGCGAAAGACGAGCGACTTACACAGCATGGGATGCCGAGCCGATATTGTCGACACTTTTACGCCGCTTCAGATCCGCCGCGGATGTGTAAGGCAACTGGACATAGGTCTTATTCCAGTTGGCATCTTTCACCAATGTCGGCATCACACCAAACCTACGACAAAAATAGAAATTTCAAAGTTTTTTCAATCTTATTCTTTATGTAAAAATCAAACGTAAACGTGCATGCGTGTCCTTACTTTTCATCGGCAACGAGAAAAGAAACTTGAACATGCCGGTCAATAAACCAGTTCACCTGCCACAAAGACCATTACATACGATAAAGATTGATAAATAGAAGATTTAAAATACAGTAATAAATATATCCCGTTTTGGGAAGAAGGTATTCACATCAAAATTCACTGTCATCTGCAGCCATCAAGAACTGAAAAAAAATTTGACCTTACTTCGTAATCGTCGTCATCTTCGCCCCATGGATTAATCAACGATTCCGCCACTTTCAGCCAACCAATGTAGAAGAAAAACTGAAATTACATCTACACATGAAAACCGGTATTTCAACTTCTATGTGTAATAAAACACAGACCGTGTATGCTACGACCAACCTGTAGAAGAGCGAAGATGGGGATATACAAATCCACGTAGAAGCTCTCATACTGCTGCCCCGGATCCAGAAACTGACGGGAGAATAACGCACCCAAAAAGTAGGTATACGTCGCCAGCGTTATAGCCTGAAAATCAGGAAATGTTTTAGGGACTCTTTGTTACCAACCAGTAGCAGATTAGCAGACGGGCAATTTACGTCAAACCAACTCGCAGAACTGACAGAACTTAAAACCGCCACTGTACTACAAAATATCTCGTTAATACGAACCACAGCGTTGCCACACCAATACGGTGATCAGTCAAATAGCGCGTTCGTTGATCGGAAAAATAAATAAGCATAGATCAACAAAACATATTGTACAGTATGTATAACAATAAACCTTAAACAGTTCTTCATCTTTTTGACGGGAATTTCAGCGTGATAAGGTGCATTTCATCTGCATACAACGTCGCGCCACGTACCTGTGTATACACCAAGGGAACGCTGACCCAATCATAACTGCAACATGGACATGTTTTGTTTATTTGCATAATTTGTGTGGAAATCTGAAATCTGTAATGTCAATCGTACCTATTTTTTACAGCTAGTAGTACATATACTAACGTATTATTGAATTGCAAATATGTGGCAGATTTAGCGATTGTACCACAAAACCCCGAAAACCAGCCCGTTATTATGCATAAATATGAATTACTCATTTCGGACTCCCATGCGTATATCCAATTATTCGTTTCTTTTTCCACAAATAAACCTAAACAGTATTAACAGAAAATCCGCACCTCCAGATTCTCCACTGATTCGAACGCAACATCGCAATTTCCTCGTGAAAATGTTTCATGAGGACACCATGGGGATCGTCCAGCAATTTCTCCCGTTTCGCATCCTTCAGCAGCTCCGTGAACCACAGCATCGGCACCCAGAATTTAGCATACGGAATCTACGAAAATTACCAAATAGTTATATAATTTTCTTATTATCTGCTGCATTTTTTATCAATCGCTGTACGCCAACCGAACCATCGCTTTTTTTAATCAAATGACATTTAACCGCGGTAGTTGTTATACTTTTTTAGCGTAAATGTAATACACCTATGGTTGCCATAACCGGTGGGCGTAGTTACCGTGACGTTTTCATAGAGGACTTTCTCCTCCTTGGACATCAACCCGACTTCCACCAGATGATCCAGGGTGGGAAAGCGCTTCTTGGCCACCACACTCACACCGCGAATCAGCAAAATCCCACTGAGACACAACCAGCGCGCCATTGTGCGACGAATCATGCGGCTCCGCTCATCGAATCCCGGAACGTACATCACCACCAAATTCAATATTCTTTAATGCAAATTATGCGTTCATGTCGAAAGATCATTCAGATATCAGGATACATAATCAGCGTTTATCAAGAAGCTTGTTAATGCACCAAAACTAGCAACAGAATGCCAGTTTCTAATACTTAATCGAGAAAATTAACAGCGTAATTTACGAAACAGTCAACAGAATGCTATAACGGATTTATTCACTTAAGTTATTGACTTGAACGAAAACTACAGCGGAAATAAAGCGGAATATACCAGCTGCTGTTACCGATCTGGCCATGGATTGTTGAGATAATGCTCCCACCACCGGCTGACCACAAACTGCACGTAGAAGCCCAAAACAAAGGTCAGCGGAATGAGATTCTTGTTATCACCGATATGCCGCGCGACATTCTCGAAATTCCTGCAACAATAAGAGTTTACACCACAAATACTCGTACACTTTATGTTAAATACTGTTGCCGCATTCTTGCTTATCATTGAATTCTTCGGTGCCTCATTTAAAAACATTTTTCTGCAACACTTTTTGCAATACACAAACTGTGTTCGTGTATTATAATGTAGTGTTGCTGTACGTAATTCTGCATAGCAGATACAGACAGATGCAGCTCATCGCAAGCAAATTGTATATGCTAAGTTGCAGTCCATGAGAAAATTTTAGTGTATTGGTTTCATTGCTTCTATCATTTCCACCCTCACGAGACCGTTCAATAATCTTTAAGTTACTGTAACTTCTGACAAGCTCTTTTTCAGTCTGTCTTACAACTACCAGGTAATTTAATTAGAACTTTTTTCTCCAACTTTGCAAAATGACAAAATGTATTTCGCCAACCTGGAAGGCAAACTGACAAAATTAACGATCATATGTACGTACAGCATAATGCAATTTCCGGCAATACGTCATTCTAAAAGACTTATAGTACAGTTGCGTGAAAACGCAGCTAACATTTAATAAAACACGACAGCACATGACTCAGATCATTCAAGTACGAGTACATAACTTTCACGAATGGTACGGCTAAAATTACAAATGGTGAATAGTTATACTGCAAAAGAAAACGCAGTTCACCCATGAAAAGCAAACGGTGAATAATTTATTTAAGTCTTGACCAATAAAAAATTACAAACGGTGAATATTTTATTTAAGAATTTAAAATGTATTTAATTTATTTAAGAACCAATCTTAAAGCATTCCAGGCGCAGCAAAGAATTTTGTTTCAGCGTAAAGGTAATCAAAGTATTTCACTGAAAAAGTGAATTTAATACGCGAAATTATAGGTGTGATAATTGCTTACCTGTATTCAGCAGTACACATATTATAAAATGCCGTTATTAACAGGCTTAATTAGAATATCAGCGCTGTAAAAAGATTACCTGCGCTGTGGCTCGCTGAGAGCATTTCGATATATAATACTGATGATAGCGTAGCAGGTCCCAAACATCACCGTCTCCTTGATGACAAGTTTATACACACTTCCCCTCCATCGCAGAAGCAGCCGCGCGAAACCCGCAAAGGATGCGGTATGGATATCAAACTGATACGAGATCGTCATCCTGCGTTCATTAGCATGATTCTACCTTGACACTTCATATGCACAAAATTATTTCAAGTACATGGAAGTCAAATGATTCTCAGTTTCCCGAGAAGAACTGCGAATAAGCCTCCGAGGCATTTAACACAATAAAAGCCATCAGACTTTTTTACTCCCGGCTATGAACTGCAGCTGTTAATTTGTTATCTGGTGAATACCTCATCTGAAAAAACCGCACGTGTTTTACAATCGCAGCGTTGAAAAATGCAAGCTTTACGTATTTTGCTGCATGCTAACCATTATGGACGAAAAAATTCCCAAAAATAGATTGTTTCATCAAGAAATTCTTGGATATTCAACATCAACAAAAAACATTTTAAATCGCGCAGAATTTTTGATTTTGGCTTACTAATACAGTTTTCCGTTTCTCTATTGAGATTGTCAACCCTTTACACTACACTTGGTTCCAAAATTTGTTTACTGGAAATCGGTCATACTGACGCAAAACACTGACACCGCAACTTTGAATCGCATCTTTTCGTTTTCATCATCTGATAACTCTGAATTTCTGTTATCTAACAAATAAATCAAAACAAAGGGGGTTAATTCCAAAAATAACACAAGTAAACTTATGAGGTCACTGGGGATGAGAAATTACAAGGAACTACTGCCGGCAACACAGATCTTTCATAGAAAGGGTCAGTACAAAATTATTGCTTACAAAGTTATAGTTAATAACACTCCCAACAATCTACAGTACAAAACAAAAAGACTTATCTCTCCTGGTTCAAGCCAACCGGGCGGCGCTATCCGGGCTGAGCAGTGGTTCGGAGGAGTCAGTTTTCTGGGCACTGTTCGGGCGGTCCATGGCGGTTACGTCTTCCGTGGGTTTCTCGGCTTCCATTTCTTCCAGATTACTGTTATCACTGATTGTTCGCAACCTACAAGTAAGCATGAAAAATTCTATAAAACCATCATTATTATTTGTTATTTTTATTTATCATTATTATTTACCAGAGAATCCACGTACGCAAACACATACAAAATTCACTTTTGAAACACAAAATAAAAAAAAACCCAGAAGACGTTTAACAGATACTAAAAACAAAATAAAACTCGGCAAAGCACAATTATTTGCTGAAAAACGCGCATACGCAACCGTAAAAAATTAAAATAAAAAACAAATTAAACTGTTTTCAGGACTGGCAAAACATTCGTCCAACCGGCGAAAATAAACGCAAACTGAATTTCGGCAAAATTATTCTTATTTGCCATAAAATTACGAATTAGATTAAAAAACATAGGAAATGGTTCTACAAAATAAATTACCGTTGATTAAACTTGGCCATGGTCTCCCGATCCGGCTGGAAAAACTTCATCCGCGCCGGGGAGCTGATCTTCCGGAAGCGTTCCTCCTTCTTCCCATCAGCCGGCACCACGGGACACCCTGGCAACCAATCACAGCACTACAGGTTCGCAGGCGCATAGGCAACCTTCCAAGGACAAGCCAACGTACATAATCGTAGTAGTGCAAGGGGAAATAATCATTCCATCACCATTACTAATCCACTATGTATTTAGAAAATGTAAATAGCAAACGAATTTTTTAAACAGTAATTTTAGTAAATATATGAAAAACATTCTGGATCTTAAAATAAACAAACTTTTTCCACAAATAAATTGGTTCCTTTCCATGAAAAAATCACAAAAAAACGCCAAACAAAAATTCTAAAGTCAGTTAAATTAACCAAACTGCAAAAAAACCCACAAACAAAATTTTTTAAGCACTGAAATTTATTTTACTGCCCTTACTTCAAGTTCATCGTGGAGCCGAGATGGGAGAAATCCAATTTTTTCTTCGTCTCCATGGCGGCGAGAGTGTACGGGAGCACCACATCCCGTTCATTCCAGTATTTGTCTTTTTCCATCGGAGGTAACTTGTCGTACCTGCACAGAACGATTGTCGTATTATTCATTCTAACTAGAGACAAAATGCGTAAAATCGACGTACATGTCATCCACCATGGCATAACTGACTTGCATATGGCGGTCGATAAACCAGTTAACCTATAATAAACGTTCTCGTTAATCTGTTAGACCGCGTAACGAGGTACCGGAAATGTACCTCGAAATCGTCATCGTCTTCACCCCAGGGATTAATTAACGATTCGGCCACTTTCAGCCATCCCACATAGAAAAAGAACTGAAAAAAAGACAGACGGTATCATAGTATAACAAGAAAAAACCATTCCGCATCTGTAGTCTATGAGTGTGTTGTGTTCAAAGTGATTACTGTACTTACTACAACACGGAAATTCAAATTAGTATGCGCCACTCTACTACACTTTCACATTCCAATACAGTCGGAACATTCAACACACTCGCCACTGGAAACGCACAGCGAACTTTTCATACAGTTACTACGCGATGAATTTTCGTAAACATTTTTTAAAATAAACAACAGAACTTTATTACTCAAACGCGATGTAACCCAGTTCTTAAAATGTAGGCGCAATAAAGCTTGACAAAAGCAAACCACACCATAGTGTGGTTTGCTGGATTCATAAATCCAGGACAAAATAAATGGAGCTGCGTAATGAGTGTGTGTATATGTACCGGTAAATCCAACCAAAAACAAACCCACAATGAACGGCTCGTTTTTTAAGCAGATGAAAATTCAGATTCTTAATCCATACGACCGATTAAACTGCCTGCAGTTGACAACATACACTACGATTTCGTTCAAATTTATTTCACAAAAAATTTGATCAAGTCATGAAACTCAAACTTAAATTCGGTATCCAGTTCAGCATTAAAGTTGTAAAATTCGGTAAACCTGGTGAACCACTGTTGATTTATCAGGACAGTGCCAATGCGTCGAAGGACGTAACGTATCAGCCCATAAACGTCAGCTAAAATGTTAATGTAGAGGAACAGAAATAACGGCTATCAGTGGTGGACACGTCATGTCTTTTACATATACAATTTCAATATATAAAAGACAATTCTAATAATATCTTTTAAATACACAATATATAATTTTTAAGAAAGAGCGCTAATCAAATTTTTGGAATGCAAGAACAGTTAAACAGGGCACACATCTGCATTAGCCGCAACGAAAAAAAGACAATAATTATAAGTTTGGAGTAACAATTATCGGCTTATGATTATAAACGTGGTGACACATTCTGGAGGATTGCCTTACCTGGAGAAGGGTAAAAACCGGCACATAGATATCCACATAGTAATTCTCGTAGTTGAGTGATGGCTCCAGAAACTGCCGACTAAATAGACATCCCACAAAGTACATGTACGTCGCCAGCGTCACAACCTGCCATCAGCCAGAGCGGTTCACTTGCAGACGCTAATGTTGACCATTTTTGTCTCGCACCACTTGTCTTACCTGTGTGTAAACAATCGGAATGCTGACATAATCAAAGGCCTGCAACAACAGATGACGTATATCAACTCGCGGCCAGTTTACGTGGGAAGGTATACTGAATAAAAACGCAAACGCGTTTTTAATATCCAACGTGAAAATACTTTATCTTTCTGCTAATAATATATTTTTTTTTAATTTTAATTGATTCTGAATATGAATTTTAAATTTATATTTAATAATTTATCTGTATATTTATAATAATTTTTAATATATAATTTATGTTTACTTATTTAGATGACTTATATCAAATTGCGGCCAAGTCACATGGGAAAGGTAAACTGAATAAAAACGCATAAGACTGAAAATATCCAACGGGAAAGTAATCTGCATCTTTCTGCTAATAATATAAATTTTTAATTTAAAAAAAAATACCTTCAATAAGCTTAAAATAGTGTACAGTACGTTCTAGTCTCACCCAAAGCAAGCAACACAAACATATTTACAACGAATATCTTTAATGATAATAAATATGATGATACGAGTACGACGAGTACATCTGAATTATTCTACTCGGTGCCGATAAATAATAATAATTTCGCCACGGAAATTTTTTTGCGAAAATCCATCGTTTTTGACAATCAAAAAAGGGCTCCTTTTTTTATTACCCAGATTTTTCCCTGTCGATCCCGATAAGCCATCAGCTCATCCATAACCTGTTTCATTCCACCGGAAGGATCGTTAAACAATCCATCTTTGCGGGTTTTATCCACAAGCTGCGTGAACCACACCAGCGGCACCCAAAATTTTGCATATCTGCAAATGAAAAGCCTGACTAACATATGACAAATTGTAATTTTTACACGCAATCAATAAATACTGCATCTAAAAAATTTACTGCATCTAAAAAATGTAGAAATGCTCTATATAAAGTAAATAAAAATAATGAAAACCGCACTAGCGTAAATACGCTACACACAGGAAAATTCAGTCAGGAATAACCGATCATCGCGCGAAATTCTGTTTTATAGCCCAAACTCTACGACTACTGTTCCTGTCCAGCGGCATTGCGCATGGCACCTTTCAAGCTGTATCCTTTCTATACGCGAGATATAGACATTTCCCCTTTAAATCCCATGCAAACGATTTCTAATTCTAAGAAAATCTTCAAAAATTGTTAACTTCAAACTTAAAAAAAACATTTTTCCAAGCATCATTTTCAGCTGCTTGATCCATCTGTTGAGGCCAAGCAGCACAACAACATTAACAAAAACTAATACGTACTGTACTTCCACGCCTTCAAAAGCCTTGAATTCATCCGGTGTAAGGAGACCGGCTTCCACTAAGTGTTGAAATGTTGGAAACCGCTTTTTTGCCACAATGCTCACACTGCAAAAAGATCTTGTACGATGAGCAATTGCGCATTCATGCAGGAAATAATACTTAAATATGAGCTCTTTTAATCTTCGACTAAAATTTAGGTTACTCGCATTAAGAAATAAATCAAAACAAAGAAAATTTGGCAAACACATTTAGAGAAAAACACATTTTCTTTAGTACGTCAACAAAAAATTAATCTAAGTTAGCATAATATTCCGCAGAAATTTATTTGTACATAATCTGCAAATTTCTTATTAATATTTGCACCAATTCGGGTACCTGCGAGTTAACAGAACAGTGCTGGCATTTAAATAGCGCACCAAAGTCCGTCGGATCATCCTACAAAACCAACAAAAACTTATTACTGAGCAACGTCGGCCATTCATGCGTGACAAGGGTAAAAAGTGGACTTTTAACTTTGTGCACTTTACCGTCCACCGAAGCACTAACAGACAACAACAGCAGCCCGAAAAATCAACATACCGCGACTTCTCGTCTGATCCGTTGATGTAGAGAATTATCAGGTAACACAATCTGCAAGTAAACGTAAACATTTCATCAAAATGCACAAATTATGACGAATCTGACAATTCCGGTAACCGGCCTGGATCGGCTGGCAAAACAATGAAACCGGGCAGGGCACTGGGCAATTATCAATGAATTTCTTTTGAAAAAAAACACGATTTCATTGCAGAAAAGCGTTTCGTACCCAATACAATTTAATTCTAAGCGAGCTGCACCATATAATTAATCTAGAATAAATTCAAGTGAACTTATTTTAGACTTTAATTTACTGATTTTATATTCCCTTTTATTTTAAGGGATGCTCGTGGAGCGTAGTAATAATCTGCTGCATTATAATTTCTTTGTAATAATCTAATTCTTTTATATGGTAAAATAAATTCTAATAACGGTAGAGTAATTAATTCTTACAATATATTTTCAAAAAAACGCTATCATATTTTATACATAATTACGTGCATGTAAATTACCCAACCAAAAAATAACATTTGGAAATATACTTTACGGTAATTTACCTGTCTGGCCAGGGATAGCTGCTAAACTGGTCCCACCAGCGCCCGACAACAAAGCTGACGTAGAAGCCCAGCACAAATGTCAAGGGGATGAAATCCACGCTCACTTGCATGTGCAAGCACAGCTTCTCAAACATTCTGCAAAGTAAACATGCCAAAACTGAAGTCAATCAATCCATTTTAATATAATTTCACCAGAATTTTTTATGCAACTTTTTCAAAGCAGATGCTGCCACAACAATTTCAGACAAAATTGTACATCACTCTCAAACATTAAAACGGCAGAAAAAATCCGGCAGCCGAAAACGATATCTGCAAATTTCAGGACATTTTTACTTTTCGTAAGGCAACAGAAACCGTGGCCTGACACCGGCACGTTCAAATAAAAATTGCCGTAAAACGGTAAAATAAGAAAACTAAAAATAAACTGACCACGAAAGCCACAATAAAGTTCCAAAACTCTCCGTCAATTTTGTACTATTTGTCCTTTGGTTTAACTTTTATCTTTTTATAAAGCGAAAAGCCACGCTTTTCGAATCGCGATCGAGCAAGCATAAATAAAAAACATCACTTTTGCCGTTTTGCGGCTTTGCCAGAAAATATGCTTGCGTTAGAATGTTAAATGTCATAAAACAGATCGAACAATTTGAAAACTGCTGTTACACCAATTGGAAATAGCAAAAAATTAACAAAAAGATCATCGAAACGACAACAAATATTTGCAGGCACACCTACCGCTTTCGTTCTTCATCCAGCGCGCAGCGATAAATGGCGCTGATGGCCGCGTACAGGGAGACAAAGACGAGGACCTCCTTGAAGACCAGTTTGTACACGCTGCCCTTCCACCGGCACAGTAGTCGCGGAAAGCCCGCGAAGGACGCCGTGGCCACATTGAACTGATAGGAAATGGTCATGTTTGCATGGGCCAACAATCATCATCCATCCATCACCAGCCCGAATCAAGATGCAGCCACACCGAAAATAACCAGGAATATTTCATCGCATCAACCCATTTTGTCCGCCAGATTGCCAGCAAGCAGCAATCGCTCAATTTGCAAAAGATTCAATTTCAAAGCACTGAAAACGGAAGCAGAGACTGTTGTCGCATACACTGATCTAATTTCTGGAAAAGTAAAAGAGTCAGAAAACTGATCTTTTTGATCCAGGAAAAGACCGAAAAGTGCAACGAAATCACTCAGTAAAATTCTACAGGCGCCGTGCAAATTAGCATTTGAAAACCGAAAGCACGGAGAATGGACGAGCGAGCAGTCTTGTACAGATGCCACATTGGCGAGGCGTACAGCACACCGACGCGTGGTTTTTTAAAAAATCGTACTGGTATGGTTATTACAGTAATCCAACTTCTGGAAATTGGACGACTATCAAGAATATTTATTTTAAAATGTATAATGTACGGAGTTTGTATTATATATTTGTTTGTATATATTATATTTGTATTTATATATATATATTTAGCCGTTTTATATTACGGTTGTCCAAAATGCACAATAAAAGAGAATGGCAAAAGGTTTTGCAAATGACGGCGCTGTACTGAAATGTTGTCGGGTACGGCTAACCAGGTTTGCGGAAGCGGCGGTACATCTGCCGGTTGAAATAAAAAAGTTGTCTTGTGTGTGAGTGCTAATTCAAACAAGTCCAGTGCATTTAGACTTGTAAACGATAATTCTGGCTCACATAAACTGCTGAACGCCGCATTTTTTGAAATGTTAAAACCCACAGCTGTCAGGAAACTGCTGTGAGATGGAGCCAACTTGTGGGTATTAAACTATTAATCCGCAGTAGGTCATTGTATATGCACAAGTGGAGAAAAATGTCTTGGGTAATTTGCACTGGCAAAGCGACAATAGAGGAATAACTGTTGACTAATAATGCGCGTAGTAATACATAAATGCAGTGCAGAAGTGTATAGTACAGTATTGTACAATCTCTCTCCGCACGTCAGTACTCGTATGCTTCATATTCTATGTATTTCGTAGCTGGATAATTGGAAACAAAAAACACACAAAAAAGCTTGTGTACGACAATTATCATTCTTCGAATTAGGTTAGAACTGTAACAACTGTTAAAGAAGATCCTTTCATGCAGCTGCTCGTCTCTCGTTTTGAAAGTCACTACACTACGATTCGTCTCCCACGTACTACACTCTGTACAGTAGCGTCACAGCCCTTTAAGTTGACTTCGACACGGTACCACGACAGGAAAACCTAAGATTTTCCGAATACATTGTAAGATTTGGGGTAAAATGCCACGAAATTAAAGCTTTTATTGAAAGATTAATTTACCGGTACACTGACAATGAACTTCAACTGGCCCATACGAGTATGAGTATGTAATGGGCTCTACTAGTTTACCGCTTCGCTAAGCGGCTTACTCCAGAATAGAATAATTTGGATAGAAGTATTACTGAAAACACAAAAAAAGCGTGATTTTTTATAATGACATTATTTTTGACAGCGCTAACCAGGATTTTGCAAATTATTTCGCTTACTGGGAAAGGGCACATCAATACTAATGGCAAAACGGGGTGAATACACTACAGACAGTGAGGAGATTTTAAGCAGTACTAGTAACTGCCAGTACTCGTGCTGGGATTTTACGCCAGTAACGCCACTACTGCCCACTAGCGCCACAACAAGTGGCGCACAGTTATGTGCATGCCAAGTGCCATTATTTGTGCTTTAATCGTGAATGTGCATTCTTCCCGAAGTTATCGATTGGCTTTCCGACTGCTTTGTTGATAATTGTACCGTCATACAAGTTGGAAGATGTACAGTACACCTGTACCGTGGTCAATCCTCTTTGTGTGGCGTAGAGTGTCACACTGCTACAACTGGTCAGACTGCGACTGGTATGACGACTTCTAAAAGTTTGGTCGACGACAGAAAACCAGATTCTGAGTTATTCTTAGGTGTTCGTTTTAGCAGACATTCAAAGCAAAAGCCTTGCAGACAGAATCTGGTTTTTTGATAAATAAAGACAGGATTGGCAAACAACGAGTGAAGATAACCTTAAGGGTAAGTAGTCAAAGTTGTTCCCCTTAATGACGGCTTTTAAGGTTTCATTCCTTACCTTAAAAAAGCCAAGGAATAAGGAATGGGCTAATGGATGACCTGCGAAACTTGTCTAATAAGTACAGGATTGACTTTGTATAAGATACCTTGTGGCAATATTAAAGATCTTTGGCCTCAGAAGCACACAAAGAGTTTCTTCGCCATCGCGGATCTCTCTCTGTGTATTCATGGATTCAACGAGAGAACGCTACTTGCTTGTGTCACAGAAACTGTTCCCGACCAAGATAGCATCGAAGAATTTTCACTGCGAAATTACTGGGTTGTAACTCATTTTTACTTTGGTTTCAAATTTTATTTATTTGCTGTACAAGTACATGTCAGACAGTTAGCGACGGTTAACCGACGATAGAAAAATTAAGCTTGGTCATCGGTTACCGAATCGTCGTGTGACTTCCGCATATCGTGGCAGTGTAAGTGTTCTTGCTGCATGAACAAAAACAAACGATCTTGCAGTAATACGAGTACTTACAGTACTGTACTAATCGTAAGCGGCTAAAATAGCGGCACTTCCATTTTCCATTCTTTAGGCTTAGTCACCTAGCTTCCGGTGTGCTTTGCATTTTATGCTGTGAATTGAAAGATATTGTAGATTGCTTGGCAGGATAAGAAAATTGGAGTATCCGGCGCAGTTATGACAATATCATTCCTATGTTTCGCTTATGAAGCTTCATACGACCGGAAGAATTGTTGCTGCTGAAGTAGCAACAACTCTCCCGGTTCCGCATGTTTGCGTTACCGCTGCACGGACTGTGCTCTCGTGTTGATTGTACAGATACAATCGGAAGTTGTTCTCTGGTTTGTAAGACAAAATTGCGTAAATCGCCTCGTTATCGTTATTACAGTAATAACTATATAAAGGCCTTCTCAGCATTCATTCTTGTGCTTTCAACCTCACTCATCGATATACATGCTTTAATAACAGCTTTATTGATGCAAATGCCGCATTCGTCGCTGACCACCGGTACCGTAAAACCGTAAACGTACGGTACTTCGAGTTTTTTTTTATTTGGGGCCCCTTTAAAGTGCCTTTTAATTGTTGGCCCACCGCACAACTGCGTAGGCAGTCAATCAGCAAATACCGTAATTCATCACGATGACACAGTCTTTCACCGGTTTCTGAGCCGGCGATCGGCGCGGTGTCAGAAAATTTGGGACAAGCTGCGACCGTAGTACCAACGACAGCAGCATGTTAGCAATGGCTGCATTGCTGCTGTCTTTGATTCTCGTAGTGCAAGTCTGCAAAGGTCACTGTGTGCCTAAAATATCGTCTATTAAATATTTCCATTTCCTCTCCATTTCTCTCTTGGTCTTCTCATTCAGTTGCACAATCAGCCAAATATTTATTGGTTTGGTTTGATTTGTACTTTCCGTCGTATACCAGTTTTTCTTAGTACGACTTCTAAGAAAAATCAATATCAGCTATGGTCGCACTAACGGTTCAGGTGCAAAATAAACTTCCACGTGTTCAACCGTCCAACTTATGCGCGGCTGCACCCAACAGATGTGCGGCGGGCCAAAATATAAGAACGGTGTTTCAAACGGGCAACAGTTAAACAAACTTTAGGTGCTCGATGCCTTATACTATCGCCTGCCGCCAGCGGAGGGATGCGAGCTCAATACCGATAGCCAGTATGCTCTGACAGAATTTATGGCCATCTGGATTTTCAACGTACCGTGTGCTGCCATTCCTGTCGCCTATCCGCTCTTACTGTGGAAGATGCTGAAACGGCGTCGGACGAGACCGGCTAATATTAAATCCAGCGGCACAACATGGGAAGCAGGAAGCCTTCCATCGTCCCTTCATACTGCTGACGTTGTATACGAGCAGTACCATAGTGTGTTGGCTGCCCAGTATGGGCTACTATACCATTCTCGCCAATTATCCCACGATCCAGTTGAGCGCGCATGTGAACCAAATTATCTCAAGTCTGTACAACGTACAACCTATTCTGGATCCTCTGTTCTTCTGTCTCACCATCGGCAATGTGCAGAGTTATGCGCTCCGACTCTGCAAAGGGACGAATAGTAGTAAGAACGCCCGCAGTTCTGGTGGCAGAACTCTAGCAGCTCCAGCAGGAATCAAGAAGAATCCCAACGAAACTGCTATTACGTCGCCGTAACATGCTTTAACAGCGCACCAACCGTTGCTTTATCTGTACATTTACCGTCTATCTGAACACTTATTCTAGACCATGACCCTTTCGTTTACAACATTTATTTTGTTAGACAATGCACGTCAAATCGGTTTGTTTGCTTGGCTGATTACTGCAGTTTTATGGTGTTGGAAGCGTGACCTTTGTATCGAATTTTGCAGCACCCGTTCATATACTTGTTTTAATGTTTATTAGCACCGTTAAGATTAGTAAACGAAACCTCGTAAACAAACGCTTGTGAGCCTTTAACCTGTGTTATCGACCGGTCGTACGCTCTGAAATCGAATCCCACCCATTTGGGAGTCGGCCGCGAGTAAAACATAACAAAACCCAGCTTTTCCAACCGGTGTACGATACGCGCCATATTGCTAATAATCTTGGCCCCATCAAAAACAGCTGGCGCTACGGGTGGCCAACCCACGGGTAACCAGTGTATTTCCATGACCAACTGCCCAACGGACTGGAGAAACGTGCCGACAAACGGTGAATCCAGAAAGGTCATTTCTGCCCCTTCACAGTCCATCTTCAGTACATCTAGAGTGCGTTGACTATGTCCCAGTCGTTGGCGTATGTCATGCAACGTGGACAGGGTCCAACCGGGAGGCGTCGGGGACAGTGTGTGCTCGGGGCTGGTGATGAGGCCCCAGTCAAACACCCAGTGGTGGTCACCCCGACGGTACGGAGTAAACGGATGGGATGGATCGAAAGAGTACACACTGCAGCCCATACTGTGCATCTGGTCGTCGAAACTCCAGTCATCCCGGATCCCGACCGAATAAACGAGGCAATCTTCGGGAGTGCGCTTGGGAAATCGGTCCATACATAGCGTGTATCTGTAAAAGCGTAGCGCTAATTACTAATGTTCTTGCTACTTTTTTCTAAAAAACAATCGCCGCCGTGTCAATCCAAACCGTTTTTATTATTATCATTCTTACAACTAATTTTTATCAATAAACTGCCTATGCAGCCTTAAATTTGTGTCTTGCTGTTAATACAACTGCGGGATGAAATTTCATCCTTTTGCTGAGCATGCTCAAAGCGTAGATATTAAGTAGTTTTACCTTCCGTCGACTTTTGGCTGTACTGCTTCGGTATCGTAGTTTCCGCCGAAGTTCTCTCTTCGCTGACACACGCTTTCGTCTGGGCTCGTCAAAAAACTGCGCAATCGTTCCAGTTGATACGAGAGACTGCCATCAGCTGCCGGGGGGAAAAAGGCCATCTCACGATTCCGTTTGAATTTCTCCCAGGCAATCCAGATAGTACAATTGAAGCGCTTTTGACAGAACTTCTCATTAGTAGCAAATGGTATCCAGTCATACTCAAAATAAATCACGTTCAACCAGTCGTAGAACAGTGTGGCGTAACGCTCGTTGTTGACATCATCTTTCCGCTCTATAAAGAAGCATCAGCTGCACAGATCTTGGTACAGCAAACCGTTTTGTCGCAATTTGCAGCTGTTGTCAGATCTAGTAAACTATTTTTAGACGTGAACAGTAGCATACCTGTCGCAATGGTAGTGTGCAAAAATTGGGCATGCAACTGGCACCCGATAAGTTGCGCAAGGTCATACAAATCGTCCACTGTACCGCTAAGCACCAGTACATCGGCGACGGTTTGCAATGGCAGTGCGGGCGATTGCCGGCAGTAAGTGTCGTTACAAAAGGATCGCGGCATGCGTAGCCGCGTAACCTGTTTGACCTCATCGAGTACCAGAGTTCCAATAGGCTCTTCGATTGCCGACGGCTGTGTTTGCGGAAAACTACGGAAAGAGATAAACCAATTAAGTGTTCGCTAGAAGCAGCTTCTTCCCATATGTTACCGGTTTATTAGATTATTTGCACGGCGTAAATCACAGCACACATTTTGGCAAGAAAAAACAGTTTGCTTACTGAAAGAACGATATCCTTCTGCTGGAAGCAGTCGAATCACGTGACTGATTAAATCGGAGTACAACTTGATCTATCAGCTGACTTTCCGTTCCAAATCGGCATCGGGGACAGGCAGACGCTAAAAACGTCTTCACCCATGCCCATGCCTGGGTTTCGTCAAAAACAGTGGGATATGCCACGGAACCGTACCAAGCGCGGCGTTTATTGGACATTCTTGGACATCGGCGCGGCTCACCGGTGTTGTTGATGATCGATCTGTTACTGGTGACGTTCTGTACAGCTTTCGAATAATCGGGCTTCACAAGAACTTCGAAAAAATGTTCTGCCAAGTCGTCAGTATGCGAAACTGAGGTGCTGTCGTTTCTGTCCAAAAATTCCTTTGCGTTGTATTGCGATGAAATAAACTGGATTATCCGATGATCTGGAGAAAAGATGACCACACTAGCTGCTGTTAATAGCAGTAGCACCATTAGCAGACAAGATTGATGCAGGATGTTCCATCGTGCAGTGCAACCTCGCATCGTAGTTCTCAACAAAGTTGTATATTTTGGGGTCCAAGAATTACTCTAGATTTTTGTTGAGAGTACTTGGTATGCGTCTGCGTTACCTGCATAATTCGGTGTTCATAGACTCACAGCTGCTAGTACAGTACTTGTATACTTCTTATTATAGGATAGTTAAATAATTTCTAGAAATGTGGCAGTATGAACACAGTAAACTTCAAGCAAATCAGTAAGAACATAAATCGTAATTAGCGATGCTTTTTTTGGATACTCGATTGAAGTAGCCGGAAGATATTTTATGGTAATAGCAATTTAATAGAATTAAACGACTGCAGTAGAGAGACAAAGTACTCATAAAAGTTTGCCGGCCCAAGCGACTAAACACAAACCTTTAAAGAAGCAAGAAAAGCACAAACCTTGCACAGTAGTCAACCTCTACAGCAGTGTTTAACACTTTGCAGCCTAAATACCGGCGCGGCTAATCGGCTTGCTTACAAGTTGGGTTGAAAACTCGCTATCGGTAAGTTTTACGGGTACTAATTACTATTATTTGGTGTACACTTACTGCATTGTTATCGTTTCCAATTGCTATGATCTTTCTGTTATTAGCATAAATGTATTTCTGTTTCCGAGGTTTACGTATGCGAATAATTACATCTTACGTTGGTCATTGTACTATGCGTCACTGAAGCATTCATGATCGAATACATATGTGTAAACATGGGCGGGATAGAAAATTAGAATTAATATTCCATCAGCATTGGCCCGGGGTTTAACTCCGATTGTATACTGTATAATTTAACAGTTTACAAACGTACTTTGTAATACCCGGTCGACGCACTGTAAATGTGTGACTTTATAGCGTACTGGGCGTTCTTCCGACTTTTACAAGTAAACAGGAAACGTTGAAGAGGAACCCAAAAGGAGCTGTAACAATGATGTTTTAGGCCTTGGAGCGCTGTGCAGTGTGCATAATGCTGCCATGGGCCAGTTTACGAATAATATTATAAAATTGCACACATAATAGTTCGTGGATAAATAATAAACAACTAGGTCTAGGTCGAATTTATCTTCTTGTTTTTTTTTCGGCGAATTGCATGTTCATATCGTTTCCGGTCGTAATGTCTCCTATCTATATTGGGAACAATCCGTAGATGCAAAACTGACAATTGCAGATGACATTATAATACCGTAACACGTTTACTTCTTCACATAGTTCACTCCACATAGGTTACATCAGTATACAAGATAAGATAATAGCTGATAATAATACGAGTAGAGTATGTGAAATAACTCCACATTTACTATAGAAGTATTTGTATATGAAGCCCATATCTATCACCATGAATTAATGCTCAAGGCTCGGAGCAACAGTTTTAATCAGCTTTTTTACAAGAGAGACGCGCTTTGTGCTGATTAATACGTAACATTTTTACGAATTCATTTACATCACGCCGTTCATTCGAGGCTGTTGTAACAATGGTTTACTTAAAATTTTTCCTGTGCAATGCGTATATTTTTGCTACATGCCTTGTGTTGAATACCAATGCAGGTAAGCAAGCAGGGAACAGTGCAGTTCTCATAGGTGAAAGGTAATTGCTTGAACCATCGAAAACTTCGAAAACTTCGAAAACCATCGAAAACTGGGAGAAATCAGTTTCAACAGTATAAGCTGGCCGCCAACTGGCGTCATTCAAGACCATGCTGAGCCGTTGTCGGCTAATTTAACAAAATTAGAAATACTATACTGTCTATCTACCGTTTCGAGAGGGCCAGTGCCACACGCCTCCCGTGGAGAAATTCTTGGCCGATGTCAGAGGCACACTCACGTATCTGCGGCTTACTGAATGCCGGGTTGGTGCGTTAGGTGCCGATTTTCTTCGAGAATTCAATAGGTTACAAGTGCTCACCCTAGACCAGAATGACATCAGTACCATCGATGTAACTGCTTTCGAGACGGGAACCTCGGCTCCACCGTTCCGTTCGCTTGATCTTAGGAGAAACATGATTGGCCATTTAGACTGGGCTGTTTTTGCACCGCTTGCAAAGTCTTTACAAGTAAATCAGTATCGCCTTAAATATAACTTGCTAAACTGTTTATTTCTGTTTTGCCCAAACTAATTTATACGTTTTGCTGACAGGATCTGCGGCTGAACGATCAATTTTTTAACTGGAGTACCTGGGCTGTGGCCCAGGCCCATGATGTATCCGTGGGTATGAAGACGTTAGTCCTGAGTCAACCGTTTATATTCTCTCGTTTAAACATTCTGGATCTGACGAAAAATGCTCTTAATTTTATGCCACGGGATATTCTCGAAACGCTGAATCCAAATAGTAACTCACGTTTCTACCTGGAGGAGAACGCTTTTTGTCCCGTTGACCCGACACGTACGTGTTCATGCTGTGCCGCCCAGGATTTCATGGAGTGGATGCACGACGTAAACAATCGGTCATTGTCACAACGTCCAGTACAAATTAGTTTTACATGTGTTGGAAATCCTGTTGCTTGGTCGGCGGGGAGCGGTGCTCTTCCATCGTTGCAACAGTATGAATGCTGTTCCAATGCCACAGTGGAGAATTGTGTTCAGACTCAGAAGGTATCAACGGACCCTGCGATTCCCGGTGGTGGGGTGCAGAGAAACTATGCCGCAGCCGGCTTGTTGACGTTGACAGTCAGTTTATTCTATGGCTGGTCCCGCGCACTGCAGTTAATGTGACGTTCTACTACTGTACACTACCGCTAATATTTTAACGATGATGTTATTAAACATATTGGACACTTCAGTGAGCCTCCAGTAAAAAGCCAGTACAGTACTTCATAATTAATATTGTTGATTAACCAGCATAGCCAAAACCCATGTTGTTGCAGGCAGGCCGAAATTAAAAGATCAGAGTCAGTTTTCTCTGGAATTTTTGAGATGCATATCATTCCGTAAATTTGTGTCTTATACGCGCACAAATGCGTTTTCCAACCGTTATACTGTCTTTTATAGTGTCGTTATCTTATTGCGACTACCGATGGCGATACCTGCCATGGTTTTCAGCAGTTACTAAGTACATAATTATCGGAATGTCACGCAAACGCACTTGTTTCTTCGTGAAGATTAAACGAACAAGTAAGAGTACAAACCTGAAACAATAGTCATCCGTTACAAGAGCAAGAGTTGCTGATAGCGCGCTTCTCAGCCATCTTCGGTACTTTGTACTTGCTTAAATACTGAATCTTGTTGAATGCTGGAATAATAAATTTGCATCAAGATACGTCCATGCGCTCTTTAAAAAATAGAATTACTACTTTACTACCGTCAAATATTTGCATAAAGTAGTGTTAAGGATACGAATAGTGCAGCTCTAATAAAATCCTTCACGGACTGAGCTCAAATGGATGAAACAAAGTGGTGGATGGTTATTGCTCTCATTTTTCCTGCATTACTCTTACTGCAAGTGAATGCAGGCAGGTACCAAGAGTAAATTTTTACCATTTTAATTGCGAATGACAAGTTGTAAGTGTAATCAAACGTATGAAGTGCAATTAATTGTTATAATTCAAATGTATGCTATCCAAACGCACCAGGAAAAAACATTTTAGACCGGATGACATTTTTTATAACCGCATAACAATTAAGTTAAAATTTTGTCTTCAGCGACCGGTCTCCAAATACGTGTAGTGAACTCTTCAGCACTTTATTAGAGTAGGGTATTTTTAAGTTCTTAATTAACAAGTTTTATTTTCCAATTTTAGAGGATGCAGCCGCTCTACCACACAGGAGCTGTCGTGCTGTCAACCAAGGTAACCTGGTGTGTAACGCTGGACACTACAGCATCCCGGACAATTTTTTCGTCCAGAAGGTGCCTTTTGCAACCCGCTCCATAGATCTGGGAGGCGGTAGGGACAATAAAACCAATGTTCCCAGTAACATTATTCAGGATTATGCTGAGCCGTTGCCGGCGAATTTGACCAGCTTAATCCGATTGAGAATGTACAGCTTTGCCGGCGCCAATGGCACCCGCCTTCCGCTGGAGAAGTTTTTGGCTAATGTCAGAGTTACACTGCTTGAATTACATATCTCATACTGCCGAATTAACTCCCTCGGGGCCGATTTCCTTAGAGGATTCCAGTATCTGCAGACTCTCAGAATATATCAGACTGACGTTAGTGCCATCGACGTGACCGCTTTCGAAACTGCATCCACTCCAGTTCTTGAGGAGATTGATCTTATGAGGAATAAAATCGCAGATTTGGACTGGACGGTGTTTAAACCAGTTGCCGAAACTCTGCGAGTACGTATACAAACAGCGAATCACACAAATGATTATAAAATGTTTAGCTTTACTACCGCGATTCTGTGAACTGTCCTGCGAACTACAGTATATGAATTAAAACATGTTTCTACTCAGCATGATCCTATCTGTTTGCTCAAAATGCCAGATATGATTTGTTTCCAGAAACTAGACTTGAGCGAGCAGTTTCGGGATATCGATGCCGGTTGGGTGTTCGAGCATAATGCATCAGTGGGAATGCAGAGAATAACCTTGAGCCAAGGTTTTACGTTTTCTCGCTTGGCGACCCTGGATTTGAGTAGGAATGCTCTTAGCTTCCTGTCGCGTGACATTCTCGATACACTGAACCCCAGCAGTGACGCGCGGTTCTCCCTGGACGATAACGCTTTCTGTCCGGTTGACCCGGCAAAATCATGCTCCTGCTGCGAAGCCCGGGACTTTGTACAGTGGATGTATGAAGTGGGTACCAGACCACAAGACGAGCGTCCCAGACGGATCAGCTTTACTTGTGTCGGGGGTTTTCATGTGTGGCAAGTATGGGGCGGCGGGCCTTCTCTGCCACAACTGAGGCAATACGAATGCTGTTCCAATGCCACAGTGGAGAACTGTCTCCCTACGACTGCGCGTACAGAGAAGCCGATCCAGACCGATGGAGGGGGCATTCAAAGAAACTATATCTCAGCCTGCTGGGTGGCATTGATTTTTTTTCTATCTAGTTACTGGACCATATTTGTAGCGTAAACGTGGAATCATAACTTACTTTCGCAGTGGTGATCGGGCGTTTCAAAAAGCGACTCTGCAAACGGTTTTGGTTTTACCGAGCGTGTACGCAAATGTTGCAGATGTATCTGCAACACGCATACATCATGCATGATTTTTCATTTCGGCATGCTAAATGTGACTGGCTATCCTGCGTTACATTAACCTTGCCTCAGGTTACAGTAATGTTATTTTTTTTACAGTAAATTCCTGCTTCCAGTTACAGTAATGTTATTTGTTTTTTATCACTTTTCCCTTCCCACTGCTATAGTTTATACTATCGCATACTTTACTTTCCTGCTACCGATTGTATCCTGCCAAAACTTTCTTTTCACCGTTTGTTTTCAACTTTGTTTGTCAAGTAGTACTCCGTTGTACTCCATAATCTCGTAGTACTCTCTCGTAGTACCAGCAAATGGGTGTTTATGTCAGCTACACAAATGCCCGACGCTTACGTTTGTCATCGCTGCAGCGTTTTCTTTGAGCATATTCACATGCGTAGACTCGAGCAAGTTTGATTGGGCAGCAGCCGTTTGATTGGCAAGTCCTTTATACAAAACAAGTTGCCTACCCATTATCGTAGGCTACGCGACCAGTTTTATCTCGGTCCTTCGAGGCAATTTTGTATACACCGGATATTACGAGTACTGTATTTCTGCGTTTGTGCGTCTCAAAAGGCCGAAGAGTAAAGTACATGCCGTAACACCTTCCCCAGTGTGTAAGACTGCCGCCATCAGGGACAAGGGATGAAAGGTGGCAGGATGCCCGGAGCACCTGCCACTGGCAACTGCCACCGGCAATGGCATCTGCCACTATGCGGTCTGGCTAGCAATAAAACATGGTAACTGTCATTGACGGAAATGCGCAAACAAGCTGCCGACGTCTGAGTGCAAATTTCAAGTGGCATCGTTAATTCAACGCCGCGCTTTCTCAAAGCAATTGTAATTTTGAGAAGCAGGTAACCTGACTGAAAAAAGCCCTGTGCGTAGCAGAAAAGCCAAAGAAGTCTGCACGGTAAAGTCGTAATCAAACGGCGAAATTCGTAATTGCAAGACGACAGTAGGTGAGCCACGATAACAAACACAATCTGAATTTCGCAAAAGTTCGGCAACGTCTTTCATCTTGATATGATGGAAGATCGATAAAGAAGAACAAGGTCACAAATATACATATAGAGCGTTAGAATCTGTAGGCAGTAGGAGCGACAAAAAACTATAACGGTACATAACAAATACTCAGCGCAAGATGCTCGTTGTCAGCCAGCGTTACCAGCGCCGCTTGTTTCCTCGGAGTTGTTTTGCTAGTCAGTCTGCGGGCGGAGTTATGAGCCTGTGCTGGCACATCAAGGCGGCCCCATCATACAATCAGCGTCAGTCATTCGGCTAACATTGCGCTTCATAAACATAAAGTTATCGTAGACAATTTTGTATCATATACCATAAAATGTTTCAGCAGTCAGTCTTGGATTAAAGGAAGTATCTGTACATATGTATGTATCTCTACATATATACGATTTCTCTCACAAGTCCATGCCGTAACACCTTCCCCAGTGAGTACAACTGCCATAATGCAAGCGATAAATAAGCGCTAATTAACTCACGCGCTTGTTACTCACTAGCCGGCGATCACTTACAGATAACTAATGTAACTAACTGTAAAGAACTTTTTACTGTACTGCCACTACTATATAGTACTGTATTTTTAGCGGTCACTTCAGTGCGCCTTAAAATCCTGCCGGACTTAAAACGCCTGGGTAGTACTTCATGTTGTTAACGTTGAGTCGTTGACCCATATCATAACAGCATATCCGTGTTATGGCTATAAGCATAATGCAGACCGCAATTTAAGACATCAAAATTAATTTTTACTAGAATTTGTGGGATGCGTAGCACTTTCGTAAATTATTTCATGTCCTGATACATGCACAATGGCGTTTTCCAATGGTTAAACTGACTTTTGTTATGTCGTTATCAATTGCAACGGTTAGCTATACTGTGCTCGTACATAAATAATGGAATTCAGATTACGCGGACAATTAAGAATGCAAGCCTTAGACAAATGCTATATAAGAGAACAATTGCCATCTGTTAATATAGGAGCAGGAGTTACTGATAGCACACTTCTGAGGAACCTGCATAATTACATAAATACTGAATCGTGCCATATGGTGGTATTCCATATATGTTCGTTCGCTTTGTAAAAAGTGCAAAAATAACCAAGGTCCATTATTTCCCTATTGTCCAGAAACAGACTAGCGCGGTTCCAACAAAATCCACGACGGATTCGGCAAAAATGGACGTCACGAAATGGTGGATGGTTACTGTGCTAATTTTTCCTGCATTATTCCTTATCCAAGTGAAGGCAGGCAAGTAATGAACTGATGAACAAATCAGTAGTAAATTTTTACTCCTTATATAATAGTGAATAACGATATCTTTTTGGTATGGTTATTATCAAATGCAAGTGCAACAAATTGTTCTAAATCCATTTGTGATTTCTAAGCACACCAAAAGAAGGCTTTTGGAGGATGGCATTTTTTATGTCCGCAACATTCCTGGGCTGAATTTTTCATATCCTCAGCGACCAGCTTATAAATACTCGTATCTGCACGAAAGTACCAATACTGTTATGTAAGTTTTTAATTAGCAACTTTATTTTGCAATTTTAGGGGCTGCAGCCACTCTACCACACAACAGCTGCCGTTCCTCTAGCACTCCAAGCGAAGGTTGGCTGATGTGTACTGCTGGAAATTACAGCATCCCAGACAATTTCGACGTTCAGAAGGTGCCACTGACAATTAACTCCATGGATCTGGGAGGCGGTAGAGACAATACAACAATTGTGCCGAATAACATTATTCAGGATTATGCTGAGCCGTTGCCGGCGAATTTAACCAGCCTAATCCGATTAAACATATACAACTTTGCCGGCGCCAACGGGACCCGCCTGCCGGTGGAAAAGTTTTTGGCCAATGTCAGGGTTACGCTGTTAGAATTAGAGATGTCATACTGCCGTATTGGGACCCTCAGTGCTGATTTCCTTAAAGGATTCGAGAATTTGCGGTTGCTCACAATATTCCAAAACGATATTAGTTCTATCGACCTGACCGCTTTCGAAACTGCATCCACTCCAGTTCTTGAGGAGATTGATCTTATGAGGAATAAAATCGCAGATTTGGACTGGACGGTGTTTAAACCAGTTGCCGAAACTCTGCGAGTACGTATACAAACAGCGAATCACACAAATGATTATAAAATGTTTAGCTTTACTACCGCGATTCTGTGAACTGTCCTGCGAACTACAGTATATGAATTAAAACATGTTTCTACTCAGCATGATCCTATCTGTTTGCTCAAAATGCCAGATATGATTTGTTTCCAGAAACTAGACTTGAGCGAGCAGTTTCGGGATATCGATGCCGGTTGGGTGTTCGAGCATAATGCATCAGTGGGAATGCAGAGAATAACCTTGAGCCAACGTTTCACGTTCGCTCGCTTGACGACCCTAGATATGCGAAGGAATGCTCTCAACTTCCTGTCACGTGACGTGCTCGATACGTTGAACCCCAGCAGAGACGCGCGATTCTCGTTGGACAACAACGCTTTCTGCCCCGTTGACCCGACGAAATCATGCTCCTGCTGCGAAGCCCGGGACTTTGTACAGTGGATGTATGAAGTGGGCACCAGACCACAGGACGAGCGTCCCGTGCAGATTAGTTTTACGTGTGTCGGAGGTTTTCATGTGTGGCAAGTATGGGGCGGCATTCCATCGTTGCCGCAGTTGGGCCAGTACGAATGCTGCTCTAATACTACAGTGGAGAACTGTATCCAGACAGACCCGCCAAGTCCCGGAGGTGGCGTTCAAAGAAACTATATCTCAGCCTGCTGGGTGGTACTGATTTTTGTTCTTTCTGGTTATTGGACCATAATTACAGCGTAAATGTGCAATTAGCAGCTTACTTTCGCAAAAAAATGATGATCGGCACGTTTTAGAGAGCGATTATGCAAACAATTATATTTTACCGAGCGTTTGCGCAAACGTTGTAGATGTATCATACGCCTGCAGCACGCATATTGTACATCATGTATGCAATGATTATTAATTTCGGCACGCTAAGTGTGACTGGTTATCCTTCATTACATTAAAACTGCGTCAAATTGCAGTAACGTTAATTGGTCTTGTCACGTTTCCCTTCCCACTTTTATAGTTTATACAATCGCGTACCTTACTTTCTGCTACCGGTTTTTCCCTGCCAAAATCTTCTGTTTACTATTTGTTTTCAACTTTGTTTGTCAAGTAGTACTGCGTATTTTAGTAGTACTCTTGCTCACATTGATTTTTGTTCTGTCCATCCTGTTGTTTATGATACAGTAAAACCCCTCGTTACATGCACCCTTATACAACATTCACCTCTTTATTATATACGTGTGGCTGGGAACCGGACTGTTTGGCGGATTATAACATAGGGGCAGTTCTCTATATAACATTCACCCCTGTAAAAGTATAACATACACCTTTCATGGAACCGCTGACAGTATATCTTAACATATAGTCAACCCCTGCGTTACATACAGCTGGCTGAGTAAGCCATGTATGTAAGCCAGCTGTATTTGGAGGAATAAAATGAATTTATAAATAAAACATCAGCGGCACGGTGCTTAGTTGCTGTTGACCGACATATAGCCAGCCCCCTTGGGGCGTGTTAATTACCACCCCCAGGGGCAGTGCCCTTGTGTAACATACACCTCTTTACAACATTCGGAGAGCTAAGAACGGAGGGTGTACGTAGTAGAGAGATTTTACTGTAGTTGTGGTTAAAACAGTACTCGTAGTTTAATCTAGCATTGGCTTAATGGCACTGCACACATTCTGAAGGTGATTAAAGCGACCGTCGAATGACGCGTAGCAAAGCGAATCGCATTGATTGAACGCAATAAAAAAAATCGTTGCCACCGGCAAAGGGTGCTTATACGATGCTCATGGTTATCATCGCTGCGGCTTTTTCATTGAGCATATTCACATGCGTAGACTCGAGTAAGCTTGATTGGCACGTCCTTTATACAAAACGAGTTGCCTACGCATTATCCTAGGCCAGGCGACCAGTTTCATGTCATTCCTTCGAGGCAATTTTGTGTACACCGGATATCATACCTGCGTATGCACATCTCAAAAGCCCGAGGAGATAAAATTTTAAACGTTAGCGCTAACTTCAACTTCACCTGCTGTTGCAATGATGTCTTCTTAATTTTTTCACAAGTTTTGACACTAAGATCGGCAAATTTTAAAAACGTACTGGAGCAGTCTCATGTAAAAAGAGGTGCTAAAGGTGGTTGCACTTTCACGTTAATGTCCTTTTTCGTCTATATATTTAGATTAGATTGTCAGATCCGCTGTCAAACGCCGAATAATAAGCCGCTGTAACGTAGCCGTATTAAAGTTGATAATGGTTTTGCGCTATGCTTTTATCATTCTGTGGCCCCATATCTGTACAATTTGGTGTCTTCCTGCTGCATGGCCACACAACACCGTTCCGTTTGAATTTAGCATCTTCTTTGGTAAGAAGTCTGGATGACTTGTTGACTGCGCTTACAATGGCGACAAATTCTACTTTGCAGATCAGTCCCAGAAGGAACATATACTGGCTTACATGGAGATCATCTCGCGGGCTTCCGAAGGTTGCGTGAAATTTGTGAAGCGGACAACGCAAAAGGACTTCATTTTCTTAAAACCGGCTTCGCCTGACAGGTGATTTCTCCTAAAACTCTCGGGTAATTCTTTTCCTGGAGAATCAGTTCAGTGACTTTTGCCAAATAGTTGGTTAAGGTGGACGGTAGGACGCCAAGGCGGGCAGCAGGACGTAGGGTTCGAAAATGATTGTCTGTGGAAGCCAGCGTGTGTGCAGCGTGAACTCATGCATGTATTAGGATTTTACAACGAGCCCCAGAGGTTTGATCGCGATTATTACGTCATGATTAACCCTGGCAATATCGTAGCGAGTAAGGCTGCGGTGGCTTACGTGAAGAATATTACAATAGTTCTGACTTTTTCTTTACGAAATGCTTAGCTAAACAAGATCAATTTCGCCGTGTCCCGCCCGACGAAATGGAAACGTATGGCCTGTCATATGATTATCACTCGGTTATGCAACTTGCATCCACTGATTATGCGATAAATCCGTTTGCGCCAACGATTTATATTACCGTATCCGGCACAAAGCTTTCTCCAAATGATCAACTGAGCTCGCTGGATGCGGTCCGACTGCAAAGGCGGTGTGTCGCTGGATCCGCTTCCTCATCGTCCATTTCGCCAGGTTCACCATCTATATCGTCAACGACAACGTCCAGTGCTGTAGGTAGGGTACAGAACCATAAAACACTGTATTTTGTCAACCATTAAATTGTAAGTAACCCTTTTCGCACTTTCATGCATCGAAGTCAAAGTTCGCGGTAACAGTTATTATCCTGCCTTAAATTTAGCAAGCCCATGTGTTTCACGGGCCATGTAAATAATTACAGTAATAATGTTGGCACTTAATGACGTGAAATATATTGCAGACACAACTTCTACAACTGGATCGTTTCCAAAGATTGCTCAAATCGTCTCTATTGAAACGTCCACAGGTACAGCACAAAACTTTCCAACTGCACCTATATTACTATACCGAATTAAACGACTGGTGGCTGACGTTCTGTTGCGCATCTTGAGATCAGCTGAAGTGTCAACGTTTTCTCTTGAACAGGAAACTCCACCAATCACACAGCAACAGCGCTTGCACTGACGTCATCGCGCAATACTATCATCGTGCGTGCCTGTTTAGGAGCCATAATTCCGGCCGCAGCCATCGCCGTTGTCATCTGTCTGGTGGTTATCTACCGTAAACGCCGCCTTAGTCAGAACAGCATGCGTAAAATCTTTACCATCACCATCAGACGTCGCAAATCCGCAGTTTCACCCATCATTCCTCTTCATGATTTATCGGCTGTGCAGTGCGATATACTGCAGTTGGACCCGGTTGTTTTGCAGCACATTGAATTGCTCGAAATACCGCTCGCAAATTTGGAAATCAGTAAGAGTAGTTACGCTGATGCCGTGTTTGTAAAAGCAGCGTTGGAAAAAGCTTATACATTATTAGTATACGATAAATCAGACTGTTTCCCGTTGCTTTGTGTAGCAGAGAAAATTTTGGGCAAAGGTGCGAACGGCATTGTCAGAAAGGGTGTGGCCAAATGTCTTCATGGTCAGCCTGATGTAACGGAAGTTGCTATGAAAACCGCCAAAAACAGAAGCGATAGCGGCCAGTTCCGGCAATTAGTCCAGGAATTGCGGATTATGGCGGATGCCGGACGTCATTTGAACATTGTTAACCTGCTCGGAGTGGTGATGAAAGGTGACTATCAACATTTTTTCGGATATAATAGCGTTGCGCTGGAAAAAGGTCACCATGTTATTGTTAGCTCACGTTAATCATTAGGCGAGATGATGTTGCTAATGGAGTACGCCAGATTTGGTTCGTTGCTAACGTATCTCAGAGCACAGGACCGTGCGTATTATTACAACCATACCGCTTCGGATGGACGCCTCCTTCCTTATAGCGACGAAGAAGCGGGACGTCTGCAGAAGACGGCAGAGGCCCAGTGCCAGTCGCGATCGGAAGATACCCAAAAGCAGATTCTATCGACAAACGCATTGCTAAAACTGGCATACCAAAGCAGTCGTGGATTGGAGTACCTCAGCAGTCGTTCCATAATACATAGAGATGTAGCAGCCCGCAACGTTTTGATTTGCGATGGACTGGTGGCAAAGATTGCCGATTTCGGATTAGCCAAGCATGAAAAGCAAGATGGTCCACGTGATCTGCAAGTACGGATAACATTCACCTATCTGTTTAACAAAATCCACCATTAGTGAACTAGTGGTCGGCCTTTACGTAGCATGATTTAAAAATGCCCACAATCTACAGATATTACACTACGGCAAATTCCTTTTTCCCACGCTGCATTTTATTACAAGTAACCTGCACTTCAAATAAGTACGTTCACCTCGCTTTGATTTGACACGAATATACAGGAAGTGTTGCCGGTGCGCTGGATGTCGCCAGAAGCCATTGGGGAACGGACATTTTCTACCAAATCGGACGTATGGTCGTTTGGCGTTTTGCTATGGGAGATGTTCACTTTGGGTGAAGTTCCGTATGCGGATGTGGAAATAATACGGAAACACATTCCCGAGTTTTTGCTATCCTTGAGGACTGGATTACGGTTAAAGCAATCGGTATTCTGTCCTACACTTATGTAAGAGTTCATGACGCAATAACTGGTCAGTGGTCAGACACAGTATACCGTGTGCTTACTCTGCCGCACCAACTATACAGTATACTGTGTACAGTGTATGCCCAATTTGGTTCTATTACGGTATATGTATGTAATAATTCTTTAGTTTACAGCGCTTGAGGTATTGTAAACACTGTCACAATATTTTTTATCCAGTTACGCCTTGATGACGGACTGCTGGAAGCTGTTGCCGGATGACCGCACAGATTTTGTTCGTCTAACCGAAGATTTGCGCAGTATTATTGATGCGGATTCAGCCGAGCACTATCTTCTGCTAGACGATATCTACGCCCAGTACAATGCCACATACCTTAACCTTCTTTCAAAAACTACGAAAACAATAAATAGACATGATGTTGTTGCCAATCGGAAAGACGGCGGCCCCGACCCCAAGCGCGGGATAACTTTATAGCTGACCTTTAAGCCAGTTGCATTCCATTGCCTCATTCGCACAAACCTGCCTGGTCGAACAGACGCCTGTTTTCTGAGTTTTCTTTGTGTGTCATTTCTTGTGCTGAATAGTGGTCTCACTGCAAAAGCGATATCAGCGAATCAAAATCACAGAAGCGGAAGCTAATCAGTTTGCCAAATTAGAGCGGGAAAAAGTAAGGTTTTCTAATTGTTTTGTCGGTTTCGACGGGTTGGCAGTGTGAATGCCTGCTCTCACCAGCTTGCCGCGAGCGTATGACTGTAGGTTTCTCGAAAGCTGGCCATGCTGTCTGTGAATCTGACTTTGGTTTTTATGCGTTCTTTCTCGTGCACAAGACAATCCAAACGCTGACAAACTGAGCTTATGATCCGGTGTGTGTTCTGTGATTCTGGCAGATATGCAATCAGCCGCAGAGGCACTGCCACACGCCTGTGTCCGATAAAACAACTATCAAAAACAGCTAGATGTACGGATGGAGACACCATCTTCAACTAAAAAATCATGTTCCTTGAGACACCGAAAATTTCGACAACATCTTTCGTCTAAGAAAAATGAAGATGAACAACCTAACCTGGCAACCGGTTAGCGTTACGTTATTTAAAGTCCTACTGAATGAATTTAATAAACTTAAAAATTCTGTCGCTTTACAGTGCCGAAAGAGCTGACGCCACGCCTTCCAATGGAGAAATTCACAGTCATTGTAGGAGGGACACTCACGTACAGATTAGCGGCTGCCACACTCGGACGGAAGGGGCTGATTTCATTCGAGGATTCCATAAGTCAGAGTGGTCACCTTCGACGAGAATGACATTAGCGCCATCGATGTTACCGCTTTCGAGACGGGCCTCTGGGCTCTGTCGCCCCGGTTGATTAACCTTAGGAGAAACCTGATTGGCCGTTAAGATTGGGAGGTGTTTGCACCGTTTGCAGAGTCTTTGAAATCAATTTGGCTTTCATTTTTAGGCCCTCTCACTGTACACCTTAAAGTGCTCTGTAAGTTAAAGCGCGATTTCGGTTTAAACAAAGCAGCCTGTAAGGAAATCTCTGGGTTGCTTTACGATACAGAGTACAGACTACCGAACAACCATCACTTTGCACTCAGCAAGAAACCATTAGCTGAAAACAAAACGCACTTCAAGTTACAGAGCACTTTAAGGTGTGCAGCGAGAGGGCCTATTAGATCTTGTGTAAAAACGTAAATTATACAAGTCTTGTTTTTGAATGCTCTCCTGACCGGAGGGGTTGACGAGCAAGTCGATGTCAAGCTGCCCGTACGAATCAGTTGTAAAGCGTTTAAAATTCTATTGGTTGGTCGCATACGGACGGGGCTCTTCCATTGAATAGAAGTATAGCAGTACTCGTATAATTATAATTATCTGTATGTTGTTCGAATGCCACAGTGGACTGTATTACCAAATAATTTTTAATATACAGTACCGGTATTTATTAAAGAGATTGATTCAAGCTCCGTTATGCAGGATTGCATAATTATACGATAAAAAGAACATCAGCTATGATAAGTATTGCAATACTTACCCTGACAACTCAATAAAGAAAAAATCGAAAATCGAAAACGAAAATCGAAAATCGAAATTCTCGAAAATAAAGAAAATCGAAATACAGCAATGACAAAATAATCGAGCCACCTCCCAGTCAAGTCAATGCACAGTTATAGACAACGGAACCGACAAGGAAGCGCCGACACGAATTTATAGTTTCCGGCCAGCTTTGAAAGATACCTTTGGTATAAGCGTGTAGAGTGGTTGCAATAATATGAATAATGTGCCCTAAAGCAACTCCGGTATATGGTACTTCAGGTGTTCGCATCCTGCTTAGATATTTGCTTTACGAAATCTGATGAGCTTCCTGGTGGATATACCGTATATAACGTGGTTGCTTACTCTACAGTAGCTAAAACTATGCGTATAATTTTACAACCTAACGACTGAATATCACATGGTTCGTAAACATCTACGCGACTCTCGTCAAGCGTTACACAAAAAATATGCATCAGAACGATCAGATTATTACTGCGTGCATTTTCCTCGTATTGCTAATTGTACAAGTGATTTCAGGCAAGTACCTAACCTGATTTCCTTAATAGCTAATACCAAACTGAACCCTGAACTTGCTGAACGAAATGGCTGGCTCGTATATTGCTGCAGGCTTTGCAGTTGCTGAAAATGTAATTCAACGAAAGGTGTCTCCTTATGTGTTTGGGCATTTCGTTCAGCAATCAGTTTTCGAATAAACCAAAAATAAAAAACTGCACTCTGATGCACTCATACACTAATGGCTGATAGTATCTGTGAATTTTATTTCTTTTGCAGCCACTGGGCCTCACATCAGCTGCTACTGGGGTTATTATGTGTTGCAGTGTACCGAAGGAAACTACAGCATCCCAAACAATTTCCTCGTTCACAAGATGCCGCTTGAAACCCGTCAGCTGGAGCTGGGAAGGCCATCGTTAGAGGGCGCGCTGCATTACAGCATTATTGAGGATTCTGCTGATCCCCTGCCGTCTAATTTAACTAGACTAATGCGACTGGATCTGCACAGCTTTGCTGGTGCCAATGGAGCTCGTTTGCCAGTGGAAAAGTTTTTGGCTAACGTCAAGGGGACGTTGTGGGAATTACGTATTCAATACTGCCGCATTGTGTCCCTCGGTGCCGATTTCCTTCGAGGATTCAAAAAACTGGAAATTCTCTATTTAGTTCAAAATGACATTAGTGTTATCGAAGCGACCGCTTTCGAAACCGGGTTCACTCCCCTTATCGGATGGATTCACCTAACGGGGAATCAGATCGCCCATCTGGACTGGACGGTGTTTGCACCAGTTGCCAAATCTTTAAAAGTGCGTACGCAAACAAACAGGCATATAATTTTTTCAATATCTTTTAATTTTTAATACCGATTAGTCGTTTTGATTGAATTACTTGCAGGCCTGACGAGGCCAAAAGCCGGTTTTTCCTGTTTGATTCTTTAATGGTCCGACTAATGCAGCCATTTAGCTATATCGTGCAGTCGTCTTTGCATGGCGTATTGTCTTTGTCGTAAAATGGTAAGAGTACGTATTGTTATTTTCTTTTCAGAATCTGTACTTAGATGATCAGTTTGGGGATATCAGTGGTCGGATGTTCGCTCATAATGTATCAGTGGGAATGCAGACAGTAACCTTAAGCCAACGCTTTACATTTTCGCACTTAAAGTTCCTGGATTTATCGAGAAACGCTCTAAACTTCTTGTCACGTGACATTCTGGACACGTTGAACACCGGCTACTACGCGCAGTTTTTATTCGACGACAACGCTTTTTGTCCCATTGACCCGACACATTCGTGTTCCTGCTGCGAAGCCCGGACCTTCGTGCAGTGGATGTATGAAGTCAGCACCAGACCAGTTTTGCAGATCAGTTTTTCGTGTGGCGGGGATGTTCCTAGTAAGTGGGAAGCGGGCAACATATACGGCGTCGTGACTTCACTGCCACCACTAAACCAGTACGAATCCTGTACCAATGCCACAATGGAGAACATTGTCCAGTAGAAGCAGATATCCAGTTCTCAAGGTGGCGCACAGAGACACCTTTCTTTTTATACATAGTTACTGAACCATGTGGCGTAGCAGTTTTGAAGTTATTTTGGCAAAGTCTGGACTCTGATTGTGACCGCTGAAGCAATACATTTGGCCGAACGGTCTAAACACGCTGCATGTGATTGTGCACATTATTCTTCTTTCGGTACTGAATGTGATTAGCCTGCATTTTACTAACATTTTATTTAATCTCTAAGAATTACAACGGTGGTCTGGAATACCATGATTTAATTGGTAGTATATCTTCCACATTTCGTGGGCGATTAGAGCAACCGTGGGATAACGAAGCTCACAAGAATTTGCTTTAATTTCCCGTACACAAAATTGGTTCTCCGGCAAATGATCGTTAATGATGCTTATACAGTTAATTAGTCTCGAAATTCGAACCTGATTTCGCTTCACATCTTTCATTGAAAACATGGGTTCTGCAGATTTGATGGGTCAGTCTCGTTCATCACAAAACGAGTGTTTTCGTCGGTTATGCGGCCAGTTGTCAGCTCGTGCCTTCCAAGCAGCTTTGTATAATTTGGATTTTGTGCTGGTAATTGCGAATGTGTCTCCAAATCCGCAGAAATTGCAGTATCAGTACTCTATAACCTGCTTCCTCCATTGGAATACGCCTTCCTAGCTTAACAATATTTGGCACTACAATGGGTACGTTTTCAATGCATATGTTCGGTACATAATTCGGTACTCCTGCGCTCGGTACTGTGTTCGGTACTCCTGCCGCCTGCGCATAGCTTTGACCATAATTATGTACCGAACATTTGCACTGAAAACAGGTCACTTCGCATAATTATAGTCATTTATAGGCACCGTACTACATACCTGCCATTAAGACTCCAGTAGAACCGACTTCAACGGAGCGACTACAAGTACAAGGATATTTCCACAGTCCACAGTCATGTTAACCTTCTTATGGTTCATATATATCGTGCCTATGTCGTGTTGAACATGGATAGAATTAGAACGAACTGACTGTGTAATAAAGCCGTAAAACGAAGTCTGAAGTGCTGGTTTTTCGGGTGAAAATTTCGCCGTCAGTCTTCGAGTATCCAGTGCAATGTGTGTCTTAACGTCTGTAGAACCCACCCGACAACTACAGGTTTTTTCGGGTTTAAATCAGCTATGATAATCTTATATCCTGTACAGTCTACACATTTTGATGTTCCTTACAAGCACAGAGTATAAGTCGCTTGACGGAATTTGAGAATCTACTGTAGCACGTTCTTGCAGCAGCGCTGATTACGTACAGAGAAAACGTAATCAACGAGAAAACGTAATCAGCGTACTTTGTACAACGAAGTAACGCTTTTTTTATTAACTTTTCCACGATCAAGGTTAAACATTAGGTACGCAGTTAGGGGATTTCACAAAGCAGCGCTAGCGTTAATCTTATCGTTAAGTTCGCACTTAATGTACACTACATCTTTGGCGTTTTTCCCAAACAACTGACACTTCCATGCGCACCGAAAATCTACACCTGTGGGCGCTGATACTCTGATGATTTATAAATGATGCATTTTCAGAACGGGAGCATGTCGTGATCGGTCAGTGGGCGATGCCCGGTGCAGACGATCCGGAGAGCGTACAATTTCCGTGTGAACGCCGCGGTCACCATGCTCTCCTACCATAGTGCGGGAATCGCGGCGCATCTGCCAATTCCTACAAACAGCGCAGGTGTTTTATTTTCCATCAAATTCAACAAAAACACCTCGCAACACACAGACGCTCAGCGGTGCTGCTTATAATTTAACATCCAAATAAGTATTTTGCTGTGTATCACTTAGTGAAACTCACTTAGTGAAACGTCACTCACTTAGTGAAATTTGTACACATGTACAGTTAATTAAGGAAATTAACATTGCAGCTTTTCATAAAGTGCACCGGTAAAAACATTAACATTTGTCGTGAAAAAGATCTGACTAAAACAAAACAAGGCCTAGGTTCACACGTCAGACTGGTGTGTTGTCCTCCGTGATTCTTTTGTAGCCGGTCTACAATTGTCAGTTTGTAAATATCAGCATCGCTGTTTATACGGTGCTGAAATTTGAGCATCATCAAAGATTTTTTTAAATTAAAGGGAACACAAAAGAAAACAGAAATTTCTTTCTGTACTTATATAAAGATACATCAAAGACGATATTAATCCCATTTACCAGTAGAAGTATTACCACAAAAAGATAATTTGTTACATATACGTATACAATTATTGAAAAACGGTCTCACTATAACTTATCGAAACATATTAAATAAAGTAAATGCGGAATTGAGTTTCCTTAAAAAAAGATTTTCACCAAAAAGGTTTAGGATAATAAAATATACCAAATGAATATTTAAACAATTTCGAATAATTACTGTCGTTTATATGCATAAATATATTTTGTACATTTGCATTTCATAAGTGAGTATTTAAAAGTTAAATATGCCTTTTAGTCATATTTTATGTTTGTATAAATTACAACAAATATGGTATATCGGCATTTGATCGGCATTATTGGGTGAATACGTGAGTAAGTATGTTATTTATCCGTTACCTTCCGGGACGTTTTTCTCGCGTCACAATGGAGACTTTGAGCGGCGAGGAGGGCGGTATAATGGCGGTCGTGGAGTACATCGGCGGCACAACATCAGATCCCGAATCAATATCCGAACCGGAAATAATACTGGGAGCCTGTGTTCCGGTGGACCGCGGGAAGAAGTATTCGTTGTTGGTGACTAGCGTCGGCACTTGCGTCGCAATGGAAACTGGCCCATGGTCCTTGGACGACACGCTGGACGTCGGCAAGAAGGAGTCCTTTTCGGATGCGGTCGGTGATTCCTCGATGATCCGCATGGTATCGCGATCCGGCAACGCCCAGTGGACGGTACCGTGACCGGTAGATAACCCGCTTTTCCGCCTGTAGAATTTAATACGAGAAATATGACGAACTGCGTAGTGTGGACGTTGTATAATGATGAAAGGTCACCTGGACAAGAGGCCGCCGGGTGTGTCCCACTGTTTGGATACCCGCGGCAAAAGACTGGCGGCGGGGATGCCGTCGATGGAGTGGACGGAGGAGGCACGACGGCTGCCGGCTGGTCCGCTGACCGACATGCGTTGCTGGTTGAGCGGTACCCTGTAAAAATATAAATTTACATCGGAGTATGGTGGAAAACGGTCATTCTAAAGTTCTTCAACTAGAATATAAATTGAAGTTTTTGAGTTGTACAGCTTGATATAGGCTCCAATAGCATCGTTAACATGTATCTTCAGACTGCACTACTTTTACATATGAAGACAACGGAATAGCGTAGTACAAAGGCATACGCCCTCTCACCAAATCCAGTTTACAGTGCTGTAACTGCCCATATGAGAGAATTATGGCGATATTGTGACTATAAAGCTGCAGATTGCGAAACATTTTTTTACAGCTTGGGCTACTTTACTAAGAGTAAAACAGTGGGGTTTTCCATAAATCATGATAAATTTATCGTTATTCTTATTTGAAAAACTTTTTTATACCGCTGAACAAGATTAAAACAACGTATTGCTAATCGGTCATAGTCGATATGCCGCTGTTCCGCTGGTCTCTTTATGAGAAAAACCTATAAAACGTACGTAAATTCCATGGTAGATCCAAGGTCAGCCAGATCACTGCTGCGCTTATCATCGGCTGCCGCAATGGTGTACGGCATCTGGACCTGTGTTTGTCCCCAGAATTTATCCTTGGATAGAGATGGTCCGTTGTGATGCCTGTTAATTTGCACGGTGTTTAGCAAACAGTGACAAACGTATCGTTGTAATACTGAGCTACATTTTGCGCAAATTTTCCGGTTTACGTACATGTCATCCACAATACAGAAGCCGACTTGTGTATGCCGGTCAATAAACCAGTTAACCTGATGAAAAAAAGTTCATAAACAGGAATATCATGACTTGGAAGGATCCGTCATAGCAGCTGTCTACCTCAAAATCGTCATCGTCTTCACCCCAAGGATTAATCAAGGTTTCCGCCACTTTTAGCCATCCAACGTAAAATATGAACTAAAAAATGCAGCCACAGTAAATAATAAATTGGTATAAGCTAATTTAGTCGGACTATGTATGGGTTTGCAAATTTGATTGTAACCATTTTCTTTTAAAGAAGTCAGAATATAAATTCCGATTTAAGTTTTTTATTGCAGAAGCACTAAAGCAAGGAATGTGAATATGCAAGTATCGTAGTGTGTTTGGCAGGTATGTATATAAAAGGCCATATGCATCGTTCTTCGTCTCGCAGTAAAGGTAACCATTATATTTACGACTGGATTTTTTAATTTTACAACATTTACAGTAATTAATTATCAACTTGGGAATTACCCTGCAATTAAGCATAAATCTCTGTCATTGCTGTTCCCACCTGCAGTATACTGAACACAGGCACATACATATCGAACCCGTGACCTTTAATCTTCTGCTCCGGATCCAAAAACTGCCGCGCGAAAATACATCCCAGGAAGTAAGTGTATACCGCCAGCGTGACAACCTAAGAAAAACAAACACTGATCGCACCGCGGGGTTATGATGACACCAGCACACACTCCACGCTACAATAATATTATGCCGGCGCGCGTCGTGATCGGCTGATTAAGTTATGTTACGACGTACCTGCGTGTAGCTGACGGGTATGCTGACCCAGTCATAGGCAAACATCTTCCCCATCAGCGAACGGAACACCAGCAGCTCGTCCATGATCTGCTTGACCCCGACGCCGGTGGGGTCATTGATCAGGCCCTCGGCGCGGGCCTGCTCCAGGGTCTGGGTGAACCAGACAAAGGGCACCCAGAACTTGCCGTACTGCAGTTTGATGTCGTTCATATTCTGCAGTTCTTCTTTGGTCAGCAGACCGGCTTCCACCATGTGCTCCAAGGAGGGGAAGCGTTTTTTGCAAACCAAGCTGAGAGTGCGAGTGAGAAGGATGGTGGTGGCTTGTAAATAGCGCGTCAATTGACGCCTATACAATAAGCCGCCAAATACATAAGCACATGAAAGACTTTTTCACTAACGGTTAAATTGTTTGAGTGGTGAAGTTTCGTTTTTGCGGGTCTTACCGGTACATTTTGGATCGTTCGTCCTCTCCAGTGATGTAGAAAATTATTAAATAAGTCATCCTATAGTAAGAGCGAACATAATTTGCGAACTATCTACACAGCTATCTGCACATAATTTTGCTGACAATTTTATACAGTAATTGATGGCGCAAGCTGTTTAGTGTTTAGTATAACACACTAGAATACTCTTCGTGCGTTAACGTATGCTAAAGCGTAGTTAAGTGGCTACAACGCGGTTAACAATTAGCAATCAGCACTACTTCTGAATCAAATATGCAGATTTCAGTATACATTTTTGATTTCTTGGGCATAATGGAAGATTTGCAACACTGATTTCAACTTTTAAACACATATTTCCAAAACAAATGTCTGTTTATAGTTTCTACCTGTCGGGCCATGGATAACTGATCAGCTGCTCCCACCAACGCGACACCACAAACGTCACATAAAATCCCAGTACAAACGTTAACGGCACATGGTTCATGGATTCTTCGATATGCACACATAATTTCTCGAAAACCCTATAAAGAAACCATTAATTTTATTTTTGATTCATTTCAAACCTTGAAGGATCCCACCTTCTTTGGTCATCCGTTAAGGCCAGCCGGTACACGCAGCTCATAAGCGCATAACAAAAGGCGTACAGGAGAAATTCCTTGTACATTAATTTATAAACACTCCCGCGCCATCGCAGGAGTAAACGCGGAAAACCGGCAAAAGTAGCATTGGCTACTTTTAGCTGATAGGAGATCGTCATGATGGATCGAGCAGGCTGCCAACGAATGCCAAATGAAAAGTACTGAAACACCGATGCCGGCGACTGACTTTACAGGGATAAGAAAGGTCAAAAAAGTGATCGCATCGCAAGTAGATAATCGGGAAGTAAATTAAAAAATTTTAAGGATTATTCCATCAAGTCGAAAATTTTAACAAGCGATCAAACTGCGCAAACTTGCGTACAATGATAAACGAAGCGGAGACCCTGTGTTGTTGCCATTGCACTACGATGTATATTGTGTCTCAATAAATGAAAAATATTATTAGCGTCGAAGGGTAAAATTATAAAATCATCACGCAAACATTCGCAAAATAAACATGGTGGTTGATTAATAAGAAATTCAAGCGCTCCTCGATAGATGTAAATTACCAGAGCAATTGGCAACCGTTTGGAACGCACAGCGCAGAACAAACCGATCGTTAACACACAGGACAACAACAGTGCCTATTGTCCGTGTATGGCGCGGCAACTGTTATTGGATAAATATCACTGATTTATGTTAACTGTGAAAACATTTCACCCGTCCACTGTTTACCTTCTCCATGCTCGACAACTGTTTAATGACAAAATCAAAAATGTCCTCGTACGCGTAATGTATATTCTCGCTGCCGGTAAAGGCGCTAAACGCGCGCCAATTGCTATTGTTTGACTCCATAACGCATTGACCAAAGGAATAATGTGCGCATCAGCATAATTTGCCTTGTTGATTTTCTGCTCCTGATAATCTTTTCTTTTTCAACAACTGCTATTACCCTATCAATTCGTGTTCATTCGCGGACAATCAACCTGCTGACAGGGAGGGATTTTTTCATCGTCCTGGTGTGCATATATACGGCGAGCCGGACGGCTGATTATCAATATGCCGCGTTTTGCGTGTATGCGGTTCCGGCATTCTGGCATGCGCGGTAGTGTTCCTTCCAGGTGCAGCCCAGCGTTGTCTGTTTGTTTTTCGACATGACTGAAGAATTTTCCGCTCACACGAGGATTATCTAATAAAATACGGCGTGGAAAATATTCAACGGAAAACTTCGACTCTGTATCTGTAAAGATAATCCCACTTTCACACCCCTAATTCGTTTAGCATAATCCAATTTTTCCCTATAACACGTTTCTTCACACCCTCAAATTGCTATGTATAACGATAAATATTGCCAAAACAAAGAAATAAAAACAACAGCGCTATATATTGAAAAGTTGTTAACTAAAGTAAATTATAATATACAATTATGAAAATATTTAATAGTGATTTATGGACCATAAAATAACCAGAGCGGAGTACAGTCATGATACCGGCATTACAGTTAAACAGTCGAAGTTAAACAGTTAAACAGTTTTTATTAAACAGTCGAAGTGTTTCTCTTTCGATAGCACTTTTTTTCTCCAAACAGAACAAAATCTCTTTTCATAATTGTTCGAATAAACAATAACAACGCAGCAAAAGTTCCGTAATCCTATTCAGCGCTACATCAGGCACAATTATAACAAATTCCAAAACATACTGGTAGTTGTAATTGGTCACGGACAGCAGTACTGTAACTAAGTGAAACGATTCCATCAATTGATAATAAATGCGAACATTTTGGCACATCAGTTACGCGATAGTTTAATTATTAAGAAAAGCTATTGCATACAAATAACAAAATGCAGATCACGGGATCCATGGACTGGCGTTGAGTATTCCACAATCAACAGGTGGGCTCATTCATCCCTGTTTGCCCATTTATCCGGGACATTCCGGAATCAGACACTGAAATTTTCCGGAAATACTCTGCAATCAGAACAAAATATATGTAAATATATGTAAATAAAAGCTTTAAAAAGCTAATCCAGATTAAGAAAAATTATCTTTAAACTCCACAAGCAAAATTTTTATGCTCAACTTTCGCTTTACTAATTTTCAAAGCTGGCGACAACTCCGAGGTTACATTTGCCACTATTCTACGAAAACCAATAATGAACAGTACACTGATTTTGGTTGATTTTTATGCCGAAAAGTCCGAATTATTAAAGTAATTTAAATAAGCGCAGACCGGTTGTTATGTGAAATGATGATTGCCTAATCAATACGGAATTCTATGAGTGTGTTATAAAAATCAAAAATGACTGCGGGTTGATTTTGCACGTGCTGACACGAGCACTTTATCGAATTTCAGCCACTGTGACGCTCCTACCTGGAGCATGGCTTTGGAGCACGGAAATTTGCGGCGCCAGCAGGTTTGCTTTCTTATGCAGCGTCCGTAGCGTTTCATACAGTGGAAGTCATCCGTCCGGCAGCTCGGACACGCTTGTGGATCAGAATTGGTGAAACGGCACGCCATGCAGGAAGTGTGCTGGCAGCCGGTCTGGCAGGGACGCGTTTCATCTGCGTTGTCACTGAAAAAATTTCTCGAAGTTCAGTACTTGTCCCACACTGAATATTCCATTATCGTGCACACCGTATTGTACATCATAATATAGCGTTCGGAAGTCGGTATCGAGAACATCGACACTGTCTTGTGCAAAAATTTTGGTACAGTAATTTCTCTAGCAAACATGAATTATCCAGATACATAATTAGCTAATCGTCACCTCCCGCTTCATACGATTCTACACCATACCAGTTTTTGCACTTCACTTTAACGTGCAATAATCGATCCTTTAATAACCCCGAAACTAATCGAACCGTAGTGCAGTGACGTTGCAGAAAATGAATCCATAACAATATGTGCTTCTAGGTACACATACCTAATATTTGTCTTAAACTAGCAGTTAAAAAGCATCCTGCGCACATAAATTTTTAGTCAAACAAGTTGGATATCCAAAACGCTACCCATGCATCAAGCGGAGTAGTGTCCCAAAAAACCACAGGAAACTGAGATACATAGGTCACCGTGGAAATTACTTATCATCAGAGCATTCACATGAATTATGATTAATGCTGATAGTGTATTTTTTTAGCAAAAATGTCCAATAAATTCTTTGATACGGGTCAGCCGAATTTGGCCGATCGATCAACGTAATCTTCAATCCGACAATTTCACCTAGAAGCACTTTTCAATGGATTTCGATCAGCTAGTCCATGCATGACACACTAGCAGCGCGATTTCTTAGCCTGATAAGCCCCTGGGTCCGTAATGAGAAATTAATTAGAGTCTCGCACTTGAGACACACAGTATCGGTGTGCGGACAATGTGTATGTTGAATGGGCACATTTTTCCTGATAAGGCACCAACGACCACTCACTCCCTCTCTCTCTCGTTCTACTCCGAAAGCGCAAATAAGGTCAGCGTGGGTGGCCGGATTAGCTACTGTCCAGTCACACTACACCGCGAACGAGGGAGAGAACGAAGGCACAATTGATGAATAGCAATCCCAACTGTCCCATTGGCGATGACAAGTGAGTTGGCGCTAATGAACTCTTCACGCTATAAAGCTGGCTGGGCCCCACTTTATTAAGGGTGGCCAGTTCGTGGTGAGTGAAAGAACGAAGACAACGGGCTTCCAAAAACTAATCAATTTGTCACTGACTGCTGTAGCGCAGGCTGCAAACTGTTGTGGCTAATCTTTAATAATTATGGTTAATCTTTATTATAAAGCTAATCTTTATGTAGGGCTTTCACACAGTTGGTTTTCTAATATTATCCAATGAATACTTCGAGATTAATACCTCGTAATAATCATTGTAACTGCTGCATGTCTGGCCAAGTACTGCCTCCAAATGCCGGCAAGAAATTGTAGTACAGCGGCCAGACCACTGGCGAAGTAAACGATAAGTAATATTTACACGGGCGCTAAGATAACAATAACCTTTTTTAAGCAGTTCAAAATTTTTTTGACTGAAAAATGCCCAGTTCTAATTTCTTTGGCTGATTGTATGCTACACTGTGCAATGCAAGCTACCTTGACCATTTAAGAAAGCTTAACAATTTCATCATAAACTAGGAATAACTGTAATAATTCTAACCGTTAGAATTTTGTTTCTTATCACGGTTGCTTAATTGCATAACTTGTTCAACAATCCCTTCACATTGTACGCGAAACCTCCCCCATAAAAGACCGTAAATCTATTGCAACAATAGCCTTAGACACCGCCACTAGCACTTTGGTTTACCGGGAAAAAAGGTGAGGAACGGTGGGAGTAATCCACTTGACGGATAAGTACTGCTGACTGAAGAAAGTACTGATTAGGCATAATTTGTGGGTATTGCTCGAGTGGGAGCGTTGCTGCTTTCTCTCGTTCTCTTTAATATACCTCTTCCTACAGGTGTGAAACGGAGGCCCAGGGACCTCCCGCTGGACGGCTAGAACGGAGAGCTTCAGGTATCAAAGCGGTACCGCCACCCCATGATAGTCGGGGGATAAATGGCCCTCGTGCAGCCACTCTAGATGCGCATTCAAACCGGTTCCGTTGTCGTTGTGCGCTGGCTGACCCCCTACTTGACATATTTCTCATGTGAACATGCGCAATCAAGCAGCCCCTTGGCTATGGCGTCCCTCTTCCCTCCTAACTGTCTGGAGTGGACCCGGGGTGGGTAAAGGTATTCTCTCGGAATTAAATCAACGCCAATTGCTATTCAAAGGCAGATATGATGCTAATTAAATGTTAAGCGGTTCTCGTTAAGCCTTCAATATCCTAGCATGATAAGTGACCTTTGCAAAATCACCATCAAACTGGGCAGAAACGGAACCGATAGGGTTCACCGATAGAGTTAAAAAAAGCGTTTACTAAAATGGGATAATTTAGAAAACCAATCACACGCACGAAGAAAACATAAAACTTCCGCTTTTGAACAAAATGCACACAGGTAAATAAGCAACAGTTTCGTAGCTAAACCTAGAGCTGCAGAAATCTTAATTTAGCAACTGGTTTAAAAAGAGCAGCTGCAAAACAAACTGCGAACAGCAAGCAGCTGTAAAGAAATTAACAAATAAATAATAACGAAGAATAAAGGTACGCAAAACGCAACCTCTACGCGTATGTAAATTTTCTCGTATCACCGGCACCAGGTGACCTTCTGGTCCAATCACTATCCTGATGCAATAATCATTATAAAGACATTGAGGACAACTTTGGCTTTTGTGGCCTGACTAATGACAACGAGCTGGAAATTGTGGGTTTTATGGGTGTCGGGCTTAATTAACCGCCACAATATACACGGCACAGTGAGGCGCTGAAAATGGGAAAAAGCGGGGTGGCGCGGCATCATGAATCAGCTGAGGACACATTTGCATATGATTGACTGCCGGCCGTTTGCGGCCTCCTGGTGCGGTTATGAACCCGCTGCAGCCGCTGCGGCGTCGGCTGTATTATTACACACATGCGGCACGGCCCGAATATATACGCGCCCCGGCATCACCGGGACATGTTCCATGCTGACTGCGGCACCGTTTGTCAGGGGCGCGGGCCAGCCGGTGTCCCGGGATGACAGGTGTGGAGAGTTTTGTTCGCTATTGACTGATCCTCATCTGGATATCAGCTAATTATAACGTCCACGTAAATTACTAATCCAATATTTTCATAAATCAGCGATAACCTCCACATATAACAAAATCGACGTAATTTTATTTCGATAACACTAAACGTAATTTTGTTTCGATAACACACGAAAAAGATATCGTGAAATTTTGTGCAAGTTATTATCGAAAATTAATTACTTGTCCCATTACAGTTTTTACGAACTACAGATACGAGCTGAAAATTTTGTGAAGTTTATCCGTGAAAAGCTGGAAAACGTTTTAACAAAAAATTCTACTTTTTATATACAAAAAAATTACCAAAAAATTCTATTTTATACAACGACGAATATTTTTTAAAAAATTACTTGCACACAACATAATTATTTTTACTAAATATTAGAAATAGAAAAAAAAAACGAAGGAACTGGAAAAACATTGCATTACGGTAAATCTTTATGCCTCAATAATCAGCCGGTTGAAGTTGTTAACTACCAAATTGCTACTGTTGACCAAGGTAAATGTCCAACAATATTTACACTACATTATCCACACTGGGTGCGTTTACATTATCATATCTACTTTATATTCCGAACGAAACCGTCCGCACGGCGGTGCGGCGCATAATCGGCTTAATTCCGGCGGTGAAACGTGACTAGTACGCGGCAGTTGTCTTAATTCCGGCTTCCTTTTACACCGGTGAATGGGCGTTAAGTATACTTTGTTGCCGATGTTGTTCTTTCGTTTCAGACGATTTATTTGCGCTGCATATGGATCTGTTTGGATTTTACATCGGCCTAGTGTGACCAGTGTTACTTACATAGCGGAACAGATGGCCCGGGGATTCTTCGTGCACAATTCGGGAGTGCATTTCGGCTGACAGACGGATTCCTTAACCGGGCCAGAGTCCCTTTGTGCCTCATCTGCCAAGCCAAAGATATCCTTCACCGCTCTTTCGGCACTCTTTTCTGCAAGGGATCGGATTGAAAGGCTAATGTCAGCAGATTAAATTACACGGATAATAACACAAACAAAGAATTTATCTATAAATTACTCGTAGTTACAACAATTTTGCTCTAAGAATGTACTCTGAACCAGTTTTAGTACGGTCAACCAGTGTTTCAATTTCCATTACATTACCATTTTACCTACTTAATAAAATTTGTCTTATTCTGCCTTTCTCCAGTTTTGGGCGCAATCTGGACCTATAAGTAAGTAAAATTTCAAAGAAAACTCATTTTTTTAAACAAGCAATCGTAAAATTAATTAAACGCCAATTTTTAAAAATTTATTAAAAATAGCAACGGCGTCTAACGGTTCCGAACCCACGCGAACTATCTAAGCCCGGATAAACACTTTAATCAGTTGTAACGAAAGAACCGGCTGCGGAGATTTATGGCCACGCATCCCAAACACAACACTAATTACGGTCATTTTTCAGCGCATTATCAGCTGTTTTTCCCGGCGCCACCTGCCGTGCTGGCAGCGGTCAAGGCAGGTAAAAACACCGGTATCAACCAGCGGTCACCGTTGAGTAAAACCAGTTGAGTGTTAAGCATTCCGCCACAATGAACAACTCATAATTAACCCATAAATCACGGTTTAATGTCTTTTTCTCTGTGAGTGCATATACAGATGTAATCTGTTTCTTAAGCACTCGTAAAATATTTATGAAATATCCAAGATACTCGTATAAGGGAAATCGACTTCAGCCACAAAAATTTTGTAAATGCGAAAAAGACACAACAGTAAACGAATTCAGTCAGCAGTAAATTTCGAAACGTTCAGTCTCTAAAAATTTATCATACCGAAGCGTTTCAATAGCAAAACTGGAAAATGTTGACGGAAAACTCGGGAAAACAATTCCACAATTAGTGAAAACGTTCAGTTGCTCATTAGCATTAATATAAATTTTTAATTTTTACGCCTTAATTACGCCTTAAGGTTCAATTAAAAAATTTATCAGAAAAAATTCAACAAAAATTTTACTGAACAGGGCTCCATTTTGACTTTTGAATTTTACTGAAAACCTTCTGTTTGCATTTAATTAATGGAAATTCCTCATGTCAAATCTTCTGGTCTTACGTTTTCGGCAGATGCCGTGGTTAGCCGCGAGATCCGCGTCCCCGTCACCGGCCGACGTGGTCATCGTGGCCGCATCCGACGCAGCATAGCTGCAATATAATCCCGCATCACAAGTGCCGAAATAATTCCCCTTGCCACCGCACTGCTCATTCTCCACTTTGGCGCACACAGCGCAACACTGGCAGACATCTACAAAGGCAATGCCGACAACGATCAGCGCCTATGACTTAACACACACGGATGCCGCCGCGCTCTCCATCAAACGCCATTTGCCAACAGGTTTCCCCTCAATGGCACCGCCTAATCAATTCTTTTTAACGCTGGATAATCACTTAAACACCACCATCACTTATCCGTTAAAAGCCGCTTAGGTTATTTTGGAAATCCGATATTTATTTCGCTGGATTAACTTTTAACCGGCATTCCATCGAAATAAACTATGCATATTACTGATTATTACACACAAAATTCCCGTGAATAAAATTAAACAGATTTCATTTTATTATTAATAATTTGCATTTATTTAATTCCTCCCTATGTTACAACAAAATAAGCTTGATCTTATTGCAAATTTAGCGCAGTTTACGGCCACAAAAAATGCTCCCATTTAATTAGTATTAGCGATTTTTAAATAACGTGTATTTATTTATTTTTACCCGTACCGAGCGATAAGCCGCCTTTGCACATAAGCCGGGATTTCCGTGGACAGAACATTTTGGCGCACGGCGGACACTGCAGCCCATTGATATCCCTCATTTCTTCCTTGGGAATCAGCACCGCTTGCCGGTTATGGAGATGATTACGGGACTGATGAGCATGCGACGATCCGCAGGAAACATGGGGATAAATCAAAAACACGCATAACACAGCGCAAAGTCTCCACATTCTGTAGCCGGATAGGTGATAGGAAGTTAGGAACAATGGGTATTAACCGGATTTGCAGCCGATACGGCTAGTTAGCTGGCCCAGTATTCCCGATGATGGGCAGATAATTAAAAGCGTTGGAGAAGAGGAATTTTGACAAGTCAATCAAGTGGAGTGTTGTACATACACACGGTAGCAATTAATGGAAATGAAGACGATCACGCCTGATCAAATATTTGACACTTTGTTCGGGTAAATGAAACGCTTCACCCGTCTGCAGCGGTCTGCTAGCCTTCAGATCACGAAAGATTGCCAGAGACTCGGCAGAGAGCAACGGCGTACGAGTATAGACGGTGAGACGGATGAGTGTTGGATCTTCGAATGGGGGCCACGCCTCCTTTATAGTTTGTCCAATCAGCATGCGATGAGAGCGTATGTGATAGCCAACAACAGCCAACTCAACGGACCGATGGCCAGTGTCCGATGAAGACAGCACACTGTACGGGTGAGTAGTCTTCACCGTAGACGTGTTCCACCTGTTCCAGAATTCGAAACACTACGAGTAGAACAGGCACGGTACTTCCGTCGCGTTCTGACATCCCTGTTCCAGAAGAATGAGTGACCACCCATTGTAACTTGTAAGCCCGACTGGTTATGTTTCAGATTTGTGAAACAGTTAGTATCTAGTAAGTACCTACGTTAGTTACATATGAACTATGAAGGTAAACCTTGCCGTATGATACGGCAAGATGTTTTCTGGTGTGGAAAAGAAATGTTCCCAATTTGTTCTCCCAGTCTGTAGAGAGAAGAATCGATCAAGTCAAGCCAAGCAGATTGCCGGTAGAATTTTTTCAAGTTTTAAAAGTCAGTCCAGGTTAGTCGGTTGTTTCGGGAGTGTGATAAGCCGGATAAGGCTAACGTTAATCGGCTACCAAGCCTTAGCTTCCCTTTTTTGGTACGGGCGAAATGACACAAGCTTGGAGACACTTTCCCAGTTCATACATAATATCGTAACCACGGGTGACTTCGCATTTGTTGTGCCAGTTGTTGCCCGCATTTAAGCCATCTTATGGGCTTCTCATAAAAAAGTGACAGGTCATAGTGTTTACGGTTCAACTGGAAATCAGAATGGTTAGGAATGTAAAAGCGCCGAAGGCGCTTTAGGTTCTCTCCTATATTTTAATAAGCAGTACGCTCGCACGTTATATCCATCATTTTTACAACCGGTATCCGACGATCCTATCGGTACTAGTATATATAGTGATCGCAGAGTAATAAATACACCATACGAGGTTGTATAACACTTCAGATCACTGTATCTGCAACAAAATACATAATTAGAATTCGAGTACATCAAGTTTTTTCCTCTGCAATGGATTGTCGGCACTTCGTATGTTCGCCTCTCTTCATCTGCACGATGGTTGCGTTCTTCCAGATGGCTTTGCCTGCGACCAGCGATAACAGCACACAAGGTACAGGACAAGTTATTACGAGTTCTTCTTTGCCGGGCCTTTATGCTAGTCGTTATACCGTGCTTTCATACTGATGTATTTTTCAAGTACTCATAGTGTACTGCCAAACCACGTTTTTGATGTTGAAAGCTATGTTTACCGTTTTGTATCCTGATATTATTATTATGCAGCTTTTGCTTTTGGAGCACTAGCGAACATGACCGACGGGAGCTTCGACACCTCTCCTTTGAGCATGCGCGAATGCACGGCTCGTCCACGAGGAGTCTGCGCACCGGCGTCAATTGATACATCCGACTGTGCATTCCTCTCGAAGACCAGTGCTGCCCATGCTGCCAACCACCAACAGACACACATTATGCTGACTTGTCCTGATGCCTATCTGCGAGCGAATATTACCAAAGAAGTATGCAAAGTTATCAGTATTAATTTTATGAAAGCCACATCCTGCAATTCTATACTTTTAAATAGTGGCGGAACATAGTTCTCGCCGGTAGAATCGTAGGAGAGCATCCAAACAAAGAAACCATATTATACGAGTACAAACTACAAATCAACAGATGTGTTAAAGCTATAACAAGAAACCCATGACAATTTTTGTAATGATTACAATTTACAGCCAATGAATTTAAATCTCGCATCGTTGTAGGTCTTCAAAAAGCAGACAGTAGCGATCAGCAAACGCAGCAAAAACCGCGCTGTCTTTGTGGAAGTCATTAACGATACGGTTCTGGACCCGGAAGTCTTCGAACCCATCCGGCAGCAGATAGTCGTGCTTAAAATTAGGCTCTCCCTCGACGACGCTGTAACGCACCGCATCGGACTGTTGGGACCGAGCAACCTTTTAGAACTCTTTTTTGAAGACTGCCAGCCCCTGGTCATACGCCAGCGAGACTTTTCATCGTTACTAAATGTTCGAATGATCTTATTCAAGGAAACTGCCATCCAGTCTATCCAGCCTGGAACGTTTACGGATCTGCCTAATTTGCAAGTCTTGGGCCTGCCAAACATAGATTATTTTATGCTCGTTAACGGTAGCGAGGAGCTGGTGCTGGCTCTGAATTTTTTATATTGCGACCCAGACAATGAATGGCTATGGGACTGGTTAGCGACACATCCACAGTTGGGTGTCAGTCGCACTGCGGGAAGCGTATTCAAAATTGGTACTCTGCAAAACAGGGAAACATTGTTTAAGCAAGGCGACGTTGCGCCAGCAGGAATTTATTTCCGTAATGCCAGATACGCATGCTTTGCAAATGGAACATTGGCCTTGACAACAGAGCAATGCGCTTCAAGTCGTTTTACAGAGCATATCTGTAATTTTGCGCCATCTTTCAAGTTAATTTCTAGCCTCGAACAAGAATAAAGCAGCCAGTGTATGCAAACTTATGGGCAAAACGAGCATTTGGAAAACTTAAATGCTAATAAATATTCTGCACAGGATTAAAAGCATCTCTCCCAGTACTTACGTATCTGAAAAACACTTGCAAAAATGCTTACACAAAAGGATATCGGGAAAACAACTGCCGGCGTACAATTCCTAGAAAGTGCTGCTGCTCATGCTGCTCAGTTCCGGTGCTCTGTTCCAGCTCATGTTACGAACTGTGGCACCTTAAACAACTGATTAATCTGTTACATATACAGTAGATAAAACACTTTGGCAGAATATCAGATTCTGCTTTCTTTTAACATTATGGCTGCGTGCACGGGTGATATTTTTGTTATCTCACTCTGGCTACGGGCTTTCGGCGGGCGGGTTTTCGACCGGCGTTGACAACCCAATTTTTAAACCACTGTAAAAGTCTTTATAAGCACTAATTTCTATGAAAGAAAGTATTTGTTTGCATGGATAATTACTTTTCTGCACTATATATCTATGTATAAATGCAAATGGACCCTTCCCACTTGCATCAAGCCGCGCAGAAGAACTCTGAGCCGCAAAACCAATTTTGTTGTTAATGACCTATGGCTTTCGTTCTAGAAGCAATTTGAACAGTAGGTAATGGTATCGGCAAAGGTAAGGGTGAAGTTGAAAAAGGCAAAGTGACAAGGCAACAAGGAGGCAAGGATAATCTTGGCCGACCCCAGCTGTTCGCGTTCGTCTTTAGAAAAAGCAAATATAAATAGTTGGCAACGATAAGAATTTAAAGTGCCGAAAGCGTTCGGTTGTATATTGAGAGTAAACGAGCTAGCAGTACTTGTACTTGAAGTACACTTGCTTTTTCATTACATCAGTTTTTGATCTTATTTCTATACCGGTTTGTACCGTCATCGGCGAGAACACGGGTGCAAGCGTATAGATATGTGTGCAGTGTCTACCATAAAATGAGGTGGGCCTTTGCCAAATAACTGAAAAGTCAGGGCGCTTCTAAGTTCTTACTAACCTCCACCATGGATAATTCCTGGCCATTCGTAGAATATTTCTTTGTCTCTATGTTTATTACAACAGTATTTCAAGTGGCTCCATCTTCACCTGCGAATGCGATTGCAACCAACAGCACAGAAGGTATGTTTGGCTTCCCGAATGATTCTTCTGCCCCAAGCTTTTGAGAATGAGGAAATGGGTTTCGATAAGAAATCTCAACGATTTATTTTTATACTAAATTGGTCTACATTATTCAAACCTTACAGATATTTTTCGAGACTGTTGGACAACTTGTTCATTAGACAGTTAGATCGAAGGTTTACTGTGTACAACTTAAGGATCGTTTCTCTTACACTAACTTGTGGTTTCTAGGATCATTCGCGAATGTCACCGATGCATCCTTTGACATCTCTCCTCTAAGGGTACGCGAGTGTGAAGCTCGGCCGCACGGCATCTGCTCAGCGCGTTCACTGAGGTCGTCCGACTGCAGATTTCACTTGAGCGACAGCAAAGATTATCAGACGCACGTTACACTGCATTGTGAGTGGACAAGCATGAAGAATATTACTAAAGATGTAGGTATATACTAGCTAGTCAATAAGTGATCTCGGCTACAGTGCTGTTATCTTTAATTCTTAAACTAGGAGGGCAAGAACAAATACAGCACAGTGCTTGTTGAATACGCATTTAACTTCGTTCAGTTCGTTGGTAAAAGTTAAAACGTCTCTGTAACCCAACGACGTACAAGTAAAATGTCCGTGTCACTCGAACTTGGAACGCGTAAAGATCATCTGTGGGTTGTGACCTGCGGTCATAGGCATTAAACTGCATCTGTAACTGGTTCCAGATCTTTAAAAAGCAGACCGTAGCAATCAGCACACGCAGTAAAAACCGTGCTGTATCCGTGGAGATCCTTAACGACACAGTTTTGGACCCGGAAGTCATCGGCCCAATCAGAGACCAGGTAGCCGTGCTTAAGATCCAGGGATCGCGGGATAACAACATTACGTCGCGCGTCGGGCTGCTACGAATGACCCGCCTTCTACACATTTTATTGGAGAGATGTCAACCTCTTATCATACGACAACCAGACTTTTCACCGATGCAGAACCTCCGGATGATACTATTCTACGCAACGGCCATCCAATCCGTACAGCCCGAAACGTTTGTCGATCTGCCGCAGCTGCAAGTCTTCGGGGTGGCAAGTACGGATTATCTCAGCCTGGATGATGATAAACTAACCCTGTTTGAGAACCTCAATAAGTTCTACTGTGACCCGGGAAACGAGTGGTTGTGGAAGTGGTTAGCGACGTATCCGCAACTGAGCGTCAACCGCAAGGCTGGTAGCGTATACAGAATTGGAAGTTTGCAAAATAAAGAGATTATTTTTCAACAGGGAGATGTTGCACCACCAGGAGGCTATTTCCACAATGCCAGATACGCATGCTCTAAGGGGATGCTGGTTTTGACAATGGAGCAATGCAACGTGACTGCTTTTTCACGGGATCTCTGTGAAACGTTACCATTTCTAATTTTCGACGTGCGAGATTAATAGTGCAGTGCACTTAAACAAAGACTGCATTAAAGTTCGGGAATCTTGTCGAAGCTTAAAAAATACACCGCTCGGCGTAAATTAATGCAAGCGCAAGAAGAGAAAAGAAATATTTTACAATTCGTGCACACTTCGCGCCGGCTGCATGGATGAACAAATCAAAGCGTAGTCTCACTGCATACAAGTAGCATCTCCCAGTAAAGGCTATTAATATTAACCACTTCCAACGGATGAGCTCCAGCCGGACGTTTCTTGTTTTCTCGCACAATCGGGTTCCCGGAAGTTTGCATGGCACCTGCCCAACAGTTTTAGTTATTTAATCGGATAATTTTTTCGGCGATGTACCAGTGAGTCGTCGTTTTAGCCATATCAGTAGCAGGCAGTAATTGGTATGATACAAATACACTTTACACTTCTTTGTACGCTACGATTACAGTATTTCTTCTCCGAGCGCTGGAACGAAATCGCAAACGATGCCATATTGTTTCCCAACAGGAAATACTGATAAGTATTAAAAGTGACAAACGATGCCCTACTCGTAGTGTGTTTACTGGTACACCGTGTATTGTACTTCTAAAAACAACAGTTACGTACTAATGATTCTAAAGTGCCGAAAGCTGTTTATACTGAATTCATGTGCTAAATTCATGTTTATACTGAATTCATGTACTGAATTCATGTGCTAAAGTCAGAGAGAGAGAGAACAAGAAAAGCACATTCTTAATTCTTTCGCTGTCTCTGTAATTAAACCGGTTCTGACAATTCGCATGCGAGTTATGAGCTTGCACGAGACAGCTGAATTTGCAAAAAATATTTCCGAATTTAAAATTACTCTTTTCTAAGTATGGCTTGCTGCCGGTCATTTGTAAATTGTCTCGTTTTTGTCTTAGCACTGACTGCACTCTTCGCAACGGTTTTCTTCACAACCAACGACACAGAAGGTATATTCTATTAATTTTGCCGGCAGTTTATAGCTATACACGGAAATGTTTATCGTGGGGCCGAAGAATGTAATGTCGTAACCATTCTTAAAGTTTCTTTTTCGTATCGACAGATTTCTACATACACTTACTGTAATTTCTTAACACATTTAACTTTAAAGTTAAATGTGTTAAGAAATAAATTCAACTTCGTTTCAACAACATAAACGACAACGACAAACGCAGATGCCTTTTCATGTGAAAACCGCAAAGCGCGGTCGATCAGGGAAGCAAGAATAATTCTGTTTCAGGAGCTCTGGCCAGTACAGCCGACGCCAACTTCGACAACTCTCCTCTGAATATACGCGAGTGTACTGCTCGACCACAGGAATCCTGCACACCTGCGTCGCTGGATACATCTGACTGCGCATTCCTTTCGAACACGAGTGGCGAGTATTTTGCTAAACGCACACAAACATACATCACATTGGTTTGTGGTGAGGATGCCACCAAAGACGTACGTGCGACTCGGTGCGAGTGAATTTATGCGACCCATAAATCTACAGTGATTTACTCAAACATATTTGAGGAACGTTAATAACCGGATGGTGAGGGGTGGTGTTTTGCTCAAAAATATTTGAGAACGTGGTTTATACTGGTAAAAAAAACACCCAAAACAAGAAAGCGTACTCCCAAAATAAAATATCGGCGCAGTTGAGGCCCAGCCACTCAGTCATCAGTGCGGCTATTAACGACTGCAATTTAAGACCTTCTATTTTGTCTTGGCTGTAGGTCTTTAAGAAACAGACAGCAGCCATCAGTAAACGCAGTAAACACCGTGCTGTATCCGGGAAAATCCAGAACGAGGCGGTGTTGGACCCGGAAGTCATCCAACCAATTCGACAGAAGATCGTCGTGCTTAAAATTAAGAACTCCATTGACAACATTTTGACCTTCCGCATCGGAATGCTTGAGCCCTGGACTGAGCAACCTGCTAGAAATTTCTTTCGAAGATTGCGAGCCGCTCATCTTGCACCAGAAGGACTTTTCACAGCTAAAAAGTTTGCGGATCATCTTATTCTACGTAACTGCCATCCGGTATCTCCAGTGCGAAACGTTTACCGGTCTGCCCAAACTGCAAGTCTTCGGTGTGCCAAATATCATGTATTTTCTGGATAATGAGGCTAACAAGGAAATTATGGTGGATCTGAACAGTTTCTACTGTGACCCGGGAACGCGTGGTTTTGGAACTGGCTAGCGACAAATCCCCAACTGAGTGTCGAACGCACCGCCGGCAGTGTATTTAAGATTGGAACTCTGCAAAACAAGGAAACGTGGTTTCAAGAAAGCGGCGTTGCTCCATCTGGAGTTTCTTTTAACAACGCCCGATACGCATGCGATAATGAAAGACTGGCGTTGACTGCAGAGCAATGTCGTGCGCGTTCCTTTGCATTTTATTTGTGTGAATCGTTGCCAACTTTAATAACTTTCTAATTTCGAAAAAAATAAAGCAGATTCTCTGGTTGTATGTAAAGTTTTTGGCAAAAACCAGCCGTGTGCAACTTGACATATTAAATATTCTGCAAAGATACTTTACAGTATATAAAACTTCTTTACCAAATAATTAAAAAATTACAACGCTATTTATTAAGCCAAGACCACGGATTTCTGGCCATTCGTAAACTCGCTTTTCTTTACCTCTGCGCTTACTGCGACCTGTCTTGTGATTTCATCTTTACCGACAACCATTAGCACAGAAGTTCTGTTCGGCTTTTTCGGAAGTGTTTGCTGCATCGTACTTTCGATAAAAATAGGTGTCGCCAAAATACAAATACGTAATTATTCTCAAGGTTTTTTGTAACTTCTTGGTCTGTACTTAATGTCTAGCTTTTGCCGAACGTTGGATCTGTTG